CTTTGATGAGATTGGTCAGGAACCTTCTTCGGGGCAAAACCTCACCTAATGCTTGACATTTGTTCACCAACATATTGGATCTCAAATTGACATTCTTTCCCACTAACCTTTGTTTATTCCAGCAAACTGCCCAATACTAAATTGCTCCTCATTTAAATTTTTTAAAGAATCGAGAAACGAAGTTTTATCAGAACTATGGTCCTCGACCACAGACCATCGTATCTAAATCCCTTCACACCCCTCCCCACCGTTTAGCCTCCGTCTCCTTCTTCCAGTTTCAGTCGTCTTCCTAAGGTCTCTAAGTACGAATTACCCATTCTATAAAATGGGCGATTCCAGCCAGCTATCTCATAATAGTTGGCCACTGTACCAATAATTAACACATTGCTCAAGTCAACACTATTAATCATTTACCCTGAAAGATCGAACTAAAGCAGACATCAAGACCTTGGTCTTGGAAAGGATGGGCAAGAATCTCCCAGCACAATGACCATCATCTGATCATAGAATGAGCAAATTGTGTCAAATCGAGGAAATGAATTCCCCGAATGACGGTGGCTATCTTGTATTGCTGAGTTCTCAAAACAAATGAGGATTCGCTGAAGCTATTGGAACAATATCCTTAATAATGAGTGGTTGTTGAAAATTGATCAAAAATCAGTTGATTTAAAAGAAGAAGAATAAAAAAAAAATTAAAAAGTCAAAGATAATTTTAATCTATTTATAATTTAATAATTTATTTGAAATGGAGAAAGAAAAAAAAAAATTTAAAATTAAATCTCCCCACCATTACAAATTAATAAATAAGAAAATTGTTGAGTTTTTTTGCTTATCAAATAATGAATCAACTTAAATCCAAACTGTAATCCATTTGCAATCACAGAAATTTATTGAAGGATCATTGCTGACTAAAGAAACCAATGAATAATTGTACATTTCATTCAAAGCTAGTCTATTAACGTATAGATGGACTACTACCATCCGTCCACTTAATTGAATTATTTCTCTTTGGACAACAATTAGCAACAGAGATGTTAATCTAAAGAAATATCAATGAACTATAAATGAAATCGCAAATATGGCTACTGTAATTGATGACTTTTAATATAATGTAAGCTTCCCTAGCAAATGAAATAAGCAACATTTTTTAATTTGATTTACTAAGGTTAAACTACTGGGAATATAAATCATCCATTAATCATTCAAACAATTACCATTCGATTTTGAAAACTTGAACCAACCTTCAATTTTATCGAGCTTTAATTTGGGTTTTAGATAGGTTTGTGTTTGGCGGAACTTCAATAAACAAACCAAAACCAAAACTGAGGTTTCATAAAATTGAAGACTATGGTTGGCGGGATGATACAATTTCCCCCTCTGACTTGGGAGAATAAATAGCTTGGTTCTAAAATATTAAGCGTTGTCCAACACAAGGAAGTTCATAAATGCTTTGTTTTGTTTTCATTCTTCCCTTATTATCTGTCACTGGATGACAAGGTTGGAGATCGGCCCTGCCAAATGGAAGCCTTCTTTTGTTGAGGAACTGTTTAAATGTCCATTCGGATAAAAGACATAATAATTGGCCACCGTGGGAGAGTTTCTGATTTGAGACATTAACATGCTGTTCCTGCTGGGATAGAATGAAATCTATTGGAAAGATGAAAATTAGTATGATTCATTGTTGGCGGCTCTGCGACAAGTTTGGGACAACTTTTGCGGTTGTTAAAATAAGACGAATTTCTCTCTGGTTTGTAGTTACCTATTTGATAAAATCTATACAAAATGAGTGTTTAATTAATAAGCCAAATTGGAGCCAAATACTCAATGAGTTTAGTACATTTAAATGAGACTTGCTTGCACTTTTCTGAATTGAGGATATGAACTGCCATTTAACTTTGAAACGTAATTTGGTTTCCATGTAATCTGATTCAATATTACATGGAACCCAGTTTACATTGCCAAAATTAAATTTATAAGCAGCTGGACACAATTTTATTATAATAAGTGGATAGCTGGCCTTTTTTGAAGTCTTATTTGCAATTAAACAAACATTTGTTGATCGTCTCAAAACTTCGTTGCGGAATGCTTGAAAGTCTATGGCAATTAATTAAACTACTGCTTTATTGTTGCTGCTTTCGCTGAAGATAATATCCCAGTTTATGTCAATATCTTCAATTGGGGTCAGAGCAGTACTTCACCTTTTGGAAGTGAAGAACTAAATTATGGAATTTGCCTCGATGTCAACTTAGCAATTGTCAATGAAATGAATTGTGGTCCGTTATAAAATGATCTTATACGTATATGTTTGGACCGTCGATGAATGACGGATGAAACATATCAGTCTAAGATATCACTTCACAAGAGATCACAATTCATATATCTAAAGGCAGTACTGTGTTGACCACCGAATGAGATATTCAATTTACGCAATGCCGATGCAATTTGAACAGTGCTGAGATCTGAAATAGCTTGCTTACCTGGAGCTCTTGAATCCTCTAAAAGGAAAATGTTGGGGATTTGAGGTGCGTGTGTCTAAAGGACATGTATACTATTCTGAAGGACGTATCTGGTTTGAATTCACTAGGGACTCAATGCAGTTAAGTTTTAATCATTCTAACATGTCAAAAGATCTTTTAAAAATCGTTACAAAAATGCAGATCCCTCTAAATTTGATCTTCCTTCATTTGATCTTCATCATGTGACATACTTCAATGGGAATTGTAATATTCTCTAATGCCATGAAACAACATGACAGCTTTAATTTCTTTCGTTCATTGTCACGAAGTCAATCTTTTTAGATGTTTTATGGAATGTCAAGAAAGAACTTGTATTTGAAGATTGAACCTAGTGTAGATATCATGTTAAGAAGGTAGTAATATTTTTGATTAGTGACTCGTTTGATTGGAAAAATCTTCAAACCAGACTACAATAATGAGTTGGACAAAGATGAATGGAATTGGAACCATTGACTTGAATAATGACAATTAGTCTATTCAATAAACAAAAATCTTTATCAAATATTCGATCCGGTGTCGTTGTCTAATAGATAGATTGAATTTGTGGTAGTTGATGTATTGAAGGGTCTTATTCTTTTCTTTGAGAAAATTTTCAAGATGAAATTTCTTAAAGACAAAAGTTTTTTTCCACTAAGACTTTTCATTTCGTCAAAGACTGAAAGCTGATTTGTCAATCTTTTAGCAGAGCCATCCTTTAATCTTCAAAAATGGCATTATTGATTCCGATTTAGAAATCCTTGTGCTATTAATTTGGCTACTTGAATAATTCATGAAGCTCTCACGCATAAAGCTAAACATCATTAATATCCCAAAGCATTTACTTTGTTTCTTTTGGATTAATTGTAATCAGCTGCCAAATAATTTAATTTCTATATGGAAATCGTAGGAATTATGAAACGAATCCAAATAAGTGGATAGCAAGTTCATACTATGACTCTGGAAATGGGAAGTCAGAGTTATATGATCAGTGTATGTATTTCTATTTCTGAAATAAACAATGAACATGAAAGTTATATCAATAGCTTTCTTTATCTGTTAGTTGTTGTTATTTGTTCTGCGAAAATAGAACGACTTTCTCTCTAGCTGTTATGGGATGGGGAAAGCCTTTCAACTAGCAGATGATTTCATTATTGTTCTTTCTATGTCAATTGTTGGATCTACCATGGGACATGGAAACTTCATTTTAAACCGGGTCTCTCATTGATTCAGAAGAAGTCTAAGCACCCGATTTATTGCATATTGAGGAGTTAATGAGTCAACTGCCTATGCATTCAATTGTAGTAGTTTTGCTAATTAATTGGTGATGTGAAATAGATGTAAATGATGGTGATGGGATCCAAAACAAAGACTTAGTGAAAAATAAATTTTTACATTTTGATTTCCTTTGAACTAAGAAATCCACGTATTTGAAAGGGGAACAATGGACTCACGTGTTTGTCAGGTGTATATCACGCTTTTATCATGTGATGACTTTTCCCAAAAAATATTTATCCATATTCTTATGTATTTACAACGCAATATTCACCACAATTATTAATATTTTTCCAAATGAAAGCATCGGTATAGATAATAAGGCATCTACCTTTACTGTCGTAGTCATACAAGGTGTTCAATCTTAATATTTTTCAAATTTAATTGAAATTGACTTATCTCAAGAAAATTGCCAAAAATTCACCCAAATTTATTCAGTTACTGGAAAACAGTTATTCTTCACATTTAAATATAATTAAAATCTTACATTGCTATTAAATATCGAGTGTACCATTCAAATACACAACTCTTTGATTGTCGTTCATAATGGTTCCATTATGTATCTACTTTTAACCAACATTCATTGCCGTGCATAGGCAAGAAATCGTTTGCAGCCAATGAAAAATAAATGCTTCTCATTTTTTACAAAGACAAAGATGAAGCAATATACGACGATTTGACACGGAATTAGAGAGATAATATTCTCAAATAGGATTGTCCCCGCCTACGCTACCACTATGAAACTTAGTTGATCGTTGTAATGTTTATTCAAAATTTAGGGGTGTTGCAAAGATGTATTAATCCAAGGACGACATTAAGTGCGACATTGAATCCAACAAACGGAAGTCCCTCAAAGAAACAAATTTAATCTTCAGTTTCACTCCCAATCTACAAACCAAAGAAAGCTGTCATATCCATTAATTAATCTATTCCAATAACTCCCAATTTATCATGGAACAAAACCCGTTTAATGATCTTATAACTATTGATTTGTTTGATATATCGTGAATTAAAATGAACGTTAGAAAGTCACATTTATTGCGATAGTCTAGAAATTAGCAACATGTCATTATTTGAAAGAATTCATTAAATTTATTCATCTTTACAATGTTCTTGGGGAGCAAAATATAAATAACTGCCATTAAAATTATATCGTAAGAAGAAATAATTACAAGATCCCAAGTAATTAATAGAAAACGCCCTAAAACTAAAATCTAAACTAGAAAATTATGTTCAATTCGATTTGGTAGATGCTTTATCATATGGTCCAAGTGGACTATGGATAAAAGTATCAAACAACCCCTTGAAATATTGCAATGTCGCAGATTCAACCCCAGGATATAAGAAATTTGAAACCCTTACCACATGAGAACACCCTCTAACTGGCTCGATCCCATCAAATCGTTGTTCAATCCAAGTCCAAGCAGCAGGTGCACCTACAATAGTTTCAGCAAGATGGCCAGTAGTTGCATCCTCAGCAAATTCAAATGAATTTATATTGTTCTGACACCAGATGTCATAAATCCCTTTTGCACCCACGATTGGAACAATCAGGTCCAAACTTCCATGATAGACAAAAATGGGAATTCTGGGCATGAGATCTTCGGCCAAATAGATCAAAGAATTGTCTTTAACTACTTTTCCAATAATAGCGTCATTCAATACACCAAATCCTTGAGGAAATACCGACCATAGACCTTTGAAAAATCGACTACCGATATAATTCATCACAGAAGGAACCAAAAAATATTTATCACCATATGACAAGGGTAATATATGCATAGGATTAGCCAATTTATATATCCTATCCTTGAAATCCGGATATTCATTCGCAAGTCCAGCCAATGCATTAGCTATCAATCCCGCAAATATAGTCCCATCAGTCGCTTCTGCAGTCGCGGTAATATTAGTCACAAACCCCCCTAATGCCACCCCAATCAAGGCATCACCCAAATCAGGAGCATATTCTGGCTGTAATGAAGCTGCCCATGATGAAGCCAATGACCCACCAGAATATCCCCACATTGCCACTTTTGCATCCTTATCTATCCCCGTGAATGCACCCGATTTCAAAGCGGCCCGAATTGAATTAAGTACTGCTTGTCCAGATTGTCTACCTACCGTGAATGTCGATTTCGGTCCTTCATAATCTGGACTCACGACATAATACCCCCGTTGTAAAGCCATAACCATAAGCGTCATATCCGTCTGTGTTGCCACCGTTGCAAATGATGACCCGAATAGAAATCCATATGATGGTGAACAATCAATATTTGCCGAATCTTCATATGTTTGATATGAAATGACTTTCTTTGGGTCGGCATTGTGGGGTTGGATGATTGTGGTGACGATTGTGTTTGGATTGCCGAATGAATCTTCGGATCTGATTAGGATTTGCCAGGCTTGTTTGATGTGGATGGGAATATAATTGCTGGCTAGTTTGCTGGGAGGCAGTCTGATTTTTAGGATGTCACCTGGTTTTGAAGTCTCGTATCCTTTTGGGGGAAGATAGAAGTCATCTTTTGATGGGGGCTTTAGTGTTGATCCTGTCGCTTGGGTGATCAAGAAGCTGGATATTAAGAAGAAGTAGTATACGAGTTGCAACATTTAAAATCCTTGAGAAAATTTGTATATTAAAATTCATTTATATGTTTAAAACAATATAAGGCTAGCCATTATAGAATTATTTATATAATGGATCTCTTAAAATGAGAAATTAGTAAACGTCTAAACGTCCATCATTCAACGTCTAATTCCATTGTTGTATTTTAGACCGAATATGTCAAAGAAGAACGTAGGATACAACGAGGGTCCTTTTTGAAGTCATTCACATGTCAAAATAAAAACTTATAGACCAAGGTGACGGGTTGACAACCCCTTGTAGTCAATTGCAAATGATATAAAAAGTGTCACGCATGCCCTGAGATGTCGTATGGTACCTACCTAACCAGGGTCCAAGCTAAGGTGATTCTCATCCCAGCATGAGCAGTTGCGAATCTGTTAGAGCAATGTCATAGAAATTCTCGAGTTCTCAAAAAAAAACATCGCTCGTTTTGCTATAGGCGATGCTCTGTGGTTGGCAATATTTCAACGAGAAGTCTCTATCCAACTGAGAGAATTACTATGCAAATTTTGGTGATTGATTTTTTTTTTTCGCCAACAATAATTCGCAACCAGAAAAAAATCGTTTGCTGCAATGATTAAGACACAAAGTCATTTACCATCCTAAGTAGAGAAGAGTATAAACTGGAATGCGTGTACGTGTCTTCTAAAGATTAATGAACGTGGAATCTTATGATGGCCTCCTACGTTGTTCTATCACAAGATAGAAAAAAAGAGGAAACCAATTCTATCTAACTTGGATTCCTTAAAGAATAGTCTTAATGCATAGTATAAACTTTTATCTTAGGGAGATAACCTCAATGTATATTGTTACATCATAAATATTTAGAGTTAGTCTATATTGTCTCTCTCATGTCAATGTTTGTTCTATTCCGTTACCACATCATTTCTTGGAGTAAATAAGATTTTTATATGTTTTTCTTTATTATGAATTAATTCTTTAAATCCTTTTTCAACTCCATCTTCTAATTTAACAACAGAAGTAATTAATGTTTTTAATTCAGAAACTGGAATAAGTCCTGATTCAATTGCTGCTAAAGCTTCTTCAAAATCTTCTTTAACAAAACATATAGATCCAGTAACGATTTTTTCCGTAAAAGTAGTTTCCATTGGGAAATATGGAATTGATTTATGAGCCCAAACAGCTACATTAGTGGCACAACCTCTAATATTCAACGTACGTAATCCAGTTTCAAAAGTTGCTGGAACCCCTGAACAATCATAAGAATAATTGAAACCATGACCATTTGGAGACATTGCTTTTAATTCTGAAACACATTGATCAACTGATTTACCAGTAGGGTCAAATACTTCTACCCCTAAAGTTTGTGCCAATTTTCTTCTTGCTAATGCTGGTTCACTAAGAACAATATGACCAACTTTATGACCTTTTAATGCAAATATGGTAGTTAAACCAATGGGCCCCCCACCCAAGATTAAAGCACTTTGCCCCTCTTGAAATCTTGAAACACGAACTGCATGCCAACTAACAGCAATTGGTTGAACTAAAGCAGCAACATCAGTAGGGATGATATTTTCATCAAATTTAATAACTTTAGATGCTGCAGTAACTAAATATTCTGATAATCCACCATTTGTAAAACCTAAACCAGTTAATCCTAAATAATCACATGCATTATAATGACCAGCTGTACAACTTGGACATTTTGGTTTATCAAAATTTGGTGATTCGGGGAATCTATATCTATCAAAACAAGTACCTGTAACTTCAACCACTACTTTATCACCTTTCTTGACTGTGGTAACTTCCAGACCAATTTCAATAATTTCTCCACTTATTTCATGACCCATACATTGAGGATAAGGCAAATTTGATACTTCATTATTAGTACCCTTTTTACTGAAAAAGATTGGACCATCAGTAAATTCTTTTAAATCAGATCCACAAATTCCACAATAATGAATTTTAATTTTAACATCATCAGGACGTATAATTTGAGGTTCAGGGAAATCATCATGGAATCGAATATCTCCTCTATCATGATAAACAATTGCTTTCATTTTGTATTCTGTATTATTTGTATTGCTTGTATTGTTGGTTAATTTGAAATCTATTAATAAATTTAGAAATAAGTAAAATTGGAAAAAAACGTGGAGATTCAATTTAATAAGAATAACAAGGAGAAGTTAACCTTTATATTTAAATTATTTAAATTAAAATTTTAATCCCACGAAATCTAAACTTTAAAATTAAAAATATAAAATAATTAATTAATTATACTATTAAGAAAAAAAAAATTGATTGGTTAAATTACATAAGGGATTTAGTTTGATAAAAATGAAATTAATGATGATGATCTCTTGGGGGGGCATTGCTTGTTCTCTTTTCTCTTCTCTCTATAAGGACTAAATATTTCTATTATTTTTTAACAATTAATGTGTAGATGGATTCTAATTTATTTTTTAACAGAATTTCTATAAAATAAGTTCTTCCTATTGTTCCCTGAAGTACATACGTACATATACCTCGGTAAAATTACTTCGAGTGTTCAAATTATCCAGTTAGTATCCTATCGAATCTAATCACTTCATAACAGTGCAATCCACAGACTACCTTGATAAATTGCTATGTACCGTTGCCAAGATATAGATTGCATGACCCCTGTTCGTGTATCTTGCCAAGATATATCGTTATAGCTTCCGGGTTCTTGTTCCAATTTTTCAACAACAAAGCCCAAAAAAAAGTCACAATTCCGTGCATTAAAAAATAATCACAAAATTTAAATCATTCCATCCCATCACAGTAAAATGGATCATCTGGATATGTCACACTTTGACGCGAAAGTACACACGGCTGGAGGCTGTAACAAACGCCTAATAAATTTTAATGTCACGAATTGACAGGGTTCTCTCGCTATTCATCCGTTAGAATTGCTTACTTTGAAATTCAAATGATTTCTTTTTCAGACTTTGCACTCTGTTCTTTGTAGCTAAAACCAGATCTAATGATTTTTTCAATGACTTATTATTCCAAATAAGGAAACAATGTGCGACACCGCATTATCCCATCGAGATCTTCCAACCGAAATCATGACATATATCTAACCAATCAATACATATTTTCCCAGAAGAATTTCGGATCCATGATTCTTCCACTATATCCCAAATTCGTTTGATATTTCCAACTTTAAAATTATTGGAATAAACTTGATTAAATTTCATTCTAACATTATTTCTATCAAATTTATTACTACTTGAGATTCCACAAATTAATAATGCCATATTAAGACAATTAACAACATTGTTCTTCTTTTTGATAATTAAATCATCCATTAATTGTAATGCCTTTAATAATAATATTTGAATCTCAGTAGATGTAGGTTGTGTTTGTTTAATGTATAATAATAAATACATCTTACAGGTAATTCTATTCAATTCAAATAATTCTAATTGTAATTCCCGTTCATCTTCATCCAATTCTTGTAGTTGACCAAATGGAATACAATCATCCACTTTTGTTAATAAATCATTAATGCTTCTATTAACTTTCTCAAAATGTTTTAGCCTCTGTTCTGTCACATCAATATCTTTATCTAATTTCTCGATTATCTCCATTCTTTCCCGCTTCAATTCAACATAAGTATTCATAATCTCACCTAAAACTATTATAATCGATTGACAACATCCTTGATATGGATCCAATCCATAATTATCATCATTCCCGCCAAACAAATTATTATAATTATTAATGGTACAAATAGTCCCTCTTTTCAATGATTCACTTGACATTATATCACGAAATTGAAAAGTTGCTAAAAAGAATTTACAATCTTCAGAATATTCAAAATCTTTAATAAATTTTTGTAAACCTCCATATTGTCTCATCAATATTTCACAATTATGAAATAATTCATACCATTGGGATGTATCACCTGAATTAACTCTAATACCAATTGATATTAAATAATATGCCATCATAATGAAATAATCAAATTTATTATTATTATTATTATTATTCTTGTTTGGTTTAATTAAGGACCTCTTGGCAATTTGTAAATATCGTTCAACATCTTCATTATCAGCATTTTTATGAAATAATGCTCCCCATGCAGCCAAAAGATTCAGAATTGCTTCACTTGTAAATGCCAATGTAAAAAATGTCTTCTTAAAATAATTATGAGATTTTGGACTAATAGATAATGAATCAGCAACACTATTTTCAAAATAACTTATATATTCCAACCCTTTAGGATCTAAGAATAAAAACAATGGAGACGATAAATTATCAATAATGGTAGTATTGAATAACACAGGTGATGAAGTCGCCGTATCAACAATCCCTTCAGTTGCAGGAGATGCAAAAGCAATGTCTAATTCATCAGGAAATTGTAATATCATCTCATGTTTCCGTTGTTTTGGTTTTGTTACTTTATTGTTTTGAAATGTAGTTAGATCCAATATTTTAATATCCCATTGACAATCTAAACCTCTCACATCACAGAAGGTACAAATAGGATGTCGTTCATCACATTTCTTCTTTCGTTGTCTACAAATTAAACAACCAGTTTTAGATCTTGTTCTTTTCTTACTCATATTACATGACTCATAGAGTAGTTGGTTGTTGGTTGTTGAGGGGTTTTCTGTTTCTCCACTTTACAAGTTCAACTAGGATTAACGGGAGTCTCTTTGTATTCTATTTAGTATAGGCGGTCTAAGGAAAGAAATGCCGTATCAAATAGTTAATTAAAATTTCGTTAAGTTTTTCCGATTTAATCTTTTTTTAGTGATTGGCTTTTTCCATTTTTGAATCCTCCAAATTTTCTCCCCCACTTCAAAATATTTTTTTTAAAGTTTAAATATTTTTTATGTATTGTTCCCATTCTCCATTTTTTCTCTTTTTCCATCGAAGCTTAATTGTTCCGATGGTGGGCGGGTGGATTAATATATAATACAATAGAAGGGGAATGAGTCAACGAAGGACGAATTTGAAGGTTTGAGATTTGATTCTCTCTTTTTTTGTCATTTTCAAAACAAGCTACTTCCCCCCCACCTCCCTAAGCCCACTACATAACAAATGGATTCCAGATCATCTAGTCCCAATACCACTAGTACCAGTTCAACCACCAAAAAAGTCCGTTCTAAATATTCTCGACCTTGCGATAGTTGTAGTGTACGTAAAGTACGTTGTGATCTACAAACCCCTTGTTCAAGATGTATAAAACATAATCTCCCATGTACAAATAATCGAGTTAGAAAGAAATGTGGACCCAAAAATATTCATCAAAAAACAAGAGATGCTATATCACAAGTATCAAGAATATCATCAACTTCAACTCCAACTCCTATTCGGTCGCCTATTCTTGTAAATCCTACCACTGATGGATTTGAGTTTAAGATTCCAGTTGAAAGTTTATTACCATGTTTACAAATCTATCAAACTTGGTATTATGGAGTATGGCCAGTTATATCAGTAGCCCAATTGGTTTCAATCCTAATGAATAAATCACCAACATCAGACTGTGATTCAGAAACATTATCAACATATTCATTAAGTTGTGCTTTATCAGCAGCAACAATAAATCAAGTCAGATTCCTAAAATCAAATTTTCATTTATTTTATTTGCCAGAACAAGTTCAAAATCTTGATTTTGCTCAGGAATGCTTTAGGGCAAGAGATGAATTTGATTATCGGTCAAATCCAAGTTTAGAAACTTGTTTGACTTGTTTCTTCTTATATGCATATTATGTAAATACAATTGGGGGGAAAACCAAGGCGATAATTCATTTACGTGAATCAATATCAATTGCTCAAATATTAGGATTACATAATCCCGCAAGTTTTATTAATAAATCACCAGCAGAAGTTCATAGAATGAAGAAAGTTTATTATTTATTATTGGTGACTGAAAGATATGTTTGTATTGAAGATAGTATTCCCGTAATACTTGAACCTACAATTCCATTACCTTCTTTAAATGATGAAGAATATTCTGTATTAATTAGTGGATTTCGAGAATTGGTTAAAATCTTTGCCATCCCTGATCGAACATTCTTTGATCGATTTATTGCCTTGAAATCAAACATGGGAGAACCTAACTCTATGATGATGCCAACAACAACCTTCCATTCATCATCATGGCTCGTGAATGTTCATGAACAATTACAAAACATTCGAATAATGGATGATGCCCCCAATATTCAAAAATTAAATATCACCTTGAGTAAATATTGGATGAAAGCATTAGCATGGGATATAACCAAGAAAAATAACTTATTAGATGAATATGAAATCAGTTTATCAAGATGTTTCCCCATGATAATTGCCCGGGATTTTTTGGAAGAAACGAAAGAATTACCAATTGATTCATTTGAATCAAATGGACCTGGGGTATGTGTTAAACTACTGGCAATTATTGATAGTTTAATCGATTCAATGAGTTTAAGTAAAGATTATAGTGGGGTTGCTTATTTACAAGGAATGGTGACATTAATGTCAAGATTGGAGAATGAAATTGTCACATCTCATTTACATGATTATATGAAGATTTTGAATGCTTTAATAAATAGTCAAAATTTACATTCTCCATCTCCTGCAATTGAAATGCCGAATTTTACGGATGGTGGTGGAGGTGGACATATTTCTGAACTTTCAAGTGATGATTGTTCAGAATCTTCAAGTGTTAACCAAGACGGGAATGGAAAGAATAATAATACTAATAATGGAATATCTCCATTTACACAAATGACAATGGCATTTTGTATGAGTCCAGCAGTTGGATCTACACCTGTGCCTGGGACAACACTGACTTCTGGATCAGCACCAGGACCAGGAGCAGGACCTACACCTGTCCATGTATCTGGACAGGGACCTGCAACTTCACAATACGCAAATATAGATGATTTATATAGTCAATGGTATCCATAGATCGTAGCAAACTTTCCAATATAAAAATAATCTATTATTACTTACACTAAAAAAGGGGATAGAAAACACACACCCTGAATCAATCAATCAATAAAGAACAAACTTATTTAAAAAATACATAGACAAATTGTAGTATTTGTACACATCAATTCCGACCAGCGAAACCTTTCTTTCTCTCTTTAATCATCCTCATCTAAATCAGTTTCCAAATCACACATTGTCCTACAATTTGGACAATAAAATTGAGGATAACTTTTGGTAATTAATGGACGAATACATTTATAATGCCAAGAATGAGAACAAGGACTTATAAATAATGCTTGACAAGGTTCAATCTTCATTAAACAAATAGCACATTCAGTTAATTCCTCACCTAGACGTAGTTTATTTGTAACCCCATCAACCCCTGCTTCCGCTGAATCATTTAAATGTAAATGTTTTAATTTTTTATGAATTTCTAAATTAAATTGATTGACTTTTCTTTGCCAACTTTTATTAAATTCACATCTCATTTTAACACATCGATAAACTTCTTCCGTGCCCCCACGATAATCCATACCTAATTGAATTATATCTCCATCAATCAAAGGCATTAATGTAGATTCTTGAGATGCAGGAGATAATCGAATATGATTCAAAAAAGTCCCCGAGGAAGATTTACAATCTTTTAAAAACCATTGACCATCTTCATTACATTGAAATAATGCATGAGTTCTTGAAACAACTTTACTTTTGAATACAATAGGGGCAGAAGATCCCTGGGGAGCATGAGCAGCAGCTTTATTCTTTTCAGTATATCTACCTACTGAAATGGTAGAATCAGGTTTGATTTTTCTAATTATGGGAGAGAAATAAAGTCCTGAAGAAGTTGATGAATGATCAATTAATGGAGTTAATCTAACTGAATAAAACCCATCTTTATCCATTCCATTATTTTTTTCATCACTTGATAATTCTGTTGCTTCTGGTTGTGGGGATGATGCTTCAGCTTCTATATCAGTTGTTTCATTTATTGGAAGAGGTTGGTCTGCTGATGACGATGGTTGTGCCTGGATTGGTGTTGTTTGATTTTCACCTTCTTCTTGACATGCTTCTAGATTTTGAGTAGCAACACCCGCAGAAGCAGCAGCTTCTCCATTATTATGTAAAATCTCATCATGCAGATAATCATTCAAATTGGCAATAGTTGGACTATTTGACATTAAGCCAAGATGATTAGCTGAATCAGTTGATGTAGTTGTAGATGGATTAGTATTATTTATTTGATGAGAACCACTAGCACCACGCATACTAAAACCACTTAAGAAGTTTAGTCCAAATGATGATCTTCTTTGTTGTTGTGGATGCAGAGGTGGGGAATGATTATCAGATGCTGATCCATTATTAGATTGATCTGATGATTGTTGTTTCGTTGAAGTTGAAAGTAATGCAACAGGATGATCTAATTCTTGAGTAGGAGAGTTTGATGCTGAAGCAGATGCTGATGGAGGGATAGACGAAGTAGTCGTAGATTGAGGAGATGAGGATGAAGATATTTTTCTTGATACATTTGGTATTGTTTGGGCAGTAGTAGGACCTTTAATCATTGTTGTTGTTGGAGATGTTGTTTCTGGCATTATCTATTGCTAATGATTAGTATGTATTAGTGTATATGTGGTTGTAGTAAATGCTAAATTATTGTTATTAAATTATAAGTTAAATAAAAATAATAAAATATTAAATTAATTTTAATGATGAGTGTATGACGATGATAGTAAATGGTAAGTTTGTATGATGATATAAATGACGATAGTATTTTTATTTCCACAATCTGTCTCCAATTTTTATGATGTTTTAGTAAACTTTATATAATATTGGATGATGCTAATCACACTACTAGTGGTATCTATAAATAACTTGTGTGAGTTGGTTGTTGTTGTTTTGCAAAAGAAAAGCAAAGTTGGGAATTTAAAATTTTTATATGTGGTTTTGTTAAATTGTTAAGAAATGAGCTGGTAGATATTAAAATGAATAAATAATACACTCTTCCAATAGTAATAGTGATAGGAACGACTAGTAGTAATTATATAAAAATTGTAATAAAAATTTGACGCCCAAATCTTTTCTTTTTTTTTATTTTATTCTTATTTTATTTTTTCTTTTGTCACTCACTCAGAGAGGTTATATAAATTATAGTGTGTGTAGTGTGTACTGTGTGTAGGGTTGTGGTGTGTTGATGGTTTGAAAATCGTTTAGAATTAACTGCAAATTTGTGTAATATAATGTTACACTCCTAATCTACTGTCCCTATATAATTACTATTCCTATAATAATTTGAATTATATATATATACATATATTATATACACGTAATGGAACACTGTAAATTGATCTAATCAGCCCATGGCAACCATTGAATTGGAATTATAAATCGTCAAAGTGTATATAAGTACAAGGCTGGCTAAAAATAAAATTAATCTTTTTTTCTTATTGTTATTTTTCTTACACTTAACTAAAACGCGTTAAACAATCAATCTATTAATCTTAGTAAAACATCTTGTAATTGTTTCTTACCATTATTACTCTTCCAAATATAATGACTAGTATCTTTACTTATTATCCATTCACTAGTCTTATCACTTAATATACTTATTTCTCTTTGCCATTTACCCCAATTTAATGATGTTTTAATCATATAATCACTAGAAACAACAACAACAGTAATACCATTAATATCAGATTTTATAACTTCATTATATGATAATATCCCAGATAGTAATTGTTCTTGACATCTTGCTCTAATATATCTTGATTGATATATAAAATCACTACCAAATATTCTACTTTTACTGGAATATTTCATAGGATGGAAAAACCAATGAATATTTGCAACCAATCCTAATGGTGATATAAATCCACGTACCCAAAGTTTAAACCCAGTCAAATTATCCATAACTTCCAATGAACCTTTAAATACCGACAAATCTTCATTCTTTCTATGTCCTCCACTAAATGGCCATTTCTTCAATAAATCAGTATGCCAACTATCAACAAACAAAATAGAATGAATCTTATGTTTATATCTACTAGCAAAATTCCTAACATATAATCCACCAATATCAAACCCCACCATTGAAAACGGACCTTCAATCCCTTGTGATTCCAAAGCTTCCATTAAATAATCATTAATTATTCCAATTGAACTAGGTGGTGGTGCACTATCGGAAAATCCATATCCTGGTCTATCATAAACACAATATCTTTCTAATTTATTTAAATGATATAATTCTTCAATCCATTCTTGGAAAACTTCACTTGAACTCAATTGTCCTCCATCAACCAATACAATTGGTTGTGTTGCATTGCTGTCATATACATCTCCAAAACAAGCTAAATGGATCCTGAATCGATTATTATTCACAGGTACTAAATCACCCCAAGGTTTTTCATGAGTATCAAAACTACTCAATAAAATAGTTAAACTAATACACCAAATAATCCAAAGTATAAATATTTCAATCAATACTTTCAAACTCATAATCATCAATTCTCCAACGGTTCTTCTCTTTTCAATTCTACCAGTAAATCTAATCTCTTGAGAATTTCTTGCTTCCTGAACCCAATAATCAACCATCGAATTTATGAATGAATTAAAACATGTCCAACCAATCAACACCGCCCCCAACCCACCCAATCTCTGTCTCATCGCCGGCACTGCCATAACCACCACCAAATCAACCACCAAAAATATCGCAATCACAATACCCATAATTCTTTCATAATAAGCCGGAATTATAAAGAATAAATTATGTATCGAATTAATTAATAAACAAATCAATATTAAATCAATTTCTAAAAATGATTTCCCTCTATTGTTAAACCAGGGAATCGAAAAGAATTCACTAATGACCAAGATTAATAATAGGAATAGATTGATATATACCAATATTCTTATAAATAATTTAAGTCGTTGGATATGGGGGAGGTTTAATGGAGAGACTTGGGGATCATCGGGGTCTAATAATGGTTGTTGTTCTAATTGTTCTTCGGATGTACTTGATGAATCATTGATTTGGGAGACTGGTGGGGCTGGTTGTCTATTTGTATTCTTTTTAGGTGTATTTGTCTGACTGTTAGCTATTGGTGGATGCTGCTCTGGCTCTGGTTCTGAATTACCTGTCGATTGATATGTTGACATGATTTCTGTAGTTGATAAAGAAGGAATTAAGTAAAAAAGTGTGGAGAGAGAAGAGCCTTTTTTTTTTGATGGTTTAAGGGTTTTATCTGGTCGAGATAAAATTGCTTTAGCAATCTTATATAAATTTTCAATTGAATCATTAACCACTTACTTTGTATTAGAGCCAAATCCAGATAGAGAGCTTCCTGAAAGGACGAAGGAATGGTTAATTACGTCTTTGAATTTTGAAACTATTCTAAGCCTATCAGTCTCTTCTATCACATGATCCAATAAGACGTGTTTCTTGTTTGAAAATTAGACCCCAAATTGATAGTTAAAAAAATCTTATCCAACAAGAAATAGACACTAAGGGGAACCTATACACTTTATTTATGGTTTCTTCCATAGTTATAAGGAGACCTAATTGATCCGTTTCTTCAATCTATTTGGTGGTACTAATCGTGAAGTTGAAATTTGCAGCATTTCCTAATTGGGGGATTTGTCTCGGCCGAAAGAAATAACTGGAGGGGTTCCTAAGATTTTTATCTTCTTCACACGAACAACAATTTTTAAACCATCTTACATTTTACTTAAGAAATTTACAACTTCACTTTAATCAACAAGAATAAATAAAACAAAACACGTAGGATTATCTTCCATTGCTACTCCACCCCTACGCGTACAACAAACACAAGATGACCACATCACTGAAAGACGTAATTTCCATTCCAAATGATATTGAAATAGGAGGTGCAACTTATTATCAAATTCATATCAAATTGCCACTTCGATCATTTATTGTGAAAAAGAGATATTCTGATTTTGAACAATTTATAAGTAATTTATGTGATAATTTAGGAATAAATGTTAAAGATTTCCCCTATAGTTTACCTGCTAAAAGAATCAATTGGTTAAATAATAAGAATTCAATTATTGAAGAACGAAAAGTTGAATTGACCAAATTATTAAATAATATAATTAAAGATAGATCATTACAAAATGAAAAGATTGTGTTGGAGTTTTTACAATTACCTATTAATTTTAAGTTTAATAATGATATTTTCAAGAATGACGATAATGATGGTCCTTCATTTCTAAATATGGATGTATCAACATCTGATAGTTGGCTTCAAGTTTATAGAAGTCTTAAACAAGATATACAAGATTGTCAATATCCATCATCAATTCAAGAAAAGATAAAAATAAAACAAAAAATAAATACCACTTATCAACCAATACTCCAGAACCTTTTAAAATCACGTTCTCAATTATCATTATCGAATGATGAAAAACAAAAACGAACATCCTTAATAAATCAACTTCAAACAACTTTGGAAACCATCTTAAATAGTCAATTATATCAACAATCCCATGCAAGTGACAACATGCCAGGTGGATTCAGACAGGCGAAAAGGGTATTAGGAGCAACCCCACCACCTCCTGATCTTCCCAAAGAAACCAAAGAAACCAAAGAAACCCTTCCATTATCCAATCAAGAGCTATTACAACAACAAATTCAAATCCATAAACAGCAAGATCAAGAAGTGGAACAACTTAGACATTTGATCGCTAGACAGAGAAACATGGGTGAATTAATTCATAATGAAGTAGAAGAACAAAATCTTATGTTGGATAGATTTAATGAAGAAGTAGATTCTGCAGGTGATAAAATTAAAAATGCAAGACATAGAGCTAGGAAAATCGTATAGAATTTATTTATTTTTACATAATATTTATATATCTATTTATACAATTTGGCATTTTTCATAGATCTATTGGATCAGTGACTATTTCATTTAGCAAATTTACTAAAACGATATTATCTGCCATAGTAGGAGGTTGTCTTTCATCATTAAAAAAATCTTGTATTGCCGGATGATTACTTAAATATTCTTGAGTTAATTTCTCAAGATATGAATTATCTTGACCATCCAATACTCTTTCTTGATCAGCACCACCCCTTAATGGATCATTATCAATTTTCCAAAATCCCCCAACATTATTAAAAAAATTATGAATTCCAATTCTTCTAGGTGGATAAGCTCGACCATAATTTCTTAAATTGCCAACTTGGGGGAAATATTGCCAATAAAAGAAACTACCAACATATACCCCAATTAATGACCCAGCAATAATATCTCTCAAAAAATGTCGATTATCACTCACTCTTGAAGCAGCAACAAAACATGCCAACATTATTGGAGCAATGGTTAGGAATACCTTGAATGAATTATGTCGATTATCAAATGTATGTAATCTTGCCGCAATATTTAATGACGTTATAGTCATGGCACAAAATACCGCCGACAGATGTCCACTGGGGAATGATCGAAATCCTTCCATTACCAAATTCCAATCAGGTTGAGTACATATTGCCACCGTACTTAACACCATTGGATCAACAGGCGGTATAGCTGGTCCAATTGGATCACATCTAGATATCAAATCAGGTCTCGGCAATCCAGTAATATTCTTCAAAATACAAGTTGCCATTAATTGTGTTGCCATTGCCCCTAATAAACATATCAACCCGGAAATAAAATCCCAAATTCTTCTTCTAATTGCAAATGTCCTAGGTGAAAATATCGAAAAGAACCCAAATTGTAAAATGGGTATCCCTCCAGATATGAAAACCAATAGGGGCATAGGTATAGCCGCCTGGGCTTCTGTCCTATAGGCATATCGCAATGATAAATCAAATAACAGAAATTCATGAAATATGGGCGGGATAATTGTACCTAATGTCATGGATAATATTAATATTGTTGAATAAAATATGAAATCAAATGTGTAGGAGATTGTGGTTAGGCCTGATAATTGAAGGTTTTTAATTGTTATAATCCAATCTCTTGTGAATAAATGCATTGGAAATGAATAATTTAATATATATAGTTAAGGTTTATTAGTAGGGTTTTTGCAATCTATTAGATTAGCTGCAAAATCCGGGTAAATTAAAATCTCACAGAAGAAAAAAATAAAATTGTCGGTTCTTGTTTTTTGTTTGGTTAGTGTGAGAGGGAAGTAATGAAAAAGATTTTTCAATTCCCTCATCCCTTAAGTATATCTTCTCTTCTTCTTCCTGTTAACCAAAAATCAAATTACTCAAATTGTATGTTTTAACCAATATTAAAAAGTCATTTTGATAGTTTAACTTTTAATTTTTATAAGATGATAACGTTTCGCCTATATTCGATTTCATATGAGAATACACAAAACAATTACACCAAGATCTACGCTGAACTAAAAACATAAGTTAAATTAAATCAAATTGATGAAAAGCCATTACAAATGAATTGTTACTAACCAAAAATTTAAAGGATCCATCTAGAAATAAACCAGGATGATACTTTTGTGAATGCAACACTACCCCCAAAATCTTTATCCCTTCTTCTATCTCTTTTTCGGATAGGTGTAACTAATACTTAACCCTAACACACCTTTGCCAAACATTTGTACCTCTAAAGTGGAAATTTACACCTCCACCTAATATTATGACCTCTTTCAAGTTCTTCATATTTCTTATCATTTAGCTAATCCTCTTCCAACCTGGAGATTACTGAGGTCAGGTTCCCTTAGTTAAGGGATGATGACTATATGGGATCAGTTTCATAAACCAGATAGTCGATTTCTCTAAAATAACTTTGTGAAAGGAATCTTCACTTGCTTTGGTAGGGAGAATACCTGTGACATTGTTGTTGTAAATACACAGGAACCTCTCTATCATCCAAGTTTGACGAATTATGGAGTAAAGACAGGTTTCTATGTAGTCTGCTATGCTGAAGGAGAAGGGAAACACCAAAATCCACAGAGCTACCAATTGATAATTTTTTCAATCATACTGCATATAAACCAAACCAATGAAAATACTGAAATTTGTAAAGAGAGAAGTCAATGAAAAAAACTTAAGACTTACTTCAGTATAAACCACTAGAAGGTAAACACATATAACAAACCCCCCACAACAACAATATGATAACTGCAGCAGGTCTTGGATTAAGTGTCTTTCTCGGATGTGCCACCAGAAGATTACAAGTTATAATCATGGCTGGTCCAACCCCACCAAGATCAATTCATCGTTTAACTGGATATGCATTATCCCTGGCATTGTATGTTGGTGTGTATTTTGGATTTGATAGGATAATTGAAAATAATAAGAAATTGATACAAAGAAGATTGGCTATTTTACGTGAACAAAGAGCTATTGAAGATGATTTCTTTAATTTTGAAGAAGAACCTGATCATAGACATTTGGTTGATAGAAAAGGATTATTACTTAATTTGGTTGACAGAATTGGTGCTCCAAATAAATAAAGAGACATGATTTGCATAACGAATAGGGAATAAGAATATGTAATAGTTGTCATATATATATTACAATACTAAAAGGGGTTTTTATTACATGTATTTTATTTATTTTTAGTTTTTAGTTGTTTTTTTATATTACAATTTAACTAATACATATTGAACAAACACGACATACATATATACACTTCCTGACTCATTGTCACTCCCTGACTCATTGCTCTATTTCTTCTTGTTCTTTACCTCTATTAAACACATCATCACCTTCTTCTTCTTCACCTTCATTATTGTCACTATGAGCACCGGCATCACTATCATATTCTTCATCAACTTCACTGTCGTCTTCATCTCCCTTGAAATCAGCATCGTCTTCTTCGTCATCATCGTCAGCGGCGGCAGTTCCCGGCTGAACAGACTGTTCCCCATCAGTTGCTGCTGCTGCGGCTGCATCTGTCGTTGTTTCTTGTTGTGGTCCCTTTTCTTGATGAATAGTATTAAACGAATCATCACTAATTCGATGTTCCTTAATAAAATCATCAATTATTTGAAAGAATGCTTGATCAATCATACTAAATTCAATTATTCTTTCTTCATTTCTATCATTTAAAACCGTAACCACAATACTGAAAGTATTTCTAGTAATATTTGTATAACTTGCATTTAAAACTTTTGATAATTCAAATACTTGAATTGGTTTTTTGAATCCAAATATAAGATAGGGAGAATTATATTGATTTTGTTTTAGGAATAATAATACTCCATCTTTCGCTCCTTTATGACATTCAACCATTATTATCAATGGACTTGACGAAGGAGCCTTATTATCAATTAATGCTACGGCACAATCATGATTTAAACTAAATTGAGTTTGGAAAAGTGTAGGACAAGGTAAATAATTAATCAAATTCACGCCACATAATTTGAATTGTCGTTTAAAATAATCCAAAATTCGTTCTTGAATTGGATTTAAAATTAATGTATTTTTAGGACTGGCAAATTGTGATTCAATATCAGCGGGTAATTTCCCTTGTTTAATCATTTGTTTTTTAATTATATCTAATTGAATTTGACAAATTATTGGATCTTTTGAAATATTTGTATCTTGACAATATTCTTCATTAATCCAAAAACATAATGATGCAACTCCCTTTTTGATTGGATTGGTTGAATTACCTAATATTGGTAAGATCATACATAATTTAATTGAAGTTTCTAAATTAATTAATGAGATTTCTGGAACCATATTGGTGGGATTTACAATTGAAAGTAATGGATATGGATTACCATCTCGTTCTAATAAATGAAAAGTTAAATTCATTTTCTTTCTAATTGGAGATTGGAATGAAACTTGAGGGATTTCAAAGATGATTGATTCTTCAGGTATTGGTTCTTCACTACGGACAATTAAACCATTCTCACTATTTACATTAGCTATTGTTGGAGATTCTTTTCTTCGTTTATTAGAATCGTTATTTGAATCAGTTAGATATGTGAATAAATTATTAAATACGTCAAGGTTATTAGCATCTTTTTGGATAGAAAATCTAACTTGTTCTTGTAGATTATGAGGAAGTGTCAGTATCCAATGTGGTTCCAGCATAGTTTGATTGTGGAAGGGTATTTCTTGATATTGGTTCCTAAAAAGAAAAACAAGTAAAGCTTGCAAAGTAAAATCAATTTAGATTCTTCCAGAGTGCGAATATTGATTGACCAATATGAAATTGCCATGAGCATTGGAAAAAATGAAGCAACTGAAGCATACACACCAACAGAGTGTAGATGAAAATGAACTTTCAATGGAAACCACTAAAGATAAACTATTAGATTCAAATGCCAATATAATTCATATATTACCAAGTTGTTTACAAGAGTTAATAACCATTGATTCTGTTTATAATATTCTAATAGAATCAACTAATGACAATGACTTAAAGAATCAATTAATTGATCTTAAAGATTCAATTGATCATTCTATAGTAGAGCAATCAATAGATCAAAATAAATGTTTATTATTGACAATGATGTTTGGATCTAGTTGTATGAAAGCAATTGATATAGTTTTCAATAAACAGATTTATTGTTGTCTTTCCATGGGGATTGAATTGAACGATTATTTCAATGATCCATTGAAGTTTACAACAACCCAATTTAAAATAACCATAACATCTAGATCAACAGTTAATATGGAAGAAAAGCTATTGTTGAAATTGGGATATAAAAAATTACATGGGAGATTAGTTCCATCATCTGACAACAATACATCAACTAATGAAATAATAATAAGCAGCAAATCACTTGGTGACTATAACTCTGTTGATTTATATAATTGGTATTGTGATTGTGATGAATATCAACAATCATATACTGATGATATGAAACCAGTGAAAATAAATGGTGATTCTAATTTAATTGAATGTTTATTAAGTCAACTGAAATCAATTATTCTTGAACCAATTCCAATTTGTTGCCACATATTGGCAACATTAATTATATTGTTTAACATTGAGAAATTACATGATAGAGTATTTGTTGAGTATGAGTAAATAGTTAGATTGGGTATAGAGGACGGGGAGTTTACATATTGTATCATTTATAACTTTGGAAGATATAGAGGTTAATTTTTTTAATTGGTTGCAAATTATTTTGAGATCCTTTTAAGATTTGAGCCCTCTCAGAATAGTCACAAGAGGGGTTAATACCGTGTTTGTAAATGGCCCTAGAACAGAGGATAAACTATTTTCAATACCATACGTATCCAGAATTGTTGTTGTCTATGTCTATGTTATTTAATCTAAGATAAGGATGAGCTAAAAAGTGTCTGCTGTATTTGCTCTCTTTTGTTGGCTTGCGACGATATACTGAAAGCATTACTTGCATCTAAAGGCATGGATAGAAAGATTCTACAGACCTCATCCCTTATCCTATACATATATATATACGTGTGAGTTATTGTCTCTGTACTAATAGAGTTTTGCAACCAATATAAAACCTTACACTATTAAATTGAAGCTAAACAGAAAAAAAAAAAGAGATCGTGGTAGAGGGTACGTGGTGTTTCTTGTTATTTTGAATTTAAACTTTTCAAATTTAACAAATGTTAATTAAATTTTATTGGATGAGATGGATAAGGGGTGCTGATTAATTGTTAGTATTATAGACATCGATTTTATAGAGATATATTTCATAAGGGGGGTGTAGATAGTTTATATGTAATTGTATAGTGAATAGTCCGCCTGGTAACAACAATAATTAAAATTAGAATTAACACATACACACCACACTTAATTTAATTTAAATTATGACAAATTGGCTTTTACAAGAATTTAGAATGGAAAAGAAAGAAAGAGAAAAAAAAAAAAAAGTTTTTCTTTTTCACCAAAAAAAAAGAAGAAGGTCATTTCAATAAAAATTTCTATTTGATCAATATCTAAAGAACACTTATTATTATTATTATTATTACAACAAGACACTACCAGTCAATAACTTGTCTATTAGATTATCATCATCATCAACAATAACATAATCCATCCTTCTTATTCTTATTTCATAGGATTTTCATATTTTCATTTCTTTACAACAATAACAAATAGATAGAGAGAATTTTCTGCATTATTTTGAAAAATAACAAAATTCAACAATCACTACAACAACCAAATAACAACAAGAGATCTATTTACGAGAGAGAAATAGAATCTAACCAACTAACTGTTCCCATTATTATTACTTAATTATTATTGTTTCATTTTACAAAGAACAAATCAACAAATCAACCCTCCAATAGTGTGAACAAAAAATTTAGTTTGATTTTGATAATTCATATTTATTTAATTCTTCCAATACATAATTTATAAAAAGTGAGCTTTAAATTTTACTAATTAAATACCACTTTTATAATCTTAATAATTAGTATTAACATCAACGAAAGGATTCCACTTATGTTCTATTATTGAAACAATCACATTAACAAACAACAACAACAACATCCAAACAAAGATTATTTATATTTTTTTTTAATACTGTCATAACTATTGTATAATAATACCAACATGTCAACTCATTCGTCATCTACATCTTCAAATACTACTGGTCCAAGTCGGTTTCGCAGTGATGCTGCCAGTTTCTTACCAAGTCAACATCCTAGTTCATATCATCATCAGCAACAACAACAGCCAGCGCTACCACCGCAACAACAACAGCATACTCAACCCCACCATACACAACCCAATCAATATTACACCCCGCAACCCCATATGCAACAACATATTCAACCCCATCCACAACAACATATGTATATGCAATATGCAAATACTCAATATCCAATGATGATGAGTTATAATCCAATGTATGTGCCGGTATATGTTGATAATCCATATTATCCGACACAACAATATGGAATTCCAGTACAACCACAACCAATTCCATTCACTCAACCAAATCCTTATAACAATCAACGCAAGAGTATCAATAATACTTATAACAAACGACCAAGTCAAACGCATATGAAATATACTCCAGCTAATGCAAAACCAAATGGTAATATAATAAAACCAACTAATATAGAATATTCTTCTTCACTGTCTCCTATACCCAAGAAAGATGAATTGTCAACTCCTACTTCCACATCATGTACTACTTCTACATTAAGTACTCCTGCAACTACTCCTGCCAAAACTATTGCAACTACCACTAATGATCACCATGAAACTAATGACTCTAATGAACAGCAAAAGCAACAACAACAGCAACCACCGCAAATACAAATCAAATATCCTATATTTATTAATACAGATCTTAATGCATTTATCAATCAATTTGATGTGACTCATAGATTCCATGATCATGACAAGAAAAATAGAATACTAAACAATTTACAAACAACTGCTACTAATAGACTAATATTTAATACTCCTTTAATAAAAGCGTTTGACTTCAATTCCAATAGTACCACGACCACTGATGGTGGAGTAAGACAATTATTGAAGACAATCACTCCACTGACTCCAGAACCTACCGAATCCGTCACCAGCCATGCATCTACAATCGCCACCCCTGCATCTAAAACTGCCACCCCTTCAATAATACAGCATGAAAAACAACCAGATCAAAAGGAAGAGACGAAGGAACAACAACAACTATCACCACAACCACAAAAACAACAACAACCACAACCAGCAAATTGGGCGTCATTTTTACAAACATCTGCCCGTTCTACACCCGACATTGCCAAACCTGCCAAACCAACCAAAATGGCTTCCCCTGCCACCCCATTAAAATCAACTACACCAATACCAACTTCAACAGCTTCTTCATCAGTTACTGATTTCAACATGAATAATGAATCTGCTCAACCATTAGGTGTATTATTATTAAGAGTCATGTTTGATCCTAATTATTCGGTCTTAAATTCCGAATTACCAATCTATTCAATCAAACCTCGTGGATTAATTAATACTGGTAATATATGTTATATGAATTCAATTTTACAAATCTTATTACATTGTGAACCATTTAATCGATTATTAAAATTAATTGAAAATAAATCAATTGGATCATTAGGTGGGAATTCCACTACACCATTATTGGATGCAACTATTAAATTTTTTAATGAATTTACAAATTCCAATGAAAATCTAGTTCCTGAAGGTGTTGTTACTTCTAAATTACCAGCGATTTCTCCAAAAGATTTTTATGATAAATTAGTATCACAACCGAAATTTCTGCATTTACAATGGGGACAACAAGAAGATGCTGAAGAATTTTTGGGATATTATTTAGATGGATTAAATGAAGAATTCTTAGAATCAATTAAAAGATTAACTACTCCCATGGTTGATTCATTAATTCAATCATATTCAATTGATAATATAGCTGAATTGACTAATAAATTTAAATATAATGTGAAAATTACTATGAAAAAAGTCAAGAATGACTTGAAAGATGATGAAAATCAAGTTGATGGTGGTACTGGTGATGGTGAATGGAATGAAGTTGGTGCTAATAAAAAAATTCATGTCAAACGTACAGTTGAAGTAGATCCAACCCCGATAAATATGATATTTGGAGGACAATTCAAATCAGTATTAACAATCCCCAAATCATCATCAAATCAATATCAAAAATCAATAACATTAGATCCATTCCAACATGTTCAATTAGATATTAGTAAAAGTGATACTATTGAAGAAGCATTTAAACATTTGAATGAATTAGAACAAATTAGTTATAAATCAAATAATAATAAAGAAGTCCAAATTAAAAAACAAACATTTATTGATAAATTACCCGAGATTTTAATTATTCATTTAAAAAGATTTAGTTATACCAAAGATCAAGATATTCAAATTGAAAAATTAAGGAAAAAAATTGATTATAATCATGATTTAATAATACCTAAAGATATCTTATCGTCTCATAATGAAATTGAGGAATTTAAATATAGATTAATTGCAGTTGTATATCATCATGGAAGTAGTGCAGATGCTGGTCATTATACCAGTGATATATATAAAGGAAATGAAGAATGGTGGAGAATTGATGATACGTTATTGAAAAAGATTACTAATGAAGAAGTATTAAATGCTGGTACTGAAGAAAATATTAAGAATGCTTATATTTTATTATATCAAAAGATTCAAAATTGAGGTTAAACCCTTGGGATTTTGGATAAGTACGACTGAAAGTGTTTTGTGATTTGTGTATATAAGTGTATATTAGGTTATATAAAAATAAAGATTTAAAAAATAAGAGATCAAAGTAAGTTTGTAGTAATACCACCAAGACTATCGTCTCCCAAACGATTGAAGTGAAAAATTCTTGGAATTTAAGCTTTTCGTGACTGAATCTTATTTTGCACATTCAACACTTTATTGCCAAGAAAGATCTACAACACCAAACCCCTGACAAATTCTTCTCCTATTATTCGACGATAATGCTTTCTTTTTTTATTCATCATCCTCTTTCTTCGATAATACATCTACTCAACATAATATCTATAAGAAATGAATTACGGAAATTCACCTTGGCCATGGCCACGTATCTTGGGAATGGTACTTCTGTTAATAGTAACCATCACATCGATAATATGTTTTGTTTTCACCCGTACCAGTCTTTTGAATGGATATATTGACGATTTAGGCTATCCCATCTATGGCTGTGCCGGATTGCTGATGATCATCGCTATTAATTATATGATATATCAACAATCCAAAACCTTGATCGTATTGGTATTAATGATTATTTCTTTGATATTTTGGTTAGTGATGGTGATTATGTTTACCATCCAGAATGGAACTGGTTGTAAGATCCCCCCTGGGCAGATATTTCAAGATTGTGGTCAGATGAAGGAATTGTTTATATGTATGATAATCACATTGGCATGTTTATTAATTGCAATGGGGAATTATATATGGTATAAAATATTACCAATGGTTAAACAAGGTGGGTTTAAGGCGTTGTTACCCCAACAAAATAGAGGAGGAAGAGTTGTATATCCTCCTCCTCCAATTCATCCACAAGCGGCGGCTGGGACTTCGTATCCACTTCAAGATTATAGTTATCAACAACAACCACCACCACCTCCAGGGTACGCGTATCAACCACAACCGGGAAATCTGTATTATTCAACCGCGTATCCTCCACCACCTCCGCTACCACAAAAGGGGTGATAGTATACTAGCATTTGATATTAATGTTATCGGGATGGGTTTGATGCAGTTCAAAATACGTGGGTTTAAAAATAAACTTATCGCGTTTTAATTACGAGAGAGATTCTATAAGCCCCAGTTCCAATGGTGTTGATAATATTTATTATTTTTTTGGTAGAATACGATTATTTTTTTTAGTTATAATTAGACAATAAACACTTTGCTAGAAGAACAACAAATCATGTAAAACCTTTCTCTAGTTGTGAAGGATTATCCAATGTTGTATTCCGTAAGGAAGAATTGGACTGCTCGAGGAAGGTTCAAGGGAATTAAGTTTGGATGCCAAGAGAAGATGAACACTTAGTTGCGAAAAGTGGAATACAAAGTTCAGTTAATTGGGAGGATTGCAAATCGTCTATTATAAATCAATAGTCTCGAAGCAAAAGGCTTATCTATAAGCAAGCAGACCAGGCTTAAGCAATCCTCATCTACATACTCTATTTTATTCTCGTGAAAAGAATGGAAAGGCTCAATCCTCGTGGCTCAAAACGTAGGGTCGTCAGACGATTTAAACCAGGTTATTCTCATTTAATCAAGATCTCTAATTCTAGATCCTACACTCTACGACAATTGGATAAAGTTGTTAAAATAACAAAAACTAAGCATTTAGTCCATATATATAAACTAACTAAGGGAGCTAAAGACTACTAAACAAGGATGTCGAAATAAAATGAAATCGTGCAAATTTCATCGATACTCATAATTTAAATAAACTCTATCTTCAACCAAAGACAGCTAAATTAATGTTACAAATTAAAAAACGGGTTGCTCTTTATTAACTAATAATACACTAAAACATAAAAAATCTCTATCAAAAAGGGGGGTTGTAGTTTAGTCTAACTTAGAATAAAGCAGCAGCAACGGCAGCGAAACCAGCAACGGCACCAGCAGCCATCTTGTTAGCACCACCTTCGTGGGTAGTGACGTTACCGAAGGTCTTGGTTGGAGCAGCAGAAGTTGGAGCAGCAGTGGTTGGAGCAGCAGAAGTGGTAACGTAGGTGGTTGGGATGGTACATGGACCAGTGATGGTTAAAGTGGTGGCTTCAGTGACAGTGATGGTCTTGTTGTTGACAACAACGGTGGTTGGCAATGGACAGTAGGTGGTGTAGTCAGTAACGACAACTTCGGTGGTGACGGTGACGTTAGCGGCAGAAGCAGCGGCGACTAAAGCGGTTGGGACGATAACTTTGGAGAATTGCATTTTTTTAATGTATAATTAGCGAGTGACTGAGGATATAACTAAAGAAAAGAAGAAGAAAAGGAAAAATTGAACTTTACATGAATTACAAAATGGGGAGATAGGTCGATTTATATAATGGCAAATTCTCTCTTTGTTTTTATGAAATCTATTTTTATTTAATTACGGATGTATGTGTGCAACTGTTAAATTCTCGATGGATCAAATTATAAAAAAAACAACATTGCAGCCACAAAAAGAAATTTAAAATTATGTGGTAGTGCATATATTTTTTGAACAATGGGGCGTTATTGCTGAAATTTTTTATTTGAAATTATTGAACAATAGAATCAGGTCTAATTGGGAATTCACATTTCCTAATTCAGGATCATATGTGCATTTGAATTGGCTGGCCTCGGATAAATGAGTTACAAAAAGAAATTTGCGTTTTCAGGGCTTGCTATTTTTAGTTTGGCATGTTTACATTTTTTGATCTTCTTAATTTCAAAGATTTTTTGGCCCGAATAACTTTTCAATGTCGGAATCTAAAAATAATTAAAATAGTTATACACATCTTGTGTAATATTCAAGGATAACCGATATGTGGGATCTTTACTAAAGTAAAAGGCAAGCAGAAGCCCCAGGTCTTCCACTCCCCTGAATTGAGATGATCGTAGTCAGCAATTGATGAAAACAGAATTGCTATGTCATGTCAACAAAATGGCTTGATTTCCAAGAAGGGAAAGTCAGATTGATTTACGGTTACTACGGTGGCAATTGTTGCGGTGAAAGTGGTTGGAAAGTATTGTTTAAAAACAAAATTAATTACATTCACTGCATTGTTCATAGGCTAGTTGAATTTCATAAGGTTTTTTGTTTTGTAATGAATTATTTTTTCAACAACACAGAAAGCCATTCGCAAATAATTACTTGCATTACCACACACCCACTTCCTAAACACCCGCAATTCCTATTTTAAGTTTACGGTGTACCACTATAAGGCAATGTAGCCTGATTTTGACTATTTCAAGAAGTAGCTAGATTAGTTCTAAAAATAGCGGGTTGATGGTTACGTCGACGTATTGGTTTTGTACACTTGTTTCTTCCATTGTTCGGGTATTTCAGCCTTCGGGAAAATTATTTTAAGCTTTTTTTTTTGTTTTTATTCGTTCTATTTTGGTCAAAGCCAGATCGTTTTTAGATTGATTTATCAAAACCATTTCAAATACGAGAAAGCTTGATAACGCACACCAATATCACCACGGGGTTATTCTTTCACTAATTGACCAATTGATTTACTTAGAGATTTGAACCACTGGGGGGAGAATCTAAAACTGACTGAGATGAACAGGATTAAAGTTTATCGTGTCTCACTTCTGTATGCAGAAGAAGAATGTGGTAGTTTTCTATGATTGAATTGGTTCAGTGTTTAGCCCCTGAACACTGCCGGTTTGATCCTTGGTTGTGACCACACAACTTGACCCTGTTGGCGTCATTCTGAATATGAAACTTGGCCGATTGTTCCTTAATATGCAATTTGGGTTATTTAATCTAAACAATTGAACGTTGGGATCAAAGCTGGAATTGTGTAGAGCTTAATCCCGGAATTTGAATTTGCTACTGTGCTATAAGGGTAGATTTTACTATCTTTCTTTATAATTAGGGATTCATTACCATGTGAGAGAATTACACAATGAAGAAGATATGAAGATGCAGGGGCTCATGAATCTAAGCATCAATCTGTGATTTTCTAGAACTTCTTTGAGACATTTTGTTTTTTCTTGTCAACTGATGAGATTTTAATCACTTGCATAAAAAATAAACTATTTTTTATTACCAACAAGATGGAACCATTTTTATTTTTATCGTACACTTCAATTCTAGAATCCACCAATGTTTAGTCCAAGTTGATATCTGTATCTTACAATTAGACGATTAATTAATTAATTAACAAATGTTTATTAAGGAAAATTAACATAGAAGATATTTTACAGCTATATAACCATTTTTTCCCACCTCTATTCTCAAAATGCAATCAAGATAAAAATAACCTACACCTACCAACATTCATAACCTCCATCTACTACTAAATTATGTCCAGTGGTATAAGAACTAGCTGATTCACTAGCTAAATATAAAATAGATCCTACAAATTCTTTTGGTTCTGCCATCCTCCTCATTGGAATCTTTCCTTCCCAAGCTTCTTTCATTTCAGTATGACCACTAATAACGTTTTTTGTCAATGGAGTCAAGATATATCCTGGAGATAAAGTATTGACTCTAATATTATATTTGGCCCATTCACAAGCTAATGATCTGACTAAATGAATAACACCAGCTTTAGACATATTATACATACATTGAGGTTGTGGATCATTGACAATTGTACCAGACATTGAACCAATCAAAATAATTGATCCACGTAAATTATTTTCAATTAATGGTCTTGCAAATGATTGTGATACATAAAATGAACCTAATCCATTAACTTTCATTATATTTTCGGCATTTTTAGCAGGATAATCTTCAGCCGGGAAATTTTCACAATATCCAGCAGTATTAATTAATATATCAGCAATCTTGTCATGATGTATATTAATTGCCTGAAATGTGGATTCAACCGATTCAGCATCTCCAATGTTACATGACCATGCAGAAACTTTACCGATTGGAGATTCATGAGTACCTTTTAATGTTTCTTGACCCCAGGCTAATACTTCTTTGGCAGCTAGTTGGGTACGTTCTAAGTTGATATCTATAAGGGCCACATCGGCCCCTTGAGCCAATAAAGCACGGGAAACGACGGATGCTAAACCGCCTGATCCACCAGTGAGGATAGCTAATCTTCCATCTAATCTGAAATTTGGAACAACGTTTTCGTAGGAGTAAACAGACATGTTTAAGTTTTGTTTAAGAAATTGATATAGTAATAATGAAAAGAGAAAGAAGTAAGAAATAGAAGATAAGAATAAATTGGAGACTATTTATACGATCTTATGTTGTTGATTGTGACTCCCCACAGAATTTTTCAACAGTTTTTAAGATGACCATTTTCCACAAACTTGCAACAAAGTTAGTTTTAAAAATATTCGGAAAAATACAACCATAAACTGTTGCAGAATGGATGTTATAAGCACCCTGTGTGCATATCGGTAACGATATCGGAAGAACAGTACAATTTTTTCACTCAAAGTACACGACCATCACAATATCTTAAGGTGATTTACTGTCTGATAACAGATAATTAATGGTCATCCGACTATTTGCTTTAAGAAACATCACCAGATTTTAAATAGATAGTTATGACATTTTGATTGTAACCTCATGAGAAATCACAATTAATCTTATGATATATCAAGTGGTTTTCTCATGGACGAATGATGAGTATGTAAGCTAGTGTTGCCTGGCACGGGTTTGACTCAACATTTTATCTCACTCAACAAACCGGGGCCATCCCCTATGATCAGTATAATGTGTTCAGGGAAAGGCGGGTACGTCTCTATCTTTGCGAATTATTAATAAAATCTAAAGGCGGGTTTATTGTTCTTTTCTTTATGAAAATTGAAATTTTTGAGGGGTGGCAAAAATAATTTTATATTGTGCCTGTGCGGGAGAATTTTCAGGGCCGAAAAAAAAAATATAGTGGCTGCAAAATATTACAGAAGATGGGGGGATCAATTTGTAGTTTTCAATTCCACCGTTTTTTCTACCGTTTTCTCTCTCTAAGGTGTCAATCGTATTTTTACTTGACAGATGCCAAATAGAGAAATACTCCCGAGCTTAGCCTAGGAAAGACAAAGAGCGGCATACATGACAAGGGGCCATTTCCTAAATCATTTAACGGGGATTAAAACACGGCAGGAACGGATAATCCCGAGAGAAGACCCAAAATATACATCCAAATATACATCCAATGAAGTTTGCAGTCTTCCATTTGTTTTCTCAAACAATTCTTTACTCTTTGCAGCTGTGACGATTTATAAGATTTGTCATAAAAATTGCTCTATTTCTGTCCAAGAATATAAACTGCACTGCACATCTAAAACATAATTTCCTATTAATCTCTCTAGATTTGATTTTGCAAGCTGATATTGAATTCAAGTCCCATTTGACTGAAATCCAGGATAACTCAGTTAAGGCTTCACTGTAATTGTACAATTAAAGAAGTCAATATCTACCTCATTTTCATTAGGCCTCGGTCTTTTCATCTGTAAAATTTCTGCTTTATATCCAATAGTCTCAGCTATTGTTTATATACATGCTGCAGTGTAGACATTATATGAAAGATCTCTTTCATCGTGGGATTACATGATGTGCCTTCTCAGGAACCAATAAGTTGTCAAATCGCGATCCTGCATATAGCCATTCCCTTTTAAAAAAGCACAAGCGTATTAAATTCCTTACTTTAAAGAAAAAAGAGGATAATTAATTGCCACAACAATCATTAGCTATTAACTTTCAATACAACTACCAATGAACTTTCTAAGGAAATTCATCGGTACAACCACGACTGATGAAGTTGCTCTGATTCGTTCTGGGAAATTATTTTTAACCAGATCAAATCAATCACCCAAAGGTGCAATTGAATGTCTTTATAATGATGCATATGCATCAATTAAACAAACGACAACTCCATTTGTTTATCAATTGATTATTACTCGAGTATATCAAGAAGGCGAACTAGATAATCACAATTCTGCCTATGATTATGATTCTGATGACGATGATGAATATGAAGATGATGATTCTTCAAACCCAACGACTACTTCACAAATTGGTGGTGGGAGTCATAGTAAGGATGAATGGATTTTCCCGGTGACTGAAGAATTGAAGATATATAGCTATGATAAGAGTGATGGAAGTAAAGCTATAGCTTGGAAGGATTTGAATGGAGATTTGGGGGATAAATTTGAATTTGTAATTGATGAAGAAGTTAGATTTAATGATATTGAATCATTTATGTTGTGTATTTATAAATGTTTATATGAACATAAATATAGAGTTAGCTCATTGAGGGTGAATACCATGTCTGAATTGAAAGAATTTGTCTATAACCCCAAAACTGAATTATTGACCTTTAATGACTTGAATTATGACGAAGAAGAAGACGAAGATGACGAGGAGGAAGAAGAAGAAGAAGAAGAGGAGGAAGAAGATGATGACGACGATGAGGAAGACGACGACTCAGATACGGATGACGAAGATAGCAAAGGATCACCCTCGAGTGGAGACAACGCTTCCAAACCAAATCAACCAAAGTTTCCTCGTGATGATACACAACCAGATCCAAAGGGGGAGGTAAAATACCAATCCAAAGACTTTAATCTTCACATATACAATCCCGAAACTGGGACCTTTATCCAAGAGCTTGAATCTCCAAATGTTGAATTGAAGATAATCGACTTAGGTCAATTTGAATCCACATTATTTATAAAGAGTCTTGATCCATCAAATCCAATTAGGATCAATGCTACCATCAGTAGAAATATGAATCCAACATTCAATTATGAACATTTATCGTTTATTTTCAACTATTATACATTGGATGAAACTACCGGAGAAGCACATGCTTATTCGTGGTTAGTCAAATTCTCGGGATTTAATGAATTGACTATATTTCAAAATAAATTTTTGGCTTCCATGTATGAAACTTTGAATAAGCTGAAATGGGGGAAGACTGCGGAACTGGAGTATTTTGTCGATTCTTTTTCAAAGCTTGATCTTAATAAAGCGGATGATCTTAGTGCACAAGACAAAAAAGAACTTGAACAGGAGGAAGAGGAATCTGAAACGGAAGAAGAAGAAGAGGACGACGAAGAACCACTTAGCTCAAAGATAAGATCAAGCAAATATTTGAAAGAAGAGGAGGAACCAGAATTTGAGAATTGGAGATCATCCAAACAGGAAAAGAATAGTGCATTATCAGTTGGTTATGCAAAGGATCGTTCATATGTTGTGAGAGGGAATAAATTGGGTGTCTTTGCTCCAGGCGAAAGAGGTTTAGATTTCAAAACTAGTATAACAAACATATCTGATTTAAGAGGTAAACGATTCGATCCAGAAAAGTTGCTCTTACATCAACAAGATCAATTTATGATCATGTCGAATTCTGGATTCGATGATAAGACATTATATAAAATGGATTTAAATCGTGGTCAAGTGGTTGAAGAATGGCAAGTTTCAGATGATGTACCAATCGTATCATATGCTCCAACTACCAAATTTGCTCCATTAACTACTGAACAAACATTGACTGGTATTTCCTCGAATGGAATGTTTGCTATTGATCCAAGATTGTCAGGAACAAAGATGGTTCATGGAACTGCTAAAAATTATAAAACCACCAATAATGATTTCCAGACTATAGCAACAACTGCGAATGGTTATATGGCTGTAGGTAGTGGGAAAGGTGATATTAGATTATTTAATAAACTTGGTGCAAATGCCAAAACTGCATTACCTTCACTTGGAGATGGTATTATTGGAATGGATGCTTCAAGTGATGGTAGATGGCTTTTGGCAACTTGTTCAAATTATTTATTATTAATTGATACTAAGATTGGCAGAGGTCAGAAAAACGAAGGAGAGATTGGATTTACTCATTATTTCGATAAGGATCAGAAACCAACTCCAAGAAGATTGGCATTAAAACCTGAACATGTAGCTTATATGACAAGGGAAAATCACGGCAAGCCATTAACTGCTTTTACTCAAGCATATTTCAATACTGGGGTAGATTCTAAAGAAACCACAATTGTAACATCTACTGGTAATTATATAATCACATGGTCAATGAAGAAAGTGTTATTAAACCAACCAGATCCATATCTTATTAGAAGATATCAACAAAATATCATTGCTGATAATTTCAAATTTGGATCTAATGATCAAGTTATATTGGCAATGCAAAATGATGTTTCAATGGTTAATAAGAGAAATTTATCTACACCTAAGAAAGTATTTAGTAATTATTAGATAAAGATTTATCAAGTTGTTTTTTGTTTGCTTTTGTGTTTTTGTTTTTATGGGATTGAAATTTTTAGGATATATAGTTTTCTTTTTAATATACGAATTTTTATATATGAATGTAAACATACCCATTGGTGATGATATCTATCTCTAGAATTATATATTGCAATTGTAGTGGATGCCAAATTTAGATTTTTTTGGCAGCTTTTTCTACGAAAATTTTGACAAAAGTTTTGCAACAAAAATTCCACCCAAATTATACTGAATATAAATCAATAAGAAGAATCAAATCAAACCAGAGTAAGCTTCCCAGAATGTATATTATCAGTCGAAGAATCTCAACTCATACAATATCAGAGAATTCACGAAAAAGAAGAACTATAATTTTTAGTAGTAACACAATGTGTTTTATTAGTTGCTAAAATAAGTTAAATACTTCATAATTAGATATGCCTTAAAATCCCAACATTCAAATTCAGTCGAGGTACGGATTCATTTGAACTGAAGGTATAATTGACCATTCTGGTATAACATATTGATACAATAGCAAGTATTTCGAATCATTCGGATCTGGAGATCGGGATAATACGAAAGCCCTGCTACTTGGACCAACGTGGGTTGCTTTAATACTAGCATTTCTTTAGCACCGATTGCAGTATTCGACTCATGCGGTAAAAGTCGGCTTAAGGCTATCAAGAACGTCATTACTTAGTTCATCATTATTATAGTTGAGGAAGAGAGAAACCTCCACCCTTCAGTCAAACTTTCTTCTACCAAATTTTCAACGATCGCTTTATTTCATCAAACCATATAATTCTAAACGCATTCACCTTATGCCATGTGGTTGGTTTATAATCAAAAGCATTTAGGTTTCTTACTCGACCTTCATTGGGGAATTCTTGATAAGGGATCTGATTTATCTTTGCATGAATCTTTCTAACCCAGTTATTGAATCCAGGAGAATCCATCAATTTACGATATAAATATTCTTCAAGTGATCTTGGTGGTGGTCTCATGACGAGGGTATGGGTATGGATATTGTAAGGGCACCACACTTTACTGCTTATAGGCTTCAAAAAAATAATCATCAGAAGAAAAAAAATGAGTGACGATTATGAAAAGTGGTACGGACCCTGGAGTGGGAGCGTTTAATTAATTTCAATTGGACATGATAAGTTTTGGCATTCAATTTTTCATATCTAATCAAAGATGACACGTTAATCAGGACATTTGAGTTCGTAGTTACTGGTTTTAAATTTGGGGAATATCTTTCTAGAAGCATACCTTCAGTCTATTATTTTTTTTCTAGTACTGAAGAGCAATTTCCTAATTAAGATGTTTTGTAAACAATTGCAAAATATTGTTCGCATCTAAGTTTACAAAGATCAGTTTGAAAAACACTATTAAAAACAAAAACCGGTTAATCATTCTTTTAAAATAATAAGTCATCACAAACCATAAGTAATACTATTAAGATTCATTTCACAAACATAACCACTACACAGAACACATAGCAACAACAACCACTATATATAACTCCCTTTACCTATGGCTTCTACACATGATATTCGTCTGGATGACCATATCGCTATTGATGACTTTGAATTAGATTATCATGATTTAATATCATCATTTGATGCAGGTATAATTCCATCGGATAAAGAGGCATTGGATAGTCCCACGAAGAAGAAAGCAAAAAGATCATCAATGTCGGACATAGACTCCAAAATGTTTAGTAAAAAGATTTCATTGAAACCATCATTTACTGAAACTAATAAAATAACGAATGAATTATTCCAAGTAACGAGTGGATTAGCAAAGAACTACAAAAACAAACAAAGCAATCAAGGAGGCAATGGATTTCTCACGAAAATTATGGATAAAAGAATGGACAATAAAAGGTTATCAGAACTAGAACAATTTGATTTCGAATTAGATGATATATTACGAACTCGATATAAGTCTGCAAGATTCAAAAATTCAACTTTTAATATAGATAGAACCAATTCTCCATCAGATTCACAATTCAATCAATTCTTTAATCCTTCAAGAAAACAATCGAAACCAGATGAGGATCAAGAGAATAAGACCCCGTATCCAGAACCATTGAAACCTAAACTAGGTTCAAACCAGATTTCGAAACAATCACTACAAAAAGCATCAAAGAATATTTCTACAGCCACTCAAATCCCAGCATTAAGGCCCATAAACCAACCACGACCCTCTAAAATTAGACGAGAATTTAGCATTTGGGATTTCCCACCACGATCCCCGAAAAGAATTTGTAGTCCAAGACAAGCAGCAGATGTGAAACGATTGAAACCGGCGATTAAACATGACAAACCTTTGGTTACATTTTTGGTCGAGTCACTGTCAAGTCTACTCAGTGATGCAACCAGTTTCGCTACTGAACTCAACAAATCCAATTGTGAAGGATTCCCATTCCCCGAAAAGGTGAATGAAATAGTTCAAATTCCAGCTAGTTGCGAAAAGGAAAATAAGAAAGCAATTATTAGAATGATAAAGGAGGAGCCTCCAAAAACTATCCATGACGACAAGGAAGACCAGAAGCATGGATTCTATAGTGAGGAAGAATTCCATTCTTATAGAAGTAAGTTGACTAGTTCATTCACGGAAGATGCAGGCGTCGAGGTTGTTAGCCAACCAATTGATCATATTTCGGAGACTCAAAGGAGACTAAAGCAGGACAAGAACAGTAAAAAGACGGTAAAATGGGCAAAAAATTTAGAATGGTAGTCTTAGGATATGGTATTTAACAATTAATTATGGTATGTACAGTAATTAGAATGCATAATGATGTGTAAGTGATCTATCGTCTATTAGTATCGTAAAAATGTGTGAGACGCGCACTGTAGAAGAGGGGTGTTTGAAAAATTAAAAATTAAAAAATAAAATGTGCGACCAAAATCACCAACAACTTTTTTGAACACTTGTTAAATTTCACGAGATTGAATCAGTTACAACCCATTCTTTATTTTAGCAATTCATATACTATAAGCTTCCACCATGTCTACCTTCTTCGATGAAATGAAAATGTCCTATACTGGCGTTGACGTCACAGATGGAAAAATTGAGACTGCCAATTTCTTATTAGCTTCTGAATCATTAGTCAAATTATTCGATCTTTTAGGATCTACTGCATTTGCTGTTGTTCAAAATGATATTAGCGGTAATATCACCAAAGTTCGTGCCAAGTTATTAGCTGAACCAACCAATTCAGCCACTTTACAAGATTTAGTTTTATCTGAAGTTGGAAGTAAAAAGAAGACTGCTACTCAAGGTTTGTTATGGTTATGCCGTGGGTTAGAATTCACTGCTAAAGCAATGAGAGAAACTGTTGACAATCCAGAATTAGAATTAAATACTACTTTCACTAATGCTTATTCTAAAACTTTATCTCAATATCATAATTTCATGATTAAGCCAATTTTCAAATTAGCTATGAATGCTTGTCCATATAGAAAGGTTTTCTTTGAAAAATTAGGAGCTGATCAAGACAAAGTTGCTAAACAATTAGCTGAATGGTTATCTGCTTTGGAAAGCATTGTTAAGATCATTATGGACTTCTTTGCATCTGGGAATTACGGTAAAGGGTTATAGATTAGACTTTAATATTACAATAAATAAAAAATTTATATAAATAAATATGTTATTAGCTTAAATAAATAGTATTTATTTCAAGTTCACAAAAAGGATGCAATATATTATTGTTGTTCTTGTTCTTCTTCGGCATCTAACTGTCTTGCTTTCTTAGTCGCTTGCATTAATTCATAAAGTTGATTAACTTGCTCCTCTGACATCTTTGATAAATCCTCTTTTGTCAAACTTCCTTCTTTCCATTCACCTCGATCAAGTTTCATTAGATAATCTTGCCATTCAGTTAAGAATGCTACAATATGCAAAGGGTTGTCTATCTTCTGATGTGCTCTAAATTCATCTCTAACATATGGATCACCTAAATAACGTAATTCTGGAGATAAGAATTTCTTATGTGCTCTTAATATATGACGATATAATACTAATGGAGGAAGTAATGGCGATGTTTTTCTTTCAGGACGACGAGCTCTTACTAGTCTAACAATACTTGGACGCATATTTTAATAGATGTGTGTGTGTGGGTGTGATGCTGAGTTAATGGTCTTACGACTTGTACAGTACTTAAATTGTTCATTTAATAAATAAACAGTAAAAAAAAAAGTTTAAAGATTTCATTGGATAAATCAATGCAGGCAAAAAATACAAAATTTAATTAAAGTTTAAGATTTACGAAATTTGAACTTTTTTTAATTTGCAACCATTTTTGTTTTCTGCCTTTCTTTCTTTTCAGAATAAAGAGTTCAAAGCAAAAGAACATTCAAATCGAAAGAGATAAGTAAGATCCATCTAAGTATATATGCCATGAGGATAGGAACACATGTTCCATAATTCTCATAATTGACCTTTCATAGGGGAATTGTAAATACGTCAACAAAGTCTGACTGGGGTACCGTTCACCTTGTATTACATATTCCCAGTAAAAATACATTGGATTAAATAAAATGAGACAAATAGATACAATACGATTCTCAAATGTACTTCGAGTAATCCTGGACAAATATAAACAAAAGTTGGAATCAATCAACCAGTGTTCAGAATTAGGAATAGGGTTCTCCATAAGGGGAAAAACAATTTTTGGTCTTGGCATTACATGTGAAGGATTATTAGAACAATGAGATTTTCAGTTTCTTCGAATAGCATCAGACACGGTAATACCAATCTAGTAGAGTTTTACTTGAGGTTTGGTTTAATAGAGACGATATGAATCAATTAATTTTCCACATAGAAATTTCCCCATTGGGTAAACAAAAAAATTATTTTGTTGCCGAAAACAGAAAATAATTTCTCGTTTCTAAATATGGAGAATTTTGCACCCATTGTTTTATTTAATGAATTGCCTATTATAGTGTCCTTCTAGTTGGTATTGTAGTAATTTACTTGCTAGAGAAATACCATACAAATATATAGATGTTTACCGTTTTTTTGTTCTAATAGCATTTTTCTGGACCCTAAACTAAAATTTTATTCACCAAAAAGGTTAATCATACACTCGTTTAAGAACAAATTAAAAAGCAAGTGAGTTCCGAAGATGAGAATCAAGGGAACCTTGGGATATGCAATCTTGGCAACTGCAGTTGCCTCTACAATGGCGAATGAAATCAATGTTATTAATGAAAGAAACTTACTTCAAGAACGTGGATTTTTGGGTGATATTTTCAATGATGTAGGTTCATTCTTTAAAGGCGGAAGTGCCACATCCTCCAGCAGTGGTGTTACAACTCAACCCACATCTCCTGCCAGTACTGTAACAAATAAACTGGCCACCAATGCTACCGTTCCTGTTTCTGTAGCAAATGATAGTCAAAATGATGATGAATATGAATGGAGCTGTACTACTATCTACCCAAGTGGAACTTCTACTTCAATTGATCCTTTGACTGATGTTGAGCCTACAGATCCTTCACCAACCACAACTGTATCTTCTACAGACCCAGAAGAATCATCAATAGACCCAGCAGATTCATCTACTGAACAAGAATCAACACCAATAGTATCTGCTGATCCAGTAGACACCGATGAATTATCATCCACTAACACCGACCCTACTACTACAGCCAAAACTACAGGGACAACAAATACTCCAGCTACTCAATCAGTAGATCCACCAGCAAGTTCTGATCCACCACAAAGTAGCGATGATTGGGAATTAGAATGCTCAACCATTTATCCAAGCGACACTAGTAGTCAACCACCTGTTATCCAATCTGCCGATCCGGTTTCATCAGATCCAGCTGTGTCGGTAGATCCATCTGTTTCAGTAGATCCACCTGTTTCATCAGAACCACCAGCTTCTTCAGATCCAATTGACCCAACTGTCACAACCGATCCAACTATTTCAATCGACCCACCAGCAAGTTCTGATCCTCCTCAAAGTAGTGATGATGATTGGGAATTAGACTGCTCAACTATTTATCCTACTGACACTGGCAGTCAACCTCCAGTTCTTCCTACCGATCCTCCACAATCGAGTGTTGACCCACCTGCCTCAGTAGATCCCCCTGTAACAGTAAACCCAACCTCGGTAGATCCACCTGCTTCAGTTGAATCGCCAACTAGTACTGATTCTGCGCAAACTAGTGACGATGACTGGGAATATGAATGTGAAACTATTTATCCTACTGACACTGCCAGTCAACCACCTGTTCTCCCAACCGATCCTCCACAAACGAATACCATCAATACCACTCCAATTGTGACAGAATCGGTAGATCCACCTGTTGCAACTAATCCTCCACAAACCAGCGATGATGACGAATGGGTAGAAGAATGTGAGACTATTGTTCCTACCGTTAATACTTCTCCAGCTCCTGTGCTTCCAACTGCACAAAATACGAACGTTATTGTTAACCCACCTGCATCTACTAATCCTCCAGCAGAGGACGATGATGATGATGAATGGGTAGAAGAATGTGAGACTATTGGTGAGAATGGAACCACTACAGTTGTTCTTCCAACTACCCCTGCACAAAACGGTGATGACGAATGGGAAGAAGAATGTACAACTCTTGCTACAACGAATACTGTTGCAACTGGTGGTGCCGGTGATGATGATGACTGGGAAGAAATTGAAGAATGTGTAACTTCAACACCTACATTAGCTCCAAGTGGCAGTAATGATGAATGGGAAGAAGTGGAAGAATGTACAACTGCTTCTGGTGCTGACGATGAATGGGAAGAAATTGAAGAATGTACAACCCCAATACCCACCACTACCGTCAAACCTACCAATGTAGCCACAACCAGTGTAGCACCAGTACAAACTACAGCTGCTTCTACTATTGCAACGTATCAAGGTAATGGACAAATCAACAAGGCTAATGGTATTATGTCATTGTTGATTGGTCTGGTTATGATGATGTTGATGATTTAGATTTAAGTAGTTAGTAATTGCAAAAATTTGAATTTGTGTACGTACAGTTTCGTTTTCTATAATTATTATTATTTTACTTTTAAACTTGTTTGAATGTTTATCTTATTTACATTTACATCTAATTATATTGTAATTATATATCTAATTATGTTGATATAATTCCACTTGTAAGCGTTTCTAGTCACTCTAATATTCCTGTGATAAAATCACAGGGGAAAAACCCAATGGCAAAAAAAGGGTTGAACTGAGAAATCAATTTTGTATGTAAATGGCAACATTTACTCCTTAGTAAAGAATAACACTAAAGAGACGACAACCAATCAAATAAGTCAATATGAATTCCGATGAAGGAATGTTATATTTCATCATCATATTCTTTATATTCCTTTTTGTAAATAATATAAATCAAAATGTTCCCTATAATTCAATAGATAAGCAAACTTTAACAACATTTCAAAATCAATTAAAACAATTCAAAGCCCAATTAAACAATTCTCAATATGATAATGGATATGGAAACCTTACTGGATTTAAATTATCGTATGAGGATCAATTACTGGGGAAATCAGATTCCGACTGGCCCATTCATAGATTTGATAAAGATCATCCCTGGATAGAAAATGAAAAGTATTCAATCTTACCCAATATCGTAAGTGAGAATGTCAAGAAATTCTGGGGGAATGACCCCGTGGAGACTGTTGATGGAGATGCAGCAGCGGCTTATTTGTTAAATATATCAGGAACAGCTCGTGGGGAATTTAGAACCGTGAAACAAACAAATATCAAACCGCAACAATTAGAAATACCCAAATATTTAAAGGATTATTTCAATTCATTAAGGAATAATTTACCAGATAATGAGAATAGTGATAGTCCAATCAGTGGGATTCCAGCTGAAAAACAAGGAAATATAACAAAAGCTAATGGATTGATTTCATTGGCGTTATATCCTTCCGATTATAATTATAAGAATCCCCGTGTTTCAAAATTCATATATAATGAAAGCACAGATAAGATAGATAATGCAGTTAGCTTACATATGTACTTGAAATTATCAGATTATCCTGAAAAAGAAACTCATAATCTTAATTTACGTGGGGTTTATTTTCAGGAAACAGGAAGTATAATCGGAGTTACCAATAGTGCAAAATTCAGTGGGAATTATGCATTGAATCATCTAGCTATGAATAAGGATAATTTTAAGATTTCGAAAACCTTATACAGTCAATTGATGAATCTAACCAATATAGACAAAGAAGTCGTACTTGATGATGTCAATGGACAAATCATAAAAGCAAATGAACAATGCGAATATGTGACTTATTTCCAACTTGCCAAAACAAATTATTCCAAACAAGATTTAAGAATGATAGATGATGAATTGAGACTGCCCACTGGAAGACCTATACCCAATGACATCCCCAAAATTGAAATCAAAGATTTTTTGGCTTATTCACCTGATTGTGGGATCGTATTGACCAATAGACCAGATACTTCATTCCAAGGATTAAGAAAAGAAGTGTCGACAGCAAAAGAGAGGAAGTTTATATTTGGGATTGCATTATTATTAGCAGTTGAATTATTATTATATATACGCCAGATGAAAGCAAGTAGAACTCCTGGTCAATTGACTATTATCTCCGGTGTGACTTTATTCTGGTTAATGTGGGGAGATATGACACTTGGATTCTGTTCATTATTTTTCGCCAATATGTTTTTGGTGGTCTGTTGTGTATTGGGATTAATCTTTTGTGTCATATTGTTACAAATGAGGTTTATGTTCTTTGTAATGAATGCACAAGTGAATGAAAGAGGTACTACTTGGTGGGAAATTTTACGTGGTGGATTAGCATCAAGAGATACTACAGATTCGACTAGTGAAACAACCACGACTACAACTACCAATACGAATACTGATACAGGCCCTATTATACCCATGACAAATGCCCCACCAGCAGCAGCAGCAGCACAGCCTGCTGCCACACCCACAACTAATGAATGGCAAAATGATGGATCTGTATCCAATGGATCAATGGTAGTTTGTATGTCATTCTCCATATTGTCAATGTTTTTCATATTTAATGCATTCACATGGGGCAAAACACAAAGAGCTATTGCGGAATATATAGGTTTATTTGCTATAAATTCCTATTGGATCCCACAATTCTTACGCAATACATTAAAGAATAGAAGAGAGTCATACAAATGGGAATTCATTCTTGGAATTAGTTTAATCCGTCTAAGTCCTGTGATATATGTTTGTACATTTACAACCAATCCATTCAGACATAGATTTGATCCCCATTTGGCCATTTTCATAACTTCCTGGGTCATGTTCCAAATAATCTTATTGATTTTACAACAGAGAATTGGACCTAGGTTTTGGGTGAATGAAAATTGGTTACCTAAAGCATATGACTATCAACAAATCATCAGTCTTGCGGATTTAGAATCAGGGTTTTCAAGTGATTTATTAACCAATATCAAACATAGATCAGATCAAGAACAAGATATTATGGATTGTGAATGTACTTGTCCAATATGTAAGGATGAAGTTATGTTGCCGATTTTGGTGAAGAGTGATAATGCTGATGCAAGACGAAAGATTAAGAATCGGGAATATATGATTACCCCATGTCACCATATTTTCCATGCCGAATGTTTGGAGAATTGGATGAAGTATAAATTACAATGTCCGGTATGTAGGGAGAGTCTACCACCTATATAGAGAGATTAGTTTAGCATAATATATATCAGTATTTAGGGGGAACCTTTTCTCGAATTAAGATGTACAAATTTGTAGAGACAGGATAGTTAGACCGGATATCTCAAATTTCGCAAGTGCCGGAAAGCACGGAGATTAAGTATGAATATGCTGTCTAATGCAACCGCGGTTATATACCTACCTACGCAGGGGACAACAGAAGGTTTTATCGGAAGTCCGGATTCTTTTTTTTTTAACTGCAAATGCCAAGAGTTAACAAAGCGGAAATTTGTAATTGCGCAATAATTCTTCGCCGAAGGGGTATACGATCTCCGCCGACGTGATGTATATGTATGCATGTGGTAGATTAAAGAAAGAGTTAGCTACTCGGATAAATTCGGCATACTTGCAAATAATGGCAACATCGCCCAACTCATGACTTCGCCTAAGTTGATGCACGCTAAAGGTTGTTGGATTTTTTTAATTACATGTTGCAAATTTCAGGGAGTTAGTAAGCAAACAATTACAGAAGATTTACTCGATGAAATTGTTACCGAAAATACCAAGAATCTCATGAATGAAGAAATCGAATGATTAACTGGTGTCTTGGTATTGTTAAGGAAAGAAAAATTGCGCGCACAGCGGGTAACTAATTGCTTTGTGTCAATTGTATAATTATTCGTATAGAGTTGTCAAAAGTGCAGGGATCGATCATGCGATCCAATTTTAGGAGTAACTAGAATTGATATTGTTTCGTCTGTTGAAAATTTCGAATGATAATAAATTATAATGTGCCCCACCTAGTGGAAATAAAAACCCCTATACGGACCCAACAGATATGTCCATAAATTCTTGAATGACATGTTAATTTGGACGGTAAAGCGGGAGATTATGATAAATGTTTATCCATAGAATGTCGAAACCCTGGAAATTCCGAGTTGAGTTTTGACGGAGAGTTAAAAGTTTAAACTTCTATATTTGGAGAGTAAGGTAAATCCCAAATAGCGTTCACATGGGAGTATGTACATATAAAAGTGTGCCAAGGACCGAGGCTCTTCTCTACAGTGGGGGGAATTTCTTAGCACTGGGGGCTGATGCTCTAAGTTAATGAATGGAGAGGTTGCCTATCAAAGATAGGAGTCGGTTCTTTGCATGCTTGCTTATTGTATTAATTGACCACAGGGCAACGGCTTATTTCTATCCGTCATTCCCAGCCCAAAAAGAAGCTCAAGATAATAAGCTTTTGTGACATTTTGCTTTCTTCTAATTTGTAATTTACAAATCTTATTGTTCATAAGGGGTTTGGGTTTAAACGATGAGAATTTTTAGGTTTCATTTGCAATTGTGCCCTTATCCATTTCAGTTTTATGTTTTCATTTCTTTTCTTGGGGGAGACGGATATGTGTTTTTATTGATATCAGCTACATTGCGTATAAATACAGAGAAAGTGCCGTTGATGTCTAGTACATGAGTCAAAGTTTACGTCACGGTGATTTGTTGTTTTTTGACTTTGAAGTATTCCAGATTAAAAAAATACCCCTGTATAGAGCAAAAAGAAAATGCTTGGGGAAAAAAAAAAGTGAGCTGATTTTTTCAATATTTTTTATGATTAGCCATTTTTCTTTTTCTATTGTGTAAAGGGAAAAATGTAGCCCCGAACAATGTAAATTAAAAAACAAAACAATGGAAACAACAACTAAAAAAAACAAAAAAAAAAACGTGAATCACTGTCTGTGTCTGACCCCCATAAAATAATTTTAAAGAAATTAATTATGAGGAATATCTCTGTGTCTTTTTCACTCTACTTCGCAAAGTTTTTCCTAGTCTAACCCTATGTAGTATTATGTAACAATCGGGATAAATTACTCTTTTTCTTTATTGTTGTAAATCCATTATTTCCTTTTTTAATATCAATTATTTTTTGGGGCATAAAATTAAAAGCTTCATGGATATGTACATGTGTATTTTTTGAGTGAGAAATTAAAATAAAAAAAAAAATTTAAAGGCATTTTTTTATTTATTTTAAAGAAAACAATTTTTCTCAAAGTTTTAATTTAACTCCCATTTTTTATATTTTTATACTTTTTTTTATATTTTACTCTTTTTCTCTTTTACTCTTTCTTCGTCAATAACCATTTTATCTTTTAAACTTTGTATATTAATACAACACAACACCAATAAGAAGATACACTAATAAACTTTAATAAACTTACCTACACACATAGTTAAGAGAGAAAATAGCGCAGACAATTTCCACTGCTTTGGGAAGAGAGACAGAAATTAAAAGGAAATACACGAAAAACGAAAAATTAAAATTATTGTAGATTGCCACCCCTTAATATTGTATTAAAGAAATAACCAACTACAACTACAATGTCACAGTTCGAAACCAATGCTTATAGCATTCCATCAAACATGGTTAACAATAATACAAACAATAGTAGTTCATTCTTTGACTTTGAAACTGCTGATGAATTTTTAGATTGTATATCTGGTACATTACCACATCAACAACAACAGGGACAATCAACTGATGATCATTTACAAGCAGATCAAATCAACAATATTATAAATGCATCCAGTTTATATTCTCCATTAAGTATGGATGGAGATGAGAAACCAAACAGTAATAATCATTATACAAATGGCCCTAGTGCTACAAGTTATACTTCTGATAATTCTTTAGATTGGAATGATTATAATAATAATGTAATGGTTGATAATGAATTAGAACAAATCTTATCTGGTACTTCCAATCATTCAACTAGTTCTCCCTATGATGATATTACTCCTGTATCTAATCCATCATATGGTTCTTCAACTTATACTTCACCTGAACCATTACATGTCAAGGGAGAACCTAGTCAAGAAACTTTACAACCACCATCTGGGAAAAATGGAAGAAAGAAATCAACTAGCAAGAAATCTAATGGAGGTATCACTAAACCGAAATCAAAAGATAAGAATTCTCATAATATGATTGAAAAGAAATATAGAACCAACATTAATTCAAAAATAGTTGCATTAAGGGATGCAGTACCTTCATTAAGAATTGCAGCTGGTTCGAATGATGTAAGTGTAGCTGATTTGGAAGGATTAAGTCCTGCTTCTAAATTAAATAAAGCAAGTGTTTTAACTAAAGCTACTGAATATATCAAACATTTAGAAAATAAGAATGCTATGTTAAAGGAATCGAATTATAGATTACAAAGAATGATACAGGAAGCAAGTTTGAGTGTAGTTCAAGCACCTATTCAAATACCGCCACCTCCTATGCATCCACAACAACAACATGTACCATTACCACCACAAGCACCGCAACAACAGGAACCAATACCCACACATCAAGAGTTCTTTCACCCACAACAACAACCACAACAATTCAACACTAGCCCACATATTCAACAACAACAACAACAACAATTCCAACCCCAATTCATTGCACAAACCCAGCAAGTCCAAGCACAACAACAGGCACAACAGCAACAACAACCCAATAAATTCTTATTGGGAGGTATGGCTGCTGTTATGGGTACTTCATTATTTGGAGGAAGTGGAGAGAATGATTTCCGTAGTTTGGCTGCATTACCATTTTCTCACTTGTTTCCTAATGCTTTACTTCATCCAAGTCCCTTGACTATAAGTTTATGGAATTTCACTAAGGTGTTATTAGTAATTGGTAGTTTGGCAAGTATTGTTCTACCTATTCTTGCACAAGCTGGTAAGAAAGTTGACGAGAAGAAGAAGAAGGAAAGTGGAGATGATATTGATAATGGAGATGTGTTTACCAATTGGTTGTTGATCAAGTTTGGGTTTAAATTACCTCATAAATTATCGAAAAATAGACGTGATTCAATTATGTATCATTTAACTAGTGGATCTAAGTTTTCTTGGAATTCATTAATTAATGATTATTTTTATTTAAGTAATTGTGAATTGGAATTTGAAACTTGTTTTTTGACATTATTAATTGGCAGATTGTTATTGGATAAATATCCAATGTCAAAAACATTGATTAATCATCTGTTAATAATCAGAGGTTCTTTAATACCTAATCTTAATTATAAAGGTTCCGACGATGGGTTAACCAAGCTTAATAAGTTAATTAAAAACATTGATGGAATTTCGATGTTTGGTAGCAAGCCATTAATTACAAGATTAAAGAATGTTGCCCAAGCTAATTTGGTTAATTCTCAATTGGTTAATGATATACGATACATCAAATTATATCAAGAATCATCGGGATATTATGAAATGATTTATAATTTCAGAATGGCTGAATTGATTGATGAATTGAATTATACATATCTTGATTCTCTTGCTTCTAAGGATGAAAAATTACAAGAACAACTTGTAAAGGATTTAGAATCACTTGTGAAGAATGTTGAGAAAGATGATGCTGTATTTGAATATTGTCGTTTATTTGATGCTGTTGTAAATAATAATGCAAAAGATTTATTCAATGATTTGAAAGAAAAAGTTGAGAATCAATTACAAAGATTCAAAGTTGAAATGGAAGGTGTTGAATTAACCGATCATGAAATTTATAACACTTCCGATGAAGAAGCTCAAGATAGTGACAATGATTCAGTTATACTCCCACCAAAACCAAAACCTTCATTATCTAGTCAAAAATCATTAATTGATTCATTAGATATAATTTCTCAAGAAGAATTTATAATTTTAACTTGTGAATTTATATTACATTTCAAATCAAATGATCAAGTTTCAAAATTATTAAAATATTTATCCAAAATTGAAAAATTCAATGTTTTATCATTTACTGCTTTGTTTAAACTTACGGTTGAATTGAATGAGATTGATGATAATTTGATTAGGATATGTCGTGGATGGTTGGATGATTCAGAAGTATTGGATGGAGAATTAAAGAATGAGATTGTGGATGTTGTGGTTAAGAAGGGAATGATCTTGAATGGGGTTGTTCTTGAAGAGAATTAAGAGAGTCAGAGTGAGAGTGTGAATGAGAGAGTATGAGAGAGTAGTGATTTGCTTTTATTTTTGGTATTTTTATATATTTGTTTCATATTGATGTTTTGTTGTTTCATTATTTTGTATTTATTTCTTGTGGCTCTTGTTATATGTTTTTTGAGTATATTTAATAAGTTTGATATTTATGTTTTTTAATGTATAAAGTTATATATATTTGAATTTAATAGTCTATTGTATTTAATTATTGTGTTTTGTAATTAAGAAACAAGGGATAAGAAAGTGGAATAAAAGCACGTGAAGACACTTTAATTTCGAGAAAGGGTCTGAAGAAAACAAATCTACAAATTAAACGGTTACACGGAGGGTGGTTTTGGCATGATTGCAATTCACTATACGAAGAGAATTTTACAATCTAAAAAAAGCGCAAATGTTTCATAATCAGCCAAGAATTAAATTGAATTGCAAAACCTTAAAAATTGGCTTTATAGTTTTATACACATTTCTTCTGTTAAGGCGTGGAATGAAAGTTTAATTACACACACCAATAATTAACGGCTCTCATTCACTACTGCTACAGGTTCCATAAATGTTCCCCGTTACAAATTAGTGATACAACCGTCATAAATATTAAATTAATTAATGACATATAATTATCTCAAAACACGTTTTCTAGAGAAATCAAGGTGATGACTTACATTTTACATTTTATTATTATAATAATCATTAAATTATCATCCTTTCTTAAGTCCGCTGTCCCATCTAATAATAAATATCAATTACGAAATTATATCATAACTTTCTTTTTACATTAGGTTAGAAAAAGTAAAAATCATTTTAAAATTTAACTTTCATTCGAATACATTGATTACGAGCATTGGTGGGATGTTACTGATGTAATTCAGATCCAACTGGTAGGGTTTGTTGTCCATTCCCGGATATATGTTGCAAATGTCATGGCACTTCTTTGCATCTCTCTTAAAGATACTTCTTTTCATTGATCATGTTTAAATGGAAACTGATATCAATCTGCGCCACGATGTTAGTCATTATTTTTAATGTTGAGGGAGAACAAGGTACTTTTCCGCCGGCATAAAAAATAACTGAATAAATAATTATTTAACTGCAAAAAAAACTTTTCTTGGAAAACTTCTTATGAAACAGAAGGAAGGCAGAAATTATCCAATTGCGCAAAAAAAAAAACATAAATGATGCCTCATGCTAATTGTATGACGTGTCTATATTCGCATCATTCTGCAATTGGCAATTAGGCATGATATCGCCTGCTTTGTTTTGATTAGTAACAAGGAAATGATCCTGATGGCAAAACCGGGAAGAACTTTCAGATCTCCTTCTGTGTGAAGGGGAGTCTTTAGAGAATACTCTCGGACAACAAATAGTATGCCATTATTCAATGACAAAGGGTTAAGGCGCAGTATGCTTCCATTTATAATTACATCGCTTATTGGGACATTGCTTTTCCAAATTTCATTGTATAAAGTGGACTTCGTCTAATTACAGAAACTAAATGGGACAATAAAGAAAAGAAAAAAATTCCAAATTCTAATTATTTTTTTTTCTTTTCACATCTGGAATTATTTCCATTGATTAAAAAAAATAAAATATTTTTTTAACAAACGCAACAATTGAATCAGATTTATAAATTTCTTCTAGAAGAAAGTTTCTTATTATTCTTCAATACTAAAAATGATTCAATTAACATTGACTATTATTTATTATTATGACATAAACATTACTGCATATTATAAATGACCAGTAAGATCATTGCCAAATGTAATATCTCTACGGAATCTATGGAATGATACTTAATTTGAAAGTTGTAATTAATCAATAAACATATGTACGATGGTCTAAGAGAACGACAAAGCTTTGTGTAACCCTATCGATGCACCCTATCGACATTTTTTGTGATTCCTAGATGCGAAACATTTCTTGACTACACCGATAAGGCCCAAACCCTTGAGAAGTATGTCAATATGTATATTTCATCTTAGTGCATATAAATGCAATCGATTTTATGTCATTCAATATTGTAAACTCAACCAATATGCCATTTCTCGGTTAATTCTTAAATTATAAACAATTTAAGGTTTTTAATTCAAAATCTTGTCACATTCCAAAAACCTTATTTGAAAATTAAATTAATTATTGGATATATAATCATGATATATTTTATATTTATTAATATTTATTAATATGTAATGAAAGTTGAATAATTAGAAAGAAAATAGTGGTAGTGATATTAAAAAAATTAGTCGATGTGGATAATTAGCTAATCCACAATTAAAGAATATTCTATGCAGAGAAATTCATTTTTTTGTAACCGTGATTATATGTAAAAATAATATTTTTAGACAGAGTTACATATATGTAATTAATGAATATTCTAAATTATTTTTTATAAGAATTTTTCTTGGGGAATAATTGGAAGTTAAATGATCATTAAATCTGATGATTTTTTATATTTAAAATTTTCTTTAACTCCTTTAATTCCTTTGATGGAACAACTGATTATTTTATAATATGACCCATTGATAAAGTGAATAAATAAAAAATAATTATAACATTGCATGTTAAATAATAATATAAAAGTTTATTGTCACGTAAAAAAAGTTTTAGCCTTTTTAAAAAAAAAAGAAAAAGAAGATATTGTCATTGTTTTTTCAATTATTTTATTTTTCCATTTAAACTTCTAATTATAACGTAATATAATATTTAAAACCAATTTGACATCATCGTCGTCATCATCAACTTACAAAAGAGTTTTATTGTTATTTATTAAAGATATGACATATTATGTCACTAAAATCGTATGTTCATATTGAATTATAAACAAACAACATTTATACCCTTAACCCCCCCGCAAAAATATATTAAAGAAAAAATTACACTAAATTAATTAACTACCGGAAAACCAGCCAGGTTTTGTGATTATAAGTATTCCATCAGCGACCCTTTCTATAAGTTCCAAAGTGTTCATCTTCTTTTTGGTTTCCTCCTTTCTGTTACTTCTTTTACATTAACTAAATAAACAAACAAACCATGCTGTCAGATTCAGAAGACTCATCATTAGACCCAAACGAATATACGTTAGAAGATTATTATAAATTGGTGAAACCCTTATGGGCATCTAAAAACATTAATAATGCCAACTATCTTAATGATCATAAGTTATTAAGAACATTAGTTGATTTCAGTCTATCTCATTCATTATTACTTAAGAATTTACAAAAGCGAGAATTAGAAATTGGAGATTTAATACCTTATAAGATTAATTATGTTGATAGTTTAGCAGTTAAGATTGGACAAGAAGAATATACTGGATGTTTTAGACATCAATATGTTGAATTCTGTCCTCATTTGGCAATAGCTGCTTATTTATTTAGTAGATTCCACATACCTGATGAATATGGATCATTTGAATTTATATTTAATTGTGAATCTAAAAAGATTAATTTACAAGATGTTAAATTATTAAAAGGTAATAATAAATTATCAGCTATAAGTTATAGTCAACAACATAAATCTTCAATAAGTGCTTTAAATATAAGTGGATTGAATTATAAAGATGTTAATTTAACTAAGTTATTATCAACACAAAATTTTGATTTATCAAATGAAAAGTTATCACTGAAGAAGATTGATAATTTAAATCATGGATTAATGTTACAATTATCAGGATTTGATTCTTTTCAAAATTATAATATAATTAGAAATTCTGTGGAACCTCCTCAAGAATTATTGGATATGATATTCCCATTTGTAAACCAGATTGATGCTAATACTTATGGTGAAGATATGTTACGAGTTAAAGAATTATTAATAATGTTGAGAAGAAGTCTATGTCAAGATATGATTATAATCAAAACCAAATATCCTACGAATCCTTTATCAAGATCAGATATCTTTAATTCACCTCAATTTGAACAATTTAAGAAACTGGTTGAAGAATCTTCAAGTACATTTTCAGAAATAATGCAAACTTCATGCTTTGCTCCTGATGATGAAGATGAAGATATGGATCAAGATCAAGGTGAAGATTGGCCAATGTTGACTGATCCAGATTCAAAAGTTGATTTACAACGAGTATTGGAATTCCATTCATTGAAATTAAAATCTTTAAATCAACAAATTAATAATTATTGTCAAGAACAATCTAATATGTATAATTTATTATCAAACTTCATTGAAACTCAAAATGATGTATTCCAAAAACAAAGTGAATATATGAATAAGATTCAAAATTCAATAAATGGATTATTCATATTATTAAGTAGTCGAAATAAGAATTCAATCCCCTTACTTCAACAATCATTAGCCGAGACTTCAAATTATATAAATAATTTCGAATCGGCAAATATAAAACTAGGATTAAACACAACCATAGACCTTCTTTCAAAATTAAACTCCCAACAATATCAACAACAACAACCACTCCAACATCATCACCAACCACTAGCTCCACAACCACAACCACAACTCCAACCATCATCTGTCCAATATCCTCTACAAGCCTCACCCCAACAAATATCAATCACCAACAATCACCAAATCTACAACGTCCTCCCCCATTCCAAATCCCCCAAAACAAACTCAACAACCCTGTTATCACCCACCCCCGTCAACCCTGGAATATTCGGAACAGCAATCCAACCCCAACAATCAGTACCACATCCCCACCTTGGTCCTCCGGTACCATTATCCCCTCGGCAACTCGAACGCCAACGAGTCCTTAATCGTCGCTTATCAAGACAAGCCACAACCCTATATGAAATGTGGGATGATTTTAAAGGCTTAGAAAAAGAATTAAATGATCATGAAATTACCATAACTGAATGGTTGAAAGTTCATGGCAGTTCCGAACGACAATTTAGACATACTAGATTAAAGATTATTAAATTTATTGAAGAAGAGGCTGTAAGGAGAGGATGTCATGTTGAGATTGTCAAAGAGAAGTTGCATGAGAAGATGAGAAATAGATTAAGGCCTTGGACTTTGGATGAGGTGCAGAGGATGTTGACTAGTGGGAAGAGAATCAATCTTGATGATCCAAGATAAAAAGTTAAAAAAAGTTAATTAGATGCTGATATGTATTATGATTTTTATGATGTTGTTTTACCATTAAAAATATCGTTATTTATTATTTGTATTATTTCTTTCTCTATATATTATATTATATAGTAATTGTCAATTATATTTATTTCAATTAGCTATTGGGTTTCCTCTTTTCTTGTAAGTATCATAGAAATATCTGATCGTGTCAGTGGGGAAGTAGGTTTTTTGATTTTGGCTGCGAAAAAACGACACAAACAAAAAACAGTTGCAACCAATATATGATCACCACGACAACCATTCCGCCCAGTTTTGTGTCTCACGAGGATACGAATTATGACAAAAGTCATGAAAACAAGTCACATTGATGCTCTGTCACATTCAAGAACTTCCATGAATATATTAAAGAGCCTGACATAAGTTCATTTTTATATTCTTTCCACTGGAAGTATTTTCTAAAGTTTACAAAATGTGACTAAATTAGAAGGATAAAACCCTGGAGAATAACAGATATGTCTATTCATAAAGATAGCTCGAGCCGCCCGTCTCATAAAGATTACTCTGAACACACTGTCTCATGAAGACAATTTCTTATCTACAATATTGAAATATATAGACACAAGGTATTATGCTGATTATGGACAACAAGGACAAGCTCACCTGTGCCATTTCTCTCAGTGGATCAATGACAGAAGAGGCAAGTATAGATTGGCGATTCTACGAATGCTTCGCGAGAAAGTTGTTTAACTATTCTAGGTCCCTTATCAGATGCTAGCCGCAATGCGGATCAAATAATCAGCGATGAATTAAAGGACACATGCTGAAAATGATGGCCGTAAACAGCACAAATGGCGTCTCCTGGATGATCAGCAAAAGAAATATTCAGGGCATTGCTGTAGGCTTTTAAGGTCGTAAACTCTGATGAAACTTGGCAAGAGTTGAATGTACGGAACTATCAACTGGGTGATAACTGGACAATTTAACCAGATGTTACAATGATAAATCGATCAGCGAATTGAAAAGTCTTATATTGGTACTGAGTTCGAGGATGCAACCATATCATGGGATTTGGGAAATTAATACTATAATGGTTATTGTATCATCAACACCATGGAGGGATTCCCACACTTGCTATACCGAGTGAAAGTCATCTCGACAACACCTTCAAGGGATTTCTTAAGGTTTCAAAGTTCTAATCAAGAAATTAGTCAGTTACATGGCTTCCTCACCCAGCGTATTCTCCGATTGGTGGGAAAGCAATATAACCGGCTAATTTTAGAGTGATTAAAGCTAGGGAACCTGTTCAAAGGAGTTATCCACTCTTTGTTAAATATTAGACATAGGTAAAGTATTAAATAATCAAAATACTTTAATTGCGATTGGTAATGTTGAAATTGATCAACAAATTGCATATATCTCAAAGTTGAAGAAAAAGCATAGATTATGGGGATGCCAATGAACTCTGTCAACACCATCAGGAATATCTCGGCGGGATCCAATTCGATATTTGGAATGGCCATTCAATATGAACATGCCAATTGTATTGATAGTAGTATTTTATTGTATTTGTGATAGCAGCTGAGGTCATGAGGACAATACTTTCAAACGATTTCTCAAGGTCTCACACGGTGATAATCTCTCCAATTAGTCTGATATATGGCTTCCCCACCCCTCAGCTTGTCGCCCATTTGGTGGGGGAGCAATATACCAGATTAACTAGAGAGATAGAACCCAGCGAATGACATTTATACCTTATCTTGGGTATTGTAGTGGCAATTTCTGAAAAGAAAGACGTTTTTGCAATAAGTTCTATAAGTTTAAATTCTGAAAATTTTTTCAAAATTCCCATTACTATTTAAAATGATGTGCGGCTCATACTAACTACTGCTCTATTATGTACAGTAATGTTAATGCAACTTTAGAAGGCTTTAAGTAAAGTTTGAGATATTTTATTTATATGCTCCAGTAAGCATAGCCACAAAATACACAAATGTAGGATTAGCTTGATTGGCTTGACGCTCTTTAGGGGTTGCAGAATAACTAGACTGTTACATGATAATACATTAACCTTTTTTCGAAAATCGAAGAGAATAATCACAAAACAGATTTTCATTTATTGAATTATTGTAAGAATTAACTAGATCTAGACCGAGGGGGGCTACTATCATGTTCGATACATCATCTTTGAATTATATGCGTAGAAGGGTGTCGGAAGCACACGAGATAAACCGGCTCATGTCATTTACGGATAAAGAATAGAAATAAATTTTATTTTTAGCCCCGGGCATTTAAATTTAAAATTTTGACATCCCGAAAATCTCCATTGTTTAACTGAAATACATACAATAGGATCCCCCACCACTAATACCAACGTTATCATAACCCCACCCCCACATCACAAGATGAATCCATTTATTCCGAAAATGTACAACAACTTCTTCTTCTTTCTACTTCTTCTTCTTCTTTTTCCTTAGCTAAATTCAACACCTGTCTAACACACAACCAACATGAATACAGAAACATACACAACGGTGAAACCACCAACTAAAGCTCTAACAGTTACATCTTCAAAAGATGTAACAATAGAAGAACAACTAGAAAACCCATTTGAAGAAATGACAATCCTCGAACAATCCCCAACTCCACCACTGTCATCATCTTCTTCAACATTCAACATCATCCAAACAGTATCCTCCAATAAATATGGTATATCCGCAATTCTTGCCGGATTTCTCTGTAATTTCATGGTATTCGGGATCGGATTCTCCTATGGTGTCTTTCAAGAATTTTATGGATCACCCGAAGGGCCATTGCATGATTATTCTGATGCTCAGATTGCACTTGTCGGGACAGTAAGTACTGCTCTTACATATATTTGTGGTATTTTCAACAAAACTTTGATGTTCTATTTATCCCCTAGGAATGTAATGTTGATTGGATGTGTTTTGACTAGTATTGGGATTACCATGACTGGGTTCTGTCATGCTTATTATCAGTTTATTCTTTGTTCAATTTTACAAGGTGTAGGTGGGGGGATATTATATTTACCTCCAGTCGTATGTGGTCCTGTCTATTTCGATAAACATAGAAGTCTTGCTAGTGGGGTGTTATTTTCTGGGACCGGGATGGGGGCATTTACTTTGGCTAATTTGAGTACATATTTGATTGGAAAGGTTGGATGGAATTGGGCTACTAGGATATTAGGATTAATGAATTTAGTTGTAACTTGTATAGCAAGTTTTATGGTTTATGAACCAAAATTGGCTAATTTTAAAAGTAAGAATGCCGCATTGATCAAATTGAGTCAATTAAAATCTACAAAGATCGTCTTACAATTAGCTGGTTCATTATTACAATCGGCAGGATATTTAATGCCATTAATATTCATGTCTAAATATGCCGTCTCATTAGGATATTCAAGTTCTCAAGGTGCGTTATTTATCGGGTTAAGTAATCTAATCAATGCCGTTTCGAAAGTTTTCACCGGCATGATAGCTGATGTCATTGGAAGAATGAATACATTGATCATATGTAGTATCATATCAGCTATTGTCATTTTCGCTCTCTGGTTACCTGCAGTTAAAGATACATTCATAAGTTTGGTTGTATTGTATGGTATTTTTTCCGGGGCCATAATATCATTATTACCTCCTTGTTTGATTGAAATCTTTGGAATAGCTCAATATACCCAATTAAGTGGAATGATGTATTTTGTTAGAGGGATCGGAGTTGTTATTGGGTCTCCTATTGGTGCTTTGTTGATAAAGGGGAAAGGATCAAACCCTCGAGATTATATGAATGCTGCAGTCTATAACGGGGTATTATTGACTGGCTCAACTCTTTGTTTGGGATACCTTTGGGTATTGGCGTTCAATGACAAGAAACCAAAAGTATGGAAGTTGTAAAACGTTTATAAGTAAATTTTATATTTTATAAATTCTATCTAAAAAATGCACAAATATTCTCTATTTAACAAACTAATCACCTAGAAGCTACACATCAATCTCTTTAAAACTAAATGGTTCATATGCATATCCTTCACCCTGGAAGAACTTTGACATAGCCTCCACCCAATGCAATCTCAACGAATGTAACATGGCACTTGTCCCCTCCATCAACACCAAAATACAAACAGTCAAACTAAACCACATGGCAAACAACACCACCGTGGCCACGACACCCACAGTACCAGTTCTTCCAAATGAATTCTGGATTGTCATCGACCATAACACCGTCGACAATTGGGCATGAGCTAATGACAAAGCCCACAATCTCAAATATGAAGCAGTATGGGAAACACAATTCAAGCAGAATTCAATAGTATGAATAACTTGATGAATGACGATATCCCCGAAATTAAACCCATCATGATCGTCTCCATGAGCCGCACCGGCGGAATGAAACATTGGTTCGATATCATTGGGGAAATGGAACTCATCATCAGACGTAGATGGATCGTTATTAAGAAGATCATCTTGGAGTTGTAATGCGCGTTCTTCTTCTTCTAATTGGAATGAATGATGGCGTTGGGAATGGATATCTGAATAACCCAATTGTATGGCACGATCGTTTTGACGCTTTAATGTTAATGGTTTATATATCAATAACCAAGGGACACAAACGGCAGCAATGAGTACGAGGACGACTTGGATGAATTTTTGTCCTGGATATAATTGTTCTTCAATTGTACCGGGTGATAAAAACATATTAATCAACATGTTTAATAATCCCGGTGGTTGTCTATTTGTACCAAACCAATCAACGGTCCATTTATACACAATGCAAAGTGATAAATAGCCAAATATACTTTGCATAAATAAAAACCCAGGAATGAAATTCCCAATTATATCCACTCTACTATTGAAAAACAAATAATTAACCAAACTAAACATCAACGAATAATTCATATGGATATATCCCATCAACACCGATAGTTTCATCTTATATGAATTAGTAAACAATAAATTATTCTCAGTTCCATGCCAGGCCCAATCTAATCCAAATGCATAAGTTTTCCCCACCACTTTTTCGGCAATCAAAGTCGTACCAGCCACATAATCTTTTGGAAATTTCCATTCCCAACCCGATTTGAAAAGCGCCATTGATTTGGAGAAAATATCATTATATATCAATCCAGTATACATTGAAAAAACACCCATAAGTAAAATAATATATCTTCCATTAAATGCCATCTCAAATATCTCATCTTTGTTTCTCATCATTCCGAATCCAACTTCATTGATGATTAAATAAACAGCAATCAAAAATACAATAAACCCATGTCCGAGATCACCAAACATGATAGAAAACATAAATGGAAATGTCACAATGGTGGCCAAACCGGGGTTGACTTCTTGATAAGTCGCGATTCCATAGGCGTCAATGATTGATTGGAATGCCGAAGTGAATTTATTGGTTCGATGAAAAGTGGGTGGGGTACGGTTGGTAGAAAGTTCATTGACTACTGCGATTAATGTCCCGTATTCGTCGTCATGATCATCGAGATCTTCGTCATCGTCGAGTAATTCGTGATCGGAGTCTCCAATTACGAATAAGGAAGTTTCTGTATCTATCAAGGTTGATGATGCCGATGTGGTTGTGGTTGTGAATGGAATGGAGTCTTGTGATGAGGTGGATGAACTAGAACCACCTGGTTGATTATGTCTTGTTTTTTCTTTGATTAAGTTTCTTAAAGTATGTCTAATCTTATGGAAATCACTTTTTGGAATCCAACCTTCACCAACTAAACATCTTCTAGTACTATCTTCATCAAATTTATTTAAGGTTTCATAAATCAATTTCTCTCGTTGTAAATTATAACAATAATTAGGATATAAATCTTGAAACAATAATAGTTCGGTGATTAATTGTTGATTAGTACTTTCAACGACATTATTCAAATCATGAATTTTATGATTCAATTCTTCCAATGTGGCTTGACGAGCCAGACTACCACCAATCACATTATCAAAAATGATTCCATCTAAAGATGCAATAATCTTACGTACTCTGAGACGTAATATATCCCCGTGGATGAAAATTATAAAGACATTCTTTTCAATCATTTCTGAGTTTTCTTTGGAAGCATCAGTGGGGAATTTTCCATCTAATTGAATGTCATGAAAGTATAAATTACCTCTAAGTGTTCTCCATAAAATATTTCTTAATACTGGGACCTTATCTCTTGATATGGTACCCGTTATAGAATCAAATGCATCTGATGAATCACTTTCCATCCCAATTTCTAAACTATTATTAGTCCTTTCATGCAATAAAGCAACATTGTCATCATCATCTTCAAGATCATGTTGCTCAAAGCTCTGTCTATCATTATGATAATCAACTAAAGTTGATTTATGAAATTGATTAATTGTATTTAATACCAATCTATTTTCAATTAATTTCAATTTTTGATTATTAAGACTATTATAAGATTGATATAAATGTTTAATTCTACTATGGAATTCATTCAATTTGGCTTTAATCTCATCAAATTCAGAACTGGTTGGTAATGGTCTCAAATCAGCAGTTAACCCCCCATGCAAACCCTGTTTAACTACTTGATGTTGTTTCATGATTTTATAGAGATATGTCAATTGAATATTCATTTGATCTATATTACGTAATTCTTTAATGAAAGTCCGTTGAAATTGGGATAATTTAGAATTTAAATCTCTAAATTGAACATTTGATAAATTCCCTAAAACATTAATCATATCTCTTGCTAATTCTATTGTAACATAAAATTGTACTAATGTCATTGGTGCTGATCTAAAGATTGCTTCTTGTGAATCTACTTCACTTGAAGACCTTTTGAATCTATCAATTAGTCTCACAAATGCTGACATCTTTGGTATACCCTTCTGTCTATATCTCTATTAGTTTATTGTGTATCTCTAAAGATCTCTAACTGAAAGATAAAGTGAATTGTAATATTCAGTCATTTTGGAGGAGACACCGGAAAATTATAATTACGTATTATGTGTTAAAACTATGGATTACGTAATAAGATAATGGTGAATTACGTAATATTACTAGTTGCATTTGTTTTACATATTATGACTATAGATTTACATATTATAAAATCTATTACAGTTTACAGGTGTCCTCTTTTTTTACAACCAATTTAACCTTCAACAACCACCCAATTAGTATTACTATTGCTACCACCATTACCAAGTAACGCTAAGTCATAGCCAACCAGTAAGTGATTACTCATTAACCTCAATCTGTAATTATAACAGCATGTTCAATTCTATAAGAATAACAATAACGATACCCACTTTAATAAGTCTACTACTGCTACTATCATTTACATTAGCATTCGATAAGGATGGAGAATTATATTATTTGAAAGCAATTAAACAATTAAATGATTTGACAATACCTCCAATTGAACCTATATACAATTTAGACAATATAGAAGGTTCATTATACATCCCCCAATTTGACAACACAATCAATAAATACATTCAAAATGGTTATCAAACCAATCAAAGTCCACCATCAGAATTAATTGACAGTATAATACCATTACTAGAGAAATCAGCTGAATGTAATAACGTCAATGCAATAGTAACATTGGCAGATTTGTACTTTTTTGGTAATTATTCCCTCCCCACTAATTATACCAAAGCAATAGACTTATATCATAAAGCAACGTCAATATCATCCAATGGTCATGCATATTTCATATTAGGTCTTGTCTACTCAACTGGATTGTTTGGATATACTAAAATAGACCAAAATAAAGCTAACTTGTACTATCAATTTGGGATGCAAAACGGAGATATCAATTCTTTATTAGTTTTGGCTTATAGATATAATAAAGGAATAGCAGTACCCCATAATTGTGAAACAGCCTTGAATTATTATGTACGATTAGCTGAAATGGGATATAAATGGCTTCAAACTCATGATAGAGATATCGATTATAATATCAGAATCTCGGATTTTAATGGGGGGTTATATGGTGAAAAAATGAGTGAGACTCCTAATAGTATTGAAATTCAATCGAAAGTTTATACAAATTTAATTGATCAATTTGAAGAACATAAATTAAATGCAGATGATCATGAATATGTTAATTTATATTATACGGCGTTGGAATATTATAAAGGAGATTATTTCATACCTAAGAATTTAACTAAAGCATTGGAAATATTTCAAGAATGTGTAGACTTAGGTGAATTGACTTATGGTTTCAATAATTACGCCAATATAGATACAATTGATCAAGTATTTTTAAGTTCATGTCAAGCAAAATTGGGGAGAATGTATTTGAAAGGATTAGGTACAACTAAAAACATAACAAAAGCATATGAATTATATCAGCGTTCTTTCAAGGTCCAAAGAACAGCAGATGCCCTTAATGATTTAGGTCAAATTGCTGAAAAGGGATTAGTTGGGCCAGCAAATATCACAAAAGCAGCGGAATATTATGGAGCTGCATTCCGTAAGAAATCCGCTGAAGGAGGGAAGAATCTTGCCAAATTAATGTATGAAATGTCTGGTGGACAGAATTCAACTACTGCAAAGGATATGTTTACTCATATGAAAGAAGCAGTATATTTAGGAAATACAGAAGCACTTTATCATTTTGGTAATTATCTTCAAATGGGAGTCAATCTATTTGCAGAACCAGACAAGAAATATACATGTCCTTCAATTATTCAATATTATCAAATCTTTATCGAGAGACTTTCGGAAGTATTTGCCCCACACCTCAAATTTGCATTTAATCAATTAATACAAGGTGATTTCAATGGCGCCTTGATTGGATATCTGATTGCTGCCGAACAAGGATTCGAAGCTGCCCAAATCTCAGCCGCATATCTCTTATATCAACTCCAACCACTAATTTCCCAATATAAAAACCACAAAACCTTCACCAAGGACCGAGTAGACGTCGCCATTCGTTATTTAGACCGTGCATCCAGACAAGGAAACGTCGATGCAACCATCTTACTTGGGGATATTTATTCCGGTTCTGATAGCGTTATCCCCATCTCCCCAGATTATGACAAGGCATTCAATTATTATCGTATTGCCAGTGATCGTCATTCTTCACATGGAAGTTACAAATTAGCACAAATGTATGAATATGGGATTGGACCCGTGAATAATTCCATTGATTATTTTATGGCGAAACGATATTATGATTCCAGTTTACAATATAAAGAACAATCCGATATTGAGGCAAAATTAATGAGTAAATCATTAACATATTCCAAAGCCCATATCAATCTTGCATTATTGAGACTCAGGTTGAAATATTTATTCAACAAGAAGGCATTCAAGGAGAGTTCAACCGGTGAGTCTGGAGGTTGGTTTCATGCATTTCGGAACGTCAAATCAAACTCCGCCACCAATCTTAAGGAATCAGTATCGAAAGCGGATGCGCATCATGAGGGTACCACGTATGTTAATGATGATGGTGTTGAGAATTATGTTGAGGATTATGATATAGGTGATTATTTGGTCATTTGTTTGACATTTATATTTTTCGTGGCCTTCTTTGTTCAGAATTTGATTAGACAGATTAGACGGATCAGAATGAGAAATAACAATAATAATCAGAATAATCAAGTAGAAGGACAAAATGGTGAGAATGAGAATGGAGAAAACAATGAAGGCGAGGGTGCAAGAGTTGGGTTGGATGGATTTCATTTCAGAAGAGGGAATTTTGAATTTCATTTCTTTGCCATATAGAAGAAAAAGTTGTATGTACTTTAATTTAACAAATGCATTTAATTTATCATATATCTATAAAAGTAACGTTACTTAGTCATATCTTGAATGACATTATTTAAAATTGGATTTCTCTCCAACAATCTCTTTGATAATTGACTTTCTCGATTCTGCTTGTTCTTTCTAGGTGATGAATTGACCGATCGTATCAAATCATTATAAATCAAGTCAGCGTTGTTAGGCAAAAGATAATACCACCCTCTATTCTCCAAAAAATCAATAAACGTACTCGTAGTGTCTGCCGAACTCAATGTAGATCTCGAACCAAGAATGATCAACTTACTCTTTGCCCTAGTTATAGCAACATTCAACCTTCTCCATTCCTTAATCAAATCCCCCGGTCTCTTCTCTTCGTTTGACCTCACCAATGAAATGATTATACATTCTTTATCCCGTCCTTGATATTGATCCGCCGTCAAGATTTCAATTTCCGATGATTGTCTTCCAATAGTTCGTTTGAGGAGTTTCAACTGTGCCCTATAGAACGACATGATCCCAATCTGATCTTCCGTGACACCACATCCTGTTAACGAATTCACAATCTGATGGATCAATTTCGCTTCAATGGGGTTTTGCACCATATCTCCAACCATAACCTCCTTCGCCGATTCAATCATATCATGATCCAAAAACAACACTCTCTTCTCTGGATCCAACACATCATTCATCCACCCTTTTGATCCGGGGAGTCGGTCAGGATATGGTAATTTCAAAACCTGTTTCGCCACGGCTTCAGAACCACATTTTAATCGATTATCATATACCAAAACATTCGAGAGTTGCATGATATCCTCACACATTCGATATTGATAGGTTAATTCACATACTGATTCAGGATAGGTTTCCGCCAATAACTTGAACAATGAAACTGATAAGCCTTGTCTAATCTTGGGGTCGGGATGTTGGACCAATGGTGGGAGTTGGTAGTGATCTCCCACGAGGATGAATTTATCAGCATATCGAAGTGGACCTAGGTTGATTGGGAGCGAGACTTGTGACGCTTCGTCGACGATACAATAGTCAAACTTGGGTCGGAGTTGGAATGCGAGATCGTTGATTCCGAGACAAGTGGTGGCAACAATGGGTGGATTCATGTAAGTTTCGAGATATTGTTCATAGGTTGTGATTGGGGTTTCGACATCAGGAATGTATGCGTGAAGCTTTTTCTGAACTCGGGATTTATGACCAATACGAACCATACTTATACTGGGATCTAAATCTAATAATTTAAGCAAAATATTATCAACAGCGGAGTTTGTATATGACGCCAATAGAATTGTTTTACCATGACCAACGAGAATTCGAATAAGCTCAGCAAGGACAGTGGTTTTTCCCGTACCTGGCATACCCAAAATCAATGAATAGTCATTAGTAGTGAAAACTTTCTGAAATGCCATAATTTGATCAACATTGAAATACTTCTTTTGTGGAACTTGCCATGAATTGGGACTATATGTGGGCTCTTGTAAATCAACAATCAATTTCCTAGTCTTTTCATCACCTCCTATCTCAGGTCTCAAGAATAAGTTCAAAATATTAAACCTTGCCAATCCCATTCCGTAAAACATTTCATCCAAATCCAAACGGAACAATTTATTCGAACACGCACTGCTAGTAATATGTTCTTGTTGACTGTGACTAGTTTCTCTTAAAGCACTCTGGAAGACTTGATTATCCCTCTGATTGAAATGCTTCAATTTCGCTTCCTTCGAGATAATGATTCTTCGTTTAGTTACGATAACAATATGCTCTTTCGTAATTGTCTTAATTGTCCCACTAGCAATTGCAAAATGTCCATCTTCATCACTTATAATGATCCTATCGGAAGGGATTAACTGGGTTGTCAAAGCATTCGAACCTGATTTAGCAAATGTATATTCATAAACTTTATCCAGCGGAGATTCTTTTGTATTCACAACCATCATCAGTCCTAAACATTTTCCCGTCTTTGCTTCGCGCTGTGCACTCGTCATTGTCCAAAGTTGCTTTCCGGTCTTACTCATCATAACCTCCTCTTGAGCGATAATCTCATCCCAATATTTGAAAAACGTCTTATATCTCTCATTATCTAAAATATGCTTGGTGATTTCGTGATATTTCTCCTCATTTATACCACTGTGTTCTTTCGTCCCGTCTTCTAATAAATGATTCAATGTCATACACGGTTCTTGCATGTCACATCGATCACATGTGGCAGATTGTAAAATCGGAGGTAAGGACGACGACGCATTGTCTTTGAAATATTGTGAGACACGATTCCGAAGATTGATCAAAACTTTTAAATCATTCTTATTGATATCTCCCTTTTTTGTTAGACTCTCTTTTGTGTAAACTAATAAAAATGACATAATCTCTAAGTCATACCTATCTTTGAATAACAATGAATACAACGAAGCCTGAGCTTGATGAGTAACATACTCTCTCCCAGTTTTGATTTCTACCGGAATTAGAAACTTCCCTTGAGTATTCTTATTAAGTAACTTTGCAGTCACTGTGATATCCACTTTTCCTTTTATACCAAACATAGGAGACCAAATATTTTCTTCAATATCTAAAGCTTCATCCACTGAAAACATGACACGTTGTTCCTTATTCTTATTTGTCCCATCTTCATCAATATAATTTTCTTTAGATAATGGTTTTTTATAATACTTCGAAAACCATTCTTCCAAATACGGCAAATGTTTTTCAATCTCTGTCTTGACGTTCGCAAGCTCGGGTCCAATACTAAAAATCGCCAATAAATAATCGTGCACATATTCTTCCATTAATTGATTCATATATTCACGAGTCCAATTTTCAGATATGACACATTCTTGAAATATCCGATGTGTAACTTCTCCAACTATGATTGGAATACTCAGTTGCGCAGGGAATTTGTATCTTGCTTGTATGACCGATTTTCGAGGACATATAATCTGTTGAGCAATCGTTGTTACTGATAATAATATATCCGGGTTCCAGATCAATAAATTATTATGATCGTCGATTAGGTTTGGTTTTGATGGTTCGGTGATTATAATATGTATGATGTCTTTAGGTTCAAATTCCAATTCACTATATTCTCCTCGAACAATGAAGCGACATATCTTTTCTTCATTCTCTCCATCAATAGTTTCTAAAATCAATTGCCGTTTTGGAGGGGTTCCATAGGTCTGTTCAATTATTTTGGTAATCATGTATCGTTTAAATGACGATCTCTTATATGCAAGTTTCACGATTGGCTCATCTCTTTGTTCATAACTTGGTTTTTCAATTTGTAATTGTTCGAAGTTCTTCATACCTTCTTGAAATGATTTTGTAAACTGGGCTTGAGTAGCCGAGATAGCGGGTCCCGAGGTAGCACAAGCTTTCTTGCATTCAATAGGCGAAATAGGTGTACTTGCAGACCGTGGAGGGTTTTGAGTTGGTTGTCTTATCACAGCCATAAGTTCAGAGTCATCATCGGAGAAAGGATCATCCGAGTCTGAGAATGAACTAATGCTAGAGGGTGATGGCGATGCCTTCTTTGTTGGGGATTCCTGAATTGGAGACGATGGAACAGCTTGGGTCATTTTGTGTAACGCATGGACTAATTCACTGTCATCATCTGAAAATGGATCATCGGAATATGAGGATCTATTGTCATTCGTTGAGAATAGGTTATCTTCAATATTAGTAGTTGCTGGAGTTGTTGCTTCTGTAGCCGTCGTTATTGGTGTTGCATCATTAGTTGGTGTTGGACTATGCTCAAATTTATCAATCCAATTTCGGAGGGTTCCACTAAGAGACGTTGGTTTTGATGAATTATTACAAGATTTGGAACGCGTTGTGCATTGAGAATTCTTATGCTTGGTTTGGTGTGATTGGTAACTTAAATCTGAATGTGCTTTGGATACGGGTTTGGTAACGTTATTTCGTGCATCATAAATCCCATATTTGGATAAGACATGACTAGTTTGTTCATTGACTGATTCATCACTTTGTTTTGGCACAATGGAAGGAGTGCTCTTTGCAATTGATTTCAATGGAGATGAAGGAATTTTATCTAGTCGATGTAACTTAGTAGTCTTGGGACTTTCTTTCCATCGTACGCCATCGAAACTAGTATCATCCGAACTCTGATCTGGAATTAGAAAACCGAGTTTATTCTCATTATTGCTCGCTGATAATCTCTTTTGCGTAGATGAAACTTCCTGAACTGGATTGACTATGCTATTGAATGTGTTTGGATCTATTGGCTTTATCACTTGAGCTACTGAAGGTATAGCCGCCGTAGTTGTTGTATTTGTTAGTCGATTAACAGGTTGAAAATAAGATATCTTCTTGGGACGTTTTACAGGTTGTATAGATTCATGATTATTGTTCTTGTCTGTAGTTGTTGATGGTCCTAGTCGTTTGTTTGTAGATGTGTCTTTGTTCATTTTATATGTTGTTCTATCTATATTCCTATTCTAACCTATCTAAAAGGAAAACTTCTTGATGATATAAAGAGACGCGCTTAATTACAAAAAAATAAGACGTGAGAGTTACGACACAGACGCAGAAAGCGCGACAGTTGTTCTTTCCTGCGACAAACCGCGTTACTCTTTGAGCATTTAAAGTTGTAAGCACTTGGGTGCAATTTCAGACTGGAAGTCATTTTTCTATTGAGTTGCGGAAGAAGGTAATGACATAGAATGTGAGTTGCAGGATATTTTTAAAGTAAGACTGTACTTTAGTCGAAGATACATATTGAGGAGTCTCAGTACAAACTATACTTCACTAGGAGAACCATTCAAGTTGCCTGTTGGGGGACTGAATAATACAATATTTGAATCTGTGGACGCTGGGCTTGGAAGTAGGATATTGCTAAAACTATATGCTATTTATGACTTGGATAGTGCTGGAATTTCCGTAGGTAGATGGAGTCCATATACATGTAGTTTATATTTGTGTCACGTGATTTGTAATATGCAGGAATCTCATCTCAATTTTTTATTTTGAAATTTTTTTCTCTTCACTTTCTGCTCTTCGCTTTCTCCCTTTTAAAATCCACAAGACTTTAAGTATTGAAAACTCTTTCTTCCAAACTAAAGTAGTCACTACAACAAACATAGCAGAAAGATGGCATACGTTTTAACCGAAACCGCTGCCGGTTATGCTTTATTAAAAGCATCAGACAAGAAGATTCACAAGTCATCAAGTTTAATTGAAGATTTAAATACTGCTGAAAAAGTTGCCCAACAATTCAAGATTCATCGTTTTGAAAAGTTTCAAAGTGCAGCTAATGCTTTAGAAGAAGCCAATGCAATCATCGAAGGAAGAGTTTCTGATAACTTAAAAAGACTTTTGGAAGAATCTAAATCTGATAAAAAGGCTACTTTAATTGTTTCTGAAACTAAATTAGGTAATGCCATTAATAAATTAGGTTTAAATTATTCAGTCATTTCCGATGCTGCTTCATTAGATTTACATCGTGCAATTAAACAATTCTTACCTGATTTATTACCTGGTTTAGATGATTCCTCCTTAAATCAAATGTCCCTTGGTTTAGCCCATTCCATTGGTCGTCATAAATTGAAATTCTCCGCTGATAAAGTTGATACCATGATCATTCAAGCTATTGCCCTTTTAGATGATTTAGATAAAGAATTAAATACCTATGCTATGCGTTGTAAGGAATGGTATGGATGGCATTTCCCAGAATTAGCCAAAATGATTACTGATTCCGTAGCATATGCTAGAATTATTTTGACTATGGGTGTAAGATCAAATGCCAGTGAAACTGATTTATCAGAAATTTTACCTGAAGAAATTGAAGAACAAGTTAAAACCGCTGCCGAAATTTCTATGGGTACTGAAATTACTGCTAATGACTTAGATAATATTAAAGCCCTTGCTGAACAAATTGTTGATTTTGCAGCTTATAGAGAACAATTATCCAATTATTTATCTTCTCGTATGAGAGCCATTGCTCCAAATTTGACTGCCATGCTTGGTGAATTAATTGGTGCTAGATTAATCGCTCATGCCGGGTCTTTAACTTCTTTAGCTAAAGCTCCAGCTTCTACTATCCAAATCTTAGGTGCTGAAAAGGCATTATTCAGAGCATTGAAGACAAAACATGATACACCAAAATATGGTTTAATCTACCATGCTTCATTGGTTGGACAAGCTTCAGGTAAGAATAAAGGAAGAATTGCTAGAGTTTTGGCTGCTAAAGCTGCCCTTTCTTTAAGATATGATTGTTTTGATGAAGAAAGAGATGAATCTGATGATTTTGGTTTAGAAAATAGAGCTAAGGTTGAAAGTAGATTGAGTCAATTAGAAGGTAGAGATATGAGAACTACTTCCAAGGTTGTTAGAGAACAAGCTAAAGTTGATATAACTGAAGCTAGAGCTTATAATGCCGATGCTGATGCCGCTGCTCCAGCTGCTTCTGAATCTGATGTTGATTCTGATGATGAAGCTGAAGAATCTGAAGAACCAGTTGTTGAAAAGAAGGAAAAGAAAGAAAAGACGGAAAAGAAAGAAAAGAAGGAAAAGAAGGAAAAGAAGGAAAAGAAAGATAAGAAAGAAAAGAAGGAAAAGAAAGATAAAAAGAGAAAGAGAGATGAAGATGAAGAAGAAGAAGAATCTTCAAAGAAACTGAAGAAGGACAAGAAAGATAAGAAGAAAAAGAAGGAAAAGAAGTAATCGATTTTTGCATACAATATCATCCCATCCATCATATATAATCGTTCGTCTTTCTTCTTAAACTAGTTAATGTTTATCTTCTGCCACCTTTTTTTGTATAAATTTGTTTAAGAATTGTAAATTATAAGTTTTTTGTGTATTTGAAAAAAAGCTATCTCTATATAAACTAAACCACTCCCAATTCAATCTAAATCATTAGGGACGTCATCATCGCCCATATCTACATCATCGGAGCCATCATTTCTATTCCCCCCGCTATGCGCATTTGCATTTGCATTATTATTATTATTATTATTAGTGGAACTACTTCCACGAAGTGGAATCTCCCTCCCATCAATAAACACCCTAGCATTCTGACCATTCCCAGTCATAGAACTAATCATCCCTCTAATTCCCTCGGGTAAAACCTGCCCAACACCCTGTATTATAGTTTCCGCAATCGCAGCAGCCGGAGACCCATCTCTATTACCTGTACCTCCAGTATTCCTACCCCCTGTTGCCCCTGCGGCAGCTGGTGGAGGAGGGATTCTACCTTCCATCAAATCGCCGAAATTGTTTAAAAGATCTCTAAAATTAGGTTGGGTCAGTTGTGTGGTAGTAGTACCTACCCCTGGTGGAAACCCCGCTGTTTGATCCATACCAGCAGCTTGTGCGGCCGCGGCAGCCGCAGCAGCAACAGCAGCACCAATACCGGGACCATCTCGAGCAGCTTCTGGCGAACCACCACCTCTGCCATCTCTTGCTGTCTCATTCCTGGGAGTATCAATAATACTAGCAGCCACGGGGATTGCACGCACAGTCGGACCCCCCTCAGTGCCAGTTGCCCCTCCCCCAGCACTAGATCTTGCCAATATGTTTTGACTAACTTCGGGAGTTAAAATATTTGGACGTTGAGAATTTGCCCGTTCACTCATGGTACGTAATGTTGAATCACGATAAAGGGGTAAATATGTAAATGATTCCCTATCTTCTTCTGGACCCGTTGCTCTTAATTGGGCTAAGATTTTTCTTACTTCACTTACGAATCGTTTTATTTCTCTTTCGGGTTGGTTTTGTTGATAGGCGCGTTTCTCGGCAAGGGCGATTGCAGAACTTAGACGTTCTATGAATTGTGGTAGGATGGTTTTTAATTTATGGTCACGATATTGTGAGACTAAATCTTGGGGGAAGTTGAAGGGTATGATATCCCCAACACAGGTTCTAAGGGCAACAAGATAGCATTCTAGGGCAAGTAGTCCGGATCCCATATATAGATGACAATAACCTAATTGAGTCCAAGCAGGAGTGAAGGTACGATCTGTGGCAACTGCGATATTTAAATCATCAATTGCTTCTGGTACACAATTGAGGCCAATAAATGCGATTGCTCTATTAGTGTGGAGTTGAGGAATGTCGCGGAAATTGGGGAATGATTTTGGACAGAGTTCTAATGCTTGAGTATATGCTTTAATCGCTTGCCCGTACGCGTAATTACTCATTAGATTATTACCTTGTTCACGTAGTTTGTTAACGGTTTGCTTTGTGGTTTCAACTTGAGAAAGATCATTTTCATAGAATAATTCCAAATGATTTTCCAAAAGATAAAGAAAGCAAAGTACGAATTTATCCAAATTTATATCTTGACCATTGCTATACAAACTTTGTGCTTCTTTATAAACTTGTTCACGAGCATGAATAACAGCTGAATACCTATCTTGTTCATCTTTAAAGAAATGATCATCAATGTATCTTTCGATATAAAATTTCAAGTTCTCTTGAATTGTTATATTTGAATTAAGGATTAAATCAGGGTAAATCTTGAAAACTTGTAATAAAATTTGATATAATTCAAGACCGAAGTCGGGATAATCATCAAAACAAAATAGATCAGGATCAATAGAATTCGAATTTACTTTCATAATAATATCTGCAGTATTTAATTTATTTGGAATCAGATATTTGTTGGTACTTTTTCTAATTGCAAATTGATTAATTATACCAATAATTGTTGCAGTGGAATTATATGTACCTTCTGGATTAAATACATTTTGATCATTTAAATAAGTAGATAGACGGTCCGTGATAACATGCATCATACCATTATTGTAAAAATTTGTCATATCAGTAGAATACAGAGTGGTTGTTGTTGATGATGATGATGATTCGTAATCATTTGTTAGGTGATTAAAATAACCATATATTGCTACATTCATAGCATAAGAAGAGTATTTCTCTTCTTCAGTTAGGTTGATCATAATTCTTTATGTTACAGACTTCTTCTTCTCTACTTTGTAAATATAAAATCCCAATATATAACAAATTATATGTGGTAAGTTAAAAAGTAACAAAAGAAGATCAATCAATGATTTCAATTTTCACCAAAATCTTTTTTTTTTCATTGCTTTGGTTTCTTTGTTCTATTTGAGATTTACTCTTTGGGAATTTCATAAAACTATGCATGTCGGTTGTTGTTTGTGTGTTTGTATTACGTCCTGCTCTCTTGTAATTGTATATGTCTAAACTAAGGTCTTCTAATAGTGTATATCTGCGTACTTGTAAGTTATAAGAGGTTTCTGCTATATAAAGATTCTTCATAAAGAGTAATCCAAGAGTCCGGTCGCACTGTAAACTGCACTTCTCGAAGAGAACTAGAAGAGTCCAACTTTAATTTATGATTACTCTAGCGGTTTAGAGGATTATGTGACATACTCATTGGTCTGTTCGAGAAACCCCAATGAGCTATAACTTCAAGTAATATAACAAATCAATAGTGAGTTGGTGGTGATTGAAAGTAACAGCAATTAGAAGAAGAAGTCCAGTGGCAATTAAATCAGTGAGGACTAATATACAGGACCCCGAACTTTTGCATTTGTTCAAAAATAACCAACTCTACAGCTACTCATTGACACACGGAGTTCTTACACACACATATACAGGTAAATGTTTAAATCTATGAAGTACCAAGATCCACAAGCACCAACACAGCCTCAACCACCTTCTCTTCCAATCAAGTTCCTAACTCCGGAAGGTTGTATATCATCAACTAAACTAAGACAATTTTTACGTCTATCGAGAGCAACCACTGATGATACAATACGTCCTCATTTAAATGAATTAAATAAACAACAATGTAATGAATATTTCAACTCGGTTATAGCACCTGCATGGCAACAAAGACAACAAGTCATATCTTATTGTCAAGATTATTCTCAACAATTACGAAATCAAACTCAAGAAGATAAAGAAGAAATAGCTGATCCTTCATTGACACCTCAAGAATTGGCAGAAAAGTTTGATTTAAGAACTGATCCATATGCATTCAAGACTCATCAGAGGAAATTGGAACAACAATATGCTCAATGTGATTTATTGGATAATTGGACAAGAAATGAACAAACAGTTGAAACTATTATAAGAGAACAAACTATTGGGGTCCTAAATGATAAATGTAGTTATCAAGATTGGATGAAAATGTTTAAAGATATTACTCGAAGTTTCTAATAAAGAGAAACCTGTTTTTACTGCATCTCCCTGTTTATAGTTATGTAATTTAATCTCCTGATATACGTAAATATTTAAAATTTTCAACTGTATTTATAATCTCTGTTTCTCTCTCACTTTCTCATTTATTGTGTACTGCAGCAGCTGCAGCATATGCAAAATGTGCAGATGTATTCTTTGATGATGTTGAGTTAGCCGTTGTTGCTGTTGGCGGTATACTACCAACATGAGCAAGGTTTGATTTTATTGGCGTAGCACGCGGAACTGTCGGTTTTGCTTTAACATGTTTACTGGTTCCTCTTTTCTTACTCTCACTACTACTATCATTGGAAGTCAAAGTACCAGACTTGTTTTTCTCCCTTGAACCTTGCTTGGTCTTCGATTTTACCCTTTCACGATGAGCCCCACCACTACTGCTAGTGCCACTCCCAGCACTATGACCACTGTTTATACTAGGCGAGTTCGACTTTGATTTTTCCTTTTTTGACTCAGCAGTCTTTCTCGCGTTTGTTTCTTTATCAATAGCAACCATTTCTTTGGCAATCATCAAACAATCAATCCACCCATACTTCTCTCCCAACCGAACTTCCACACCTCGCTTATTCACAACCTTAATCCCATCATTCTCTTTCTCCCGATCCCTCTCTTCCTCTTTTATCCTCTTCAAAAACACCAAATCACCACCATTCTTAATCAACTCAATAATCAAATATCCAACCTCTCCATCCTCTCCCCCATCTCCACCATCCTCAAACCCATAATCATACATCGAATAATCACACCCTCTATTCGACTTCAAATCAATCTCACACACTCGCTCCACTCCGCCATCTCCTTCTTTTTCAATAAAGAATACCCTCGCCATATCAGTCACAACCGCAATCACAACCTCAAACGATCTCTCTAGTCGTTCCAGATATTTATCAATTATGAAATCAAGTCCAGAATCATCCTCTAATGAAACCCCAGGATGACGCTTTATAAGACTATTTGATAATATCAGTTTGTATACTTTATCCAATTTGAGGATTTTTTCGTTTGGATGTAATAAATTGGAAATATCTGACAATTTCACAATCGTCAGAGTTCGATGCATCTTCTTGGGGATCGGTTTATTGTGAATTGGTGCTGGAATTGATGGTGGTGTTGGTGCTGGTGGTTTGCATATTGTGCCGGCATATGCTGCAGCTGCTACGGCAGGGGATAATTTGGGTGATGAAGATGAAGATTTCTCGACCATATCAGCCGACCGAGTTTGAGTCATGTGTGGAGGTTGTAAATACTTCTGAGGTGATGATGCGGGGTGATACGCCTGTTGTTGGGTTGATGTTGGTTGAAGTTGTTGTGGTGATGCAGGGGTGGCGAGTGCCAGAAATGGGTGATGTGGTATAGTTGGAGTACGCGGTTGTTGTGTCTGCTGTTGTAGCTGTTGCTGTTGCTGCTGTTGCTGTTGCTGCTGTTGCTGTTGTGGAGATTGTGGAAATGGTTTGGTGAATGCATTTCTTGGAGGTTCCTGATTCATACGTGGTCTTTCCTCTGTTGGTGAACGAGGATGTGCTGGGTACGTTGCTGGTGCTTGGTTGCTAACTGGATTCGATAATTGTAACGGCAACGGTGTCTGGTGTCTTATCTGAGAAGGTGCCTGTATTTGTTGTGACTGTGGTGGTGGTGGCGCATTATTCATTACAATCTGTTGTTGTTGAGGTTGTTGTTGTTGCATGCGTGGTGGCGAAACCTGGAATGAATTATTAAAAGGCAGATTAGTCTTCTTCAAAGTAGTTGGTGTATTATATCTCTTTCTTCCCACAGTTGGCACGAATGCAATTTCGGCACTTTGAATCTGTGATTGTAATTGATGAAATGAATTGGTCTTATTTGATGTTCTGTCGCTTCCATTCTTTATAGTGGGTGGTTGTAATAAGGACGAATTTAACTGCGGTGAGGTATATCCTTCAAATCTTGGGACTTTCCTATGCCATATATAATTCTGATCATCCCAGGGTATATCATGAAACCATCTAGATTGCATTATTTGCAAAATTGTTAATCTCTTACTTGGTTCACTCACAAGTATTTGATCAATTAATTGAGGAACATCTGGTGGCATTTGTACTTTATAACTATATTCTCCATTAATAATTTTTTCAAATGTAAGATACTCAGTGGTACCTTTGAATGGCGGTACACCATTGAAAAATTGATATATTATACATCCTAATGCCCAAATATCAGATTCAAATCCACTTTCATTAAATTTTAATAATTCCGGTGGAACATATTCCGCTGTCCCCACGAAGGACCCCTTTCTCTTGTCGGTATTGGTGCTATTCCCATCCTGCGTCGGAGGATTATTCTCATCCTCAACTGAATTATATTCAATTTTCTCTTCATTACTATCCTCATTACTTCCTAACAATTTCGCCGCACCAAAATCTGTAATTTTAAGATTAAAATCATGTCCCACTAATATATTCTCAGGTTTTAAGTCTCGATGAATCACTCCCTTCAGATGAATAAACTTCACCGCATCAATAATCTGACAAGAATAAAATTTTGATACTGGTTCAGATAAGGAACCAAATTTTCGTATAATTGATAATAATTCTCCATATTCTGCAAAATCTAATACAAAAAATAAACTAGATTCATCTTGAAACGTGAAATACAATTGAACTATTCCAGGATGTTGTAATCCTAATCTATGTAATGTCTGTTTTTCAATATTGACATATTTAATCTTCTTTTCTTTAACAATATGACGTTTAGATAACACTTTAATAGCATACGTTCTATTGGTGATTTTGTCTAGTGCTGAATATACTGTTGAATATGAACCTTCTCCTATTCTTTTCCCAAATTGGTAATCTTTCGCTGACCTTCTCTTGGGGTATTGTTGTGCTTGTTGTTGCTGTTGTTGTTGGTTTATAGTGAGATTCTGTATATGGTCTAGACCTGACATTGTGGATGGCATATAAGATGTCCGTTCAGTGGTCTATCGTCTTGACTTATTATAGTGAATCTTACTTTAAAGGTGTAACTCGAAAAAGGATAACTAATAACAATCTTAATGACTGATGTGTTGTCTGTTTAGTACATTACACTCGTGATTCCCAATTTCAATTTTTATTTTTTCTTTTTTAATCACTAAGATTGAAACATCCATTCTGCAATACACTTACAAGTAAGATTCTGTTGTAAAACTAAGATCCATATAGAAGGTTATACATATTGACCAATCGACCTGGGTTCTGAACTAGGATTATAGAATGATGTTATATGGATTGTAAAAGCTGAGAAGGGAATGCTCAGTCACATACATTTTTTGTTTAAAGGGTTTGGTTGGTAGGATTGAGAGTATTTATATGGTTGATTAATTTGCTGCAAAAAATCTACCAATTTACTCAAGCAAATGAGGAACGGAGTCTATATTACAAGAATCAACAAGCCAGTCTTAACAAATAACCAAAATGTATTAGGCAAGTTAAATACATTCCATTACAAGGAAGAGTTAGAATATCTTTATATTAAATTTTACTGTTGCACGAGCTACACCCAATTGTTCCTGATAACGAGCAGGTGGAGAACTTTTCAGATTTCATTGACAATGTATTAGCTTTGATCTAATTACAATTATTCTGAAGAAATATAGGTTTAATAGAAAGCCGAGAGTAAATTAAACCCTTATCGACTTATGTGCTCCTCGAATGCTTCAACAGAAACCCATTGTAGGTCACCGCCACGGCAAAGGATGTGTTGATAAAAATGCTTCTCCATAAACGTTATTCCTCTAGTCAATGAGATCACCCATAGTTGGGATACAACCAGTTATATAAAGAAATGGTTATCGTACCGTAGCTATGAGCCTCACATTTTGCAACTCATTAATAGAGACACAGTTGGTAGCCCGCTATTTAAACAACTAGAAAAAGATAAAAGTTTGACTCCTATAGCACGATTAGGAAACTATTGCTGCTACATGTTCACGTATATTACAAACACGCTCATGGGATCTGTTCTGAATTGGGAAATAATAAGTTCCTAGAAGTGATCGCATCTTTGAATATTAACATTTCTTAACTTTACAATTGGATGGACGCGTCTTGGGTAAAAAGTTAAAAATGGCCAAGTTGATTGGAAGCGCATCAATTACGCGTGCCACAAAAACAGAAATAAAAATGCACCCCATGTTCCCGAATTCTGAGAATAAGACTTTCCATATTGTTCTTCCCAGATCAATAAGGATAGCAATGTCAAGTTTACTACCCGAGAAGTTTTTAACATTACCGTCCGAATTACAACAGGTGATATTTGATAATATACCAGATGAGTACTTAATTCAATACATAGACATCCCCGCAATTGGCGAGCTTGCGCTTGATGTGCTTGCCTCAAATGTAATTATTTTCAAAGAAACTCCCAAGCTCATTCGAGAACTTATCATTGGAAAACAACCATGGAAATATATCGAGCCTATGTCTGATGGACCTTTCAAGGTTTCTCCTTTGAAGGCTAAACATAAGATAAGATTTGACATAACTGGATTTTTAAGATTTATCAAGAAATATCCCGAATTCAGACCCCAAAAGCTATACGTCGACGAACTTGCTGGGCTCGAAGCCATCCAGAGAAAATGTAAATGGGTAATAGATCACTCGACATTTGTCTCTGTCGCCAGACGTAATAATTCTTATAAAAGAAAAATCTTCCGCGCACTATCTAAATGCAATGATAATGTGAGCTATCATATAAATACTAATAGATGCGATGACTTTGATATCGGTCCATATGATCCTATACCATCAAAATTAGTAGGTCTAACATATGGAAGGTTGGCGCTTTTAAATCCTGACCTTGAACCGTTTTCCGCCTATGAGTTAGGACCTTTTCCTGAAACATTAACGTATCTTGATATGTACATGGAACGGACGAAGTCGTTCAACCCAGACTTGCCTATTTCTTTGAAGCACATGACCATTGAATTTGAACTGATGTCTGAAGCCGAAGAAGAGGAAGGATTGTCATCACCAATGCAAATTGACATTGGACATGCAATTAATCTTCAAACGGTCTGCTTTAAGGGCATAAATTCGCTTGATTTTAGACGTTTTAAGGCTCCACAAGGACTTAGAAATTTGGCTATTCATAGCTGCTTACTACATGGTAACTGGATGTCGTTGTCAAAGTTTACGAAAATGAAGTATTTGCATATAAGGACTGAGGGAATTGAATCAAATTTAGTTGCAGATTTCCCTACATCTTTAAAGCTATTGTCTGTTTGGACGGTCCCACCAATAAAGGCTGAGGTATTTGACATCCCACCCAATCTTGAGTTGTTGGATTTGCGATTTGTTACATTACCCGTTCCACCTGCAAAAATCCAATTTCCGAACACTCTCAAGGACTTGTTTATAGCCGATTTCGATAGGACGTATGTTTGGCACAATATTAAGCTTCCTCAAGTTGAGAAAGTAACGCTTTGCACTAATGCTGTACCCACTTTAGAATTTCTACCAAAATCAATACGTGAGTTTACTTTTCATTTGACTTCCTGCTTACTACTTTTCAATGTCAATTTATCGGAATATTCGAACATGACTTCCCTTTCATTGATTAAACTGGAAATTGTGTCATTTAATTTCAAGCTACCTCCGAACCTAGAAATTTTGAACTTGAGAGAGAACTCCTTGGAAGAAATCCAATTGGATTGCCCTAAGTTACGGGTATTAGATATTTCTCACAACAAATTTACCAGCCTTAACAAATCCAATTTAAAATTACCAAAGGGGCTAAAAGAATTATATTTGGGCGACCATCAATTAGTGAACCGAGGGCAAAAGACATCATCTAGAAAGGAACTACACTCGCCGTTATTTGAAAATTGCTTTCCAGAATCGTTGGAAGTTTTATGCATGCAGACTCTGAACATAAACTGTACAATATTGAAAAATCTCAAATTATCAAAATGTCCAAATTTAAAAGTTCTTCGCCTACAAACCAACCCTATTACACTGCTTAACTCAGCATTGTTTCCCAAGTCATTAGTGTACCTTGATCTCTCAATGAATGAGATTGATAGAATTGTCAACGGTAACTTTTCACGTTTCAAATCGTTGAGAGGAATGAATGTTAGTTTTAATGACTTCTCTGACAGCTGGATGGATAGAAGTATCATATTTCCTCTGTCGTTGGAATATCTAAATATGACAAGCTGCTTTCTTACAAACTTACACATCCAGAATCTAATCATAGATGATTGCAAGAATTTACAGTGGGTATTTCTTGCAGGGAATAAATTCATTGCTGATTTGAATGATTTTCTCAGTGCCATAAAGAAATTCTGTCCATTGATATCTTCTGTTCACGTTGATGAATCGAATTATAAGGCATTTAAGTCTTCGTGGTTTAACTTCCTAGATTTGACATATGACGAGATAGAATATCGAGTTATGTGTAAGATGGATGAAAGCTTTTTCGAAGAGTATTTTTCAAACTTTATGTAATGTTTAGGTAGATTTCATTTTATGAACATGGGCACTAGCCGGACAAGTACGTAATTGGTTAATCTGGCAGAAAATTAAAGACAATGAACAAAACAGTGCCCATTTTCCAAATTTATGAATTTCAGGTAGCACACTTGGTAGGCTTACCTAGGATGAGAATGGATTATTGTTAGCTTTAGGACTGGTACCAACAGTACCTAATTTTATTCTTCAAATTATATAACTAACCTTTTTTGTTGTATAGAGTCGAGAATCAAGGCTCTAAAAATTGTGTTTAGAATTATCTTGTATAGAAAGAATTTGATGAGACAAGACGAAGTAGCCCTCATTATTTAGCCTAAAGCAAACTTCGCGGATTGCAATAGCATGTATTCAAGTTTAGACAATGCTCTTACAGCCTATCCTGATATTAGTAACATCCATTTAGACCGAGTAAAGAAAATAGTGGTAGCGCGAAAACCAACATGTTTATCGACACAAAAAACCCAATTCTCCGTTTCTTGAAATCATAACAATTGGTTCTTGAAATCATACGGAATACAATGTCAAATATTTTTGCTGAAAAGGTGTTGACTCTACCTTATGAATTATTATATTCAATATTGGATAATATCCCAGATGAATACTTAATGCAATATATCGATTTCCCTACAATCGGTAAGGTTGCACTTGATATTCTTTCCTCAAATGTCATTATTTTCAAGGAAAGTCCCAGACTCATTGAAGACTATCTTACTGATTGCCGAATAGAGGGTGAACTTTTCCCCCGAGATAATAGTGAAACAAAACATAGTATAACATTTGACTTGTATGGGGTGCTCAGATTTATTGTAAAGTATCCTCATTTCAGACCTCACAGACTTTATGTTTACGAAATTTCAGATTTTGAAATCCTCCGAAGGATATGTAAATGGATAGTGGATGAAGCGAAATCCGTATCTATATCCAGAAGATTTTGTTTGGGCCCGGAGTTGCCGGGCATAGTATCCGAATGCAGCAATATTGACCATTTGAGCACCAGTAATTGTCAGGATGTATTGGCTGAAATTCCATCGACGGTGACGGAGATAACATATCGAAAAGTATCACATTTAAATCCCTTTTTTCGGCCACTTCCGGTACCCTTTTTGAGAGTTTTCCCCGAACATTTGATCAATGTGGATATATGCGTAGAAGTCGAGGACTATTTTATACCAAAGTTGCCTAATACGTTGAAACGCATGCATATAGAATTTAGCAGAAAGCCTCAACGCAATGGGGAGGAGAGACCAATGGGAATCGACATAGAACACTTGAATAACCTTCATACAGCCTCTTTCGAGGGCATACATTCACTTGCTTTCGGAGCATTTAAAGCTCCGAAACAACTAAGGAACCTTCATATCGAGGCATGTACAGTGCATGGAGACTGGAGATATTTAGCCCAACTTACCAATTTGAGAAGTTTGCAAGTCGCAGCGGGTGACATTTATACAAATATAATTGCAGAGTTCCCTACATCGTTAACAGACTTGGTAGTTGACACGGAAACCGAGTGCATAGCCGAAACATTTGAGTTTCCGCCCAGGCTCGTCCTGTTGTATTTAGACCATATCGAGCTACCAGTTTCATATCCCGAAATACAGTTTCCACATACCCTCAAGAATTTACACCTAGGGTTGGCAGATAAGGATTATCTATTGCAAGAATTAAATCTACCAGAACTAGAAACTTTGACACTAGAAGCCAATGTTCTCCACCTTCGGATCCTTCCGAAATCTTTGCGTGAGTTTTCTTATCGGTACGGTAATTTTTTTGCAGCAATTAGAAGCGAACTAAAAGAGTATACCAATTTGACCTCGCTTTCATTTAACGGGCTTAAGCTTGTTGGACTTGATTGCAGAATGCCCCCAAATCTCGAAAACTTGGACTTGAGAAACAATTGGTTACCAGAAATCTTGTTAGATTACACCAAGATACGAAAGTTGTATGCTTGCAGGAATAAATTGCCCCATCTCAACAAAGCTAGCTTGAAATTACCCGAGGGCCTACTTGAATTGCATTTGAACGAAACTGATTTGCACAAGGAGGGTGAATATAGTACCTTTTCAGTGCACCCCCCTGTATATGAACCTTGCTTTCCAGAATCGTTGGAGTTTTTATCTCTAGGAGATCTGAATATTACGGATGCCATATTGAACAAACTTGAATTATCAAGATGCACGAAGTTAAAAGAGCTTTCATTACATGCAAACTATATACTGCTGCTCTCATCAAGAGATTTTCCCAAGTCCTTAGTTTTTCTTGATATTTCGAGTAATCGGATTAAGAAAATTGTTGACGGTGACCTTTCAGGCTTTAAATCGTTGAGAGGAATAAATGCAAGCAATAATACCAAGCTTGGAAGTGGATTGGTAGACAAACCTATTGTATTTCCTCAATCATTGGAATATATAAATCTATCAGCTTGTAGGATTCCAAGTAACGCTGTTCAGAATCTAGTGGTGAATGATTGCAAAAATTTAAAGTGGGTATTTCTTCTAGCCAATAAGCCAATTCCCGACTTGCTGAACTTCCTTGATGCTGTACAAAGATTCTGTCCCTTGATTTCTTCTGTACATGTTGACGACAAGAATTATATACCTTTTAGGTCTATGGGTTTTAGTTTTCTAGATAGGACATATGATCATACCCTATTTCAAGCTTTGAAGAAGAGAAATTTGGTGTCCGTTGAAGACGGCGCCCGTTATTTCGATGAAATATTATAGTGTTTAAGTAGTCTACAACCTTAAATTTTGGTTTATTCAGAACTCGTTTAATTGTAAAGCAAAATACTACCAGTACTTCTAAAACAGATCATGGCGAGGTGTAAATGGAGTATTCCTGGGGTCAAGGGCAACATGAAAGTTCATACATTCCCAGTAGTAGGTCACAAAATGCAGTAGTGACTAACTCTTTATCGCTGGACTGTCGCAATGTACAGATATTTCGCCTCCTCTTCTTAACCCACAAGGTGTCGTGGACCTAACGAAAACAGCCTTTTAAGCTTTCTCAAATCTTGGCAGCTCTCCAGCTAGGCCAAGAAAAGTTGACAATCTTGGTAGCGTTCGTTTTATTTAAACAAAAAAGCACAATGTTGATTTTCCGCTTCTTGAAATCATCACAATCGGTCGGAAAACATCATACGGAACACAAAATCAAATCTGTTTACCAAAAAGCTATTGGCTTTACCTTATGAATTACTACATTCAATATTGGATAATATCCCGGATGAATGCTTGATACAATATATCGATTTTCCCACAATCGGTAAGGTTGCACTTGATATTCTTTCCTCAAATGTTATTATTTTCAAAGAGAGTCCCAGACTCATTCGAGAGTATCTCACTAATTCCCGAATAGAAGGTGAACTTTTTCCGCGAGATGATAATAACAAAACAGAACACAGTATCACATTTGACTTAAACGGGTTTCTCAGATTTATTGAAACGTATCCCCATTTCAGGCCCAACAGACTTTATGTTTACGAAAGTTCTGACTTTGAAACCCTCCGACGAGAACACAAATGGATAGTAGATGAATCGAAATCCGTATCTGTATCCAGAAGAGGTATTTCTAGCCCAATGGTGTCGCGTGTAATATCTGATTGCACCAATATTAATCATGTCAGCAGCAATGTCTCATTTGAGTTCATGAATGAAGTGCCAACAACAGTGACGGATATCACATATCGAGCAGTATCATATATAAATCATTGTTTGTGGCTGCTTTCTCCACAAGATTTGACTAGATTCCCCCAGCATTTGATCAATGTAGATATACAAGTACAAGAGGGACCTTTTATACCAACATTTCCTATCACTTTGAAAAGCATGCGGATACTATTCGGCAGGAAGGAAACCGAAGAAGAACCAAGTCCAATGCCCATCAACGTAGAGCATTTGATAAACCTTCAAAAAGCTTCTTTCGCTAACATACAATTATTTGATTTCGCATCATTCAGAGCTCCAGAACAGCTTAGAACCCTACATATTGAGGCGTGCCAAATGCTCGGAGACTGGAGGTATGTAGCTCAGCTTCCCAAGTTGAGAAGCTTGCACGTCGCCACTGAACTAGGTGTCACGAATATAATGGCAGAGTTCCCCACATCGTTAACGGACTTGCTGGTTCACACGAGAACCGAATTCATTGCCGAAATCTTTAATTTGCCACCCAGGCTTGAGCTATTGTCTTTGCAGTATGTTATTCTTCCAATTTCATATGAGGAACTACCATTTCCAGATACCCTCAAGAATTTACATCTACGGTTGTCCAATGACAATGATATATTGCAAAATTTAAATCTACCACAACTAGATAAACTTCATCTAGAAGCAACTGTTCTGGATTTGAGAATCCTACCGAGATCTTTATCTCAGTTTTGCTATAAGGACTGTGTTTTTACCCCATTACTTAACAGTGACTTACAAGACTATACCAATTTGACTTCGCTTTCAGTGAATGGCCTTAAGCTTGCAACACTAGATTTCAAATTGCCCCCAAATCTTCAATATTTGGACTTGAGAGACAATTGCTTATCAAAAATTGAATTAGATTGTTGCAAGTTGCTAAAGTTGTATGCGTGCAGGAATAAGTTATCCCATCTCAATAAAAGCAGCATAAGATTGCCAGAGGGTCTAGTTGAATTGCAATTGAACGAGCTTAAGTTGATCAAGGAAGATGAGAAGGGTTGTCTTTCAGATCCAAAGTACTCGTCGGTATATGAACCTTGCTTGCCAGTATCATTGGAGACTTTATCTATAACAAATCTGAATATTACCGATGTCATATTGAACAAACTTGAATTATCAAAATTATCGAAGTTAAAAGAGCTTTGTTTGCATGCAAACAATATCCTGTTACTCTCTTCGGCAGAGTTTCCCAAGTCGTTAGTTTCGCTTGATATTTCCAGTAATCAGATTGAAAGAATCACAGAAGGTAACTTTTCAGACTTTAGATCTTTGAGAGGAATTGATATAAACAGAAACCCCACACTTGGAGAGGGATTAGTCGAAAGACCTATTGTTTTTCCTCACTCATTGGAATATCTAAATTTGTCAGCTTGTTGGATGCCAATCAAAGCCGTACAGAACCTAATCGTGAATGATTGCAAAAATTTAAGGTGGGCATTTCTTGTATTAACGAAGCCTATTCCCGACTTATTGAGTTTCCTTGATGCTGTACAAAAACATTGCCCATTGATTTCTTCTGTACATGTTGACCAATGGAATCAAACTCCTTTCAAGTCCATGAACTTTAAGTTTTTAGATACTACATATGATTTTACCCGGTTTCACACATTACTGAGCAATGTGATGACACCGCGTCAGGCGAATGCTGGTTTGATTCTAGAAATATTATAGCGTTCAACTAATCTCGAACCAGAGTTTTTATTTGTGAAGGTTTAAGTGGAGCTACCCATAAATCCAAAAAAATGACATGTCAGCCGAGTAGACGACGGAATGAAAATGATTTTTACTAAATCATCTTATTGAAATGACTCAGACATTCTTGAATAGATTGTATCCGGAGAATTATTACTGGAATGGCTAATTATTTTGGTGATAGTTCGTTGGGAATGAGAACCTTGTTTTAACATTGTTGGAAAACATATATGCTCGAATTCGTTTAGATATTTTGGAATCAATCAACAGATTTGTTTAATTTATATGCATATTGCTTAACTCTTATGCAAATACCAATACAAGTGTCCATATATAAAGGTGGAAATTGACAAGAACACAAGTACATAGTTATATTGTTTTTAATTAAATTCTGTTTAAGATTCATCCAACAAATTATGTCGGTTGGAATCACCTGATCATCCTTTAGGATCTTCGCTTCCTACTATTCGTACTAATGCTGTAGAAACCGAGAAGATTATTAAGATATTCTACATATTAATGTTGGCCGTTATCCATTCAGTCTGAATCAGTGTACTCACTTTAGATCACGTGCGATCCCGGGGAAAATTGGATTGACGGAGCTCTTTTTCTTTGACTATGAGCCATCAAAAAAATAAAACGACAATACTAAAGCAAAAAAAAGAAATTGCAAAATTAATGGAGAGATTTTCAAAACCGAGCAAAGCCGAAGACCAGAAAAAAAAACTCTAATTAGAGAGATTCACCCTAACCCATTCCGGTTAATAAAGAAGCAATACAAAGCATAAGCCAAAACGTAATATGAAACCAACGAAGCCTATACTGCGATATAGTAGAGCAACCATACAAGGGACCAACAACCTCTTATTCCAAACTCACAAGATTCTCCTTCTTCGTCGAGAATTCCATCATCGACAACCAATTCGAAAACCAGTAAGAACTCCATCTCCAATAAATGCAAATTTACCACCAGCATATCTTCATTTACGAAAAGTGTTTGATGATCAGAAATACTTTAATAATTTCAATAAACCATCTACAACTGAATCAATATTTGATAGTTCCCCACGAACAGGATTATTTAAGAATGAATATTTATCATCACCCAATGGGTTAGTAGAATTTTCGAAAACATCTTTAGTAAAAGCTAAAGCTCTTGTTCAAGAAATGTTACGAGAAGTTAGAACCAATCATGGAAAATTAATCTATATCAAAAAGATGGATCAATTATCTGATATCATATGTCGTGTGATTGATGTTGCTGAATTTATCAGAGTAGTTCATCCAAGTAGTAAATGGGTCAATGCGGCTCAAGAAACCCATGAAATAATGTATGAGTTTATGAATCAATTGAATATCAATGTTGACTTATATGCTTATTTACGAGATATACTAAATGATAAATATATTCGTAACGAATTGACAGAAGAAGAAATTAAAGTTGGTGAATATTTAAAACAGGATTTTGAAAGATCTGGTATCCATATGGATCCTGAAACTAGAAATAATTTCGTGGCTATTACTCAAGAGATTTCCTTATTGGGTTCTCAATTTAACAATGAAATTAGTTCATTGGAATCATATTGGTGTGAAATTACTGAAGATGAGTTTAACCAGATTGAAGATCCTATGTTAAAGCAAGAGATTCAAAGATATCAATATAGACATATGCACAGAAAGCCCGGAGTGGTTGTTATCCCATTAGCTGAGCATCTTCCATTCTCACTTTTAAATTCATGTTCTATAGAATCCATAAGAAAGAAACTTTGGGTGGCATTACATAGTTCACCAAAAGATCAAATACTCAGATTGAATAGATTTGTGGAATATCGAGCATTATTGTCAAGAATGTTAGGATATAAATCATTTGCCCATTATCAATTAGAACACAAGATGGCAAAGAATCCCGAGAACGTGGTTACATTTCTTTCAAATTTACAAAAGTCATTAAAGAGTACAGGAGTTCTTGAAGAGTTACTGCAACTTTATAAATATAGAGATCAACTGAAAGATGAATCATCCTCAATATCATCTCCTGAAAATATCATTAATGAAATCAAACCATGGGATAGAGATTATTTATTGAACAAATTGCAACAGAAGCAACATGCCGAACCACCAAGTGAAAACATTTCCGAGTATTTCTCAGTAGGAACTATTATCGCAGGTTTAAGTAAATTATTTGAAAGCTTGTACGGTGTTTCATTAGTACCTCAAGCAACATTATCAGGAGAAACTTGGGATCAACAACAAGTTCGTAAATTACAAGTCATTGAAAATTCTACAAATAAAACATTAGGATATCTTTATTTAGATTTCTGGTCAGATAAAGTATTACCATCCCATTTCACGATTTGTTGTTCCAGGAAATTAAATACTGATATTGAAACTGAATCAATTGAATCAATGGAAAAACTAGTTCAATTAGATGAAGATTATCAATTGCCTATAATTTCATTGATTTGTAATTTCTCCAATAGAAAGAATAGTATAATCGGTAGATTTGCCGGAGTTGATAACTGTAAACCAACCTTACTTTCACTTGATCAAGTAGATACTATTTTCCATGAAATGGGACATGCTATGCATTCGATGTTAGGTAGAACTCAATTACATAATTTATCAGGAACCAGATGTGCCACTGATTTTGTTGAATTACCTTCAGTATTAATGGAATATTTCAGTAAAGACCCAAGGGTTATTTGTCAAATCGGTCGTCATTATGAATCAAATTCATTATTACCTAAAGAATTATTATCCCAAAGTCATAAACAAAGAATCATGCTTAATAATTGTGAAAATTTCATGCAATCTAAAATGGCTATGTTAGATCAAGTATTACATAATGAAGATACCGTAAAGAATTTGCCAAAAGGGTTAGACACCTTTGATTCTACTAAGATCTATCATGAACTCGAAAACAAACTTGAAGTATTTGCCGATGAATATTCAACCTGGCACGGGAAATTCCCACATTTATTTTCATATGGTGCCGTATATTATTCATATCTTTTAGATCGTGCAATTGCTGAAAAGATTTGGCAAGGATTATTTTCTGAAGATCCTTGGAGTAAAGAAGCAGGAACAAAATATCGAGAAAGTATTTTAAAGTGGGGTGGAACTAGAGATCCATGGGAATGTTTGGCTGATGCCTTGGGACAAGAAGAATTGAAAAAAGGGGATGCTAAGGCAATGGAAATTATTGGTCAAAGCGCTCATTTGTAAATATTGCTGCAAAAATTTCATACACGTATAGAAAATCTGTATATAAAAAAAAAATGTATAATAGAAGAAACTAAATTTTTGTAAGGCATTGATGCCATTCCGCATTCACCGGGGAAGTTGGGGTTAAGAACATGGAAAGGAGGGGGGGGGAGCATTATCTAAATAAACGTCACTCCACAAAGAAGTCAACAATTTGTCACTTACCCCATATTATTTTGACTTAGACATATTATTTTCCTTTCTTTTTTTCCTGAGTCAAAAATAATAAACCCTGTGATTGCTTCTTGAAGTTGCTGTAAATGGATTGTGTTGGAATTACTTTTTTTTTTTAAAGTGCGGTCGGTTGCAAACTAACAAAAAAAAAAAAGTGTGTGTACCTGCTCAGAAAAAATACAATAGGCCGGAGAAAATGCCGCGAGCTTATTCTTTTAGTGCAACACAAACGAAAAATGGAACGGCAAATACATGCAATAGTGCCCTGTACATTGATGTAACACTCACTAGTTTTAACAGAAGGTGACGGCGTAATTGGAATTTTCAAGTGAAACGCATCCTTCTATCAAACTTACAACTTGTTAATTTCTTCATAGTTTAATCAATTGTTCTATTTATGTTTATCTTTGTTTTCAAATCTTATTAATAGATTTGTCTTAAAAATAGATCTGGTCATGCTATACAGATTTCCTATCGTCGGTTATGCAGTGGATGAGTAACGGCTCTATTTTTCCATGCACCGTACAATTCTCCGTGAACCGTTAAAATTTCTTTTTTATTTTGATCTGATGCGTTTTTTTTTCTTCTTATTATTCGGAAGAAAATATTTTCTTCGGACTAATGTGGGAAAAAATATTTTATTTTTTGCCATCATGAAAGGCATTTTGAAATTTGCAACTTTGACCTAAAAGCCCAACTTGATCCAAATTGCCTTTCGAAGCAATTTATCAATAAGTTACAAAGGAAATTCAAGGGCTCTCGCAAATTTAAGATAAGAATCATCTATTATTTTCCCCCGGAAGGAATTACGTAATTATCGTACCATGAAAGGTCCTTGAACGGATCGGTCCTTCAGCCACTTCTGATAGAGTTGATCGCTGCCGCAACTACTCCATTTTTGGACAAATAAATAGGTGAATCAGGAATATTATCCGACAAATCGTATTTCGTAAAAGGGGTTTCTGATTAGAAATAGCCTCCTTTTTGCTTTGCATCATACAATAAGCCGATCTCCACTTTTATTTGTGTTGGGCATCGGTCTGGTGTTTGAGTTTTCCACAATAACCTCGTGATGATCACCAATTACCACCAAATTACAAAATGAGAAAGAAACAGAGCCTGATTATAGGCAGAAGCTATTAGAAGATAGTATCATTCGATTCGGAAGTTTGCCTAGCGATAAAGAATGTTACAACATATGTTTATCACGTCACAAGATTGATATCAGTTTCCATTTTGAGATCAGTCATCATGCCTTTTTTTTCTTTTTTGGTAGAATTATTTTTTAACGAAGAAACTAACGCGGAACAATGTTAAAAAATAATTTCTTTTTTTGATTGGCTTTTTTGACAGTTATATTTTTTTGTTTCTCTTTCGGTACTGTTTCTTCTAAACTTCCTCTTCTCCTTCTCTCTTCTGTTATTCTCTTCCCCCTCCTCTCTCTGAAATCGTTCTCTTTGCTTATTTTTCCAATTATTTATAGATTCAATAATTTCCTCATTTTATAAAAAAAATTTATATTTATTCTTTCATTCACTCTTATCAATATCTATTATATTATCAACTTATCATTCTGCATATATATAATAAACATACAACCCAGATCATATACAACAATATAATCGTTATAATATAGTACAATATGTCTAAACTAGAAGATTTTCGTAGTGCCACATCCGAAGTCAAAAAAGAGTCAAGTTTTAATGACTCTGAATCTCCATATGTGACTTCTTCAGTATCAGTAGATGAAGAAAACTTAACTGGATGGAAGAAGTTCACCGATTCATTCAGACGTCAAACAACAGAAGATATTGCTGCTGGTAAGCAATTAGCCAAGGGGATCAGTAAGCGTCATTTGATCTTGATGGCCCTTGTGACTGGTATTGGTACCGGTTTACTTGTGGGTTCAGGTCAAGTGTTGCATAATGCTGGTCCTCTCTTTGTGCTTATTGGTTATGGTATCGTTGGTTCCTTTTTATATCCTACATTACAAGCTGCTGGTGAAATGGCGGTGAATTATTCTGATTTATCTGGGGGTTATAATAATTATCCTCGTAGATTTATTGATGAATCACTTGCATTTGCTATTACTTGGAATTATTGTATTCAATGGCTTTCTGTTATTGCTATTGAATTGGTTACTGCTGCTATTACTGTTTCTTATTGGAATGACAAGATTAATGCTGATGTTTGGGTTACTATTTTTTACGTTGTTATCTTGGTTATTAATTTCTTTGGTGCTAAAGGTTATGGTGAAGGTGAATTCGTTCTTGGTTCTTGTAAGATTATCATGATTGTTGGTTTCATCATTATGGGTATTGTCGTTAACGTTGGTGGTGGTCCAGAAGGTGAATTTATTGGTGGTAGATACTGGCATAATCCTGGTTTCTATACCAATTTCAAGGGTCTTTGTTCTGTCTTTGTTACCGGTGCCTTCTCATTGGGTCAATCTGAATTCGTTGCCTTATCAGCTGCTGAACAATCTAATCCAAGAAGAGCTATTCCAACTGCTTGTAAGTTAATCTTTTGGAGAATTCTTATTTTATTCTTGGGTGCCTTAACCATTGTCGGTTTGTTAGTTCCTTACAACTCTGATAGATTAATGGGTTCTCAAGGTGGTGGTTCTCATGCCTCTCCATTTGTCTTGGCTGCTGCTTTACATGGTGTTAGTGTTGTTCCATCCATTATTAATGCCGTTATCTTATTATCTGTCACCTCAGTCGGTTCATCTGCCTTGTATTCATCTTCAAGAACCTTACAATCCTTGGCTGAACAAGGATTTGCTCCAAAATGGTTCAATTTTGTTGATAAAGCCGGTAGACCATTACGTTCATTAATTGTTTGTTCCATTATTGGTTTATTCTCTTTTATTGCTGCCTTCAAGAAACAAGATACCGTTTTCAATTGGTTATTGGCTATTTCTGGTCTTTCCCAAATTTTCACTTGGTTTGGTATTTGTCTTTCTCATGTTAGATTTAGAGCTGCATTAAAATATAACAACATTTCCCTTGATTCTTTGGGATATATTGCATCTACTGGTACTTGGGGTTCTTATTATGCCATCGTCTGGTTTATTCTTGTTTTGATTGCACAATTTTGGATTGCTTTATTCCCAGTTGGTTCATCTGTACCAAATGTTGCAAATTTCTTTCAAGGATATCTTGGTGGATTAGTTTTGCTTGTCTTTTACCTTGGTCATAAGATTTGGACTAAGAATTGGAAATTATATATCAAGATGGAAGATATTGATATTGATCTTGATAGAACTATCTTTGATGAAGAAATCTTGACTCTTGAAAAACAAGAAGAAAGAGAAAAGTGGGACAGAACTCCATTCTATCTTAAAGCATTGAAGTTTATGTTTGCATAATATGGTTTTACGGTTTGTTTGTGTCATAGTTCTTTTATTTATTGTAAATGTTTTGGTTTATTATGTTTAATATTTATAGATAATTAGCTTTCCTTTTATTCTTAATATCACGTTTGTTATGTATCTAACTATTAGCAACTAGCAATTGCAAATCTAGTAGTATTCCATTTGATGTTTACATTGTTCATCATATGGATAACGTTGTTTCCATCTTTCTTCAAAGAAGCTAATACAATCACTAACCAAGAAATCCAGATTAACATTTTGATATGCCTGTTTCTCAATAATCTTTGCATAAGCCTCAAGTACAAATTCTTCAAAGAAATGTAATAATGCAGTTCCTTGAAATCTTATTCTCTTTAATTTAGGGAGATGTTCAACATTCAATTCTCCCTTTTCAGCAGCTTTCAATACTTCAAGAATACCTGGAATCTCACAATCTAATCTATGCCAATAGCGCATGTCGTAATCCTGTCTTACGCCGGTAATTGTATCAAACCAAGATCCATATGCTTTTCTAATATATTCGCGTAGATCGGCACGAGTGAAATCTTGACTAAATGGTGGAGTTGGTGGAAGATTCATTGTTTCTTATTTAATGTTTGTAATTGTATACTTATTGATATATAATGGGTTAAGTTATGTCTTATCGAGGTGTAATAGGGAAATACCTTTGAGTATTTATACAAAGATGAATTGGCGGTTAAATTATCAACCCCCCCCTTTCCATTTAACCCCCAGATTTTATTTTTCTTCTGGAAGGTCACGATTTGTCATTGTTCATTTTCTTAACAAATCACACCACTAACTTTCTTATAGGCAGGTTGCGTCATTCGACCAGCCTTTCCACTAGTCATGACTTTTACTCGGTTGATATGGGATTGATGGAGCATTGCTGAACATATGTATCAATTGCTTAGAAGATACCGTAGTAACAACCACGATCTTGGAGACTGGCGGTAGCTCCTTAAAAGCATTATCGTTAATCTCGTTCAAATTTTCTACATAATCTAAAAATAGTTCAAATGTATTAGTCATCGATAAACGATGATAGTAATATCTATAGTTCTCTCAATACATAATTGACATTAGCTGGGCATCGAGATTGTGAAAAATGAACCAGATGAACTAGCTAAATGGTAGCGCTAACTAACCATGAAAAAAATATCGAACCAGAAATTTGAAAATTTTGAAAAACTGAGTTTCATTACTTTGAGTTGTTGGAATTGGACAAGGCATAGACTCACACATCGGTGTTAAAGATAGGAAACGGCAGTACAATGCTTAGAAGAAACATCACCACATTCGCTCGAAGGTATATAACGACCGGGAAAAATACCGATACATTCTATCGTGCCCAAATCAATATTCGTGACATTATAAATCGACCAAATGAATACAAAACCTCAATAGAAAGAAGACAACTTCCTCAAGAGCTTATTGAAGATGTTGATTTTATTATCAAGAATCGAGAAATTCAATTCGAGATGTCTCGAAAAGTGAATGATTTCAAACATCAACGTAATGAATTAGCAGAAATGCTCAAATCCAAAACAGCTCCCAATCCACAAGAGTGTAAAGACAAACTCAAAGAAATTAAGAATGATTTAAAACCCTTAGAACACTCAGTCAAAGAATTAGAAGAACTCATATATACAAAAGCGGAAAATTTACCAAATTTAATTGATGAAACCGTCCCCACTGATCCTTTCAAAGAAGACATCGTCCAATTCATCAACTGTGCATCGGCAGAAGATGCCTTAAACCAACTTCCACCCACAGAAACATATGATCATAAAACCATCGGAGAAAATTTCAACATCTTCAACTTCTCCACCGCCTCCCGTATCTCCGGTTCCTCATGGTATTACCTAGTAGGAGACGGAGCCCTCTTAGAACAAGCACTCGTCCAATATGGATTATCTAAAGCGAGAAAATATGGCTATAAAATGATCGCCCCTCCTTCAATCGTAAAGTCAGAGGTGGTGCATGCATGTGGATTTAAACCAAATGATCAAAATAATGAAAAGCAAGTATATGAACTCGAAGGAGAAGGGAAATCATTAACAGGAACGGCCGAGATTCCATTGGGGGCATATCATTCATCAACTGTATTTGAAGCCGGGACTGATTTTCCTAAGAAATATGCTGGAGTTTCGAGATCATATCGTGCAGAAGCAGGTGCTAGTGGGAAGGATACAAAAGGGCTTTATCGAGTTCATGAATTTACAAAAGTTGAATTATTCCATTTTACTACTCCTGAAAATGCCGCTGAGGAATTGGAACAGATTAAGGATTTGCAAGTTGAAATTATTTCCGAATTGGGCTTAAAGGCAAAATTATTAAATATGCCAACTTCAGATCTTGGATCTCCGGCAATGAAGAAATATGATACAGAAGCATGGATGCCAGGGAGAGGAAATTGGGGAGAATTGACAAGTTGTTCAAACTGTGGGGATTATCAATCTAGACGATTGGGGATTAAATATCATAGACAAAATGAAGAAAAATTGGGACATGTACACACTCTTAATGGAACATGTATGGCAGTACCTAGAGTAATTGTTGCATTGGTTGAACAGAATTATAATCCAGAGACTAATGAAATCTCAATCCCTGAAGTTTTACGACCATATATGGACGGGAAAGATAAAATAATACCCAATTAAATAAAGCTGTATATAAATAAACACGTGTATATATTGGAATCTATCGTTTTTTTAGAATTCGTCTTCTGAATTGTTCGTAAACTCACCTTCTGGAATCGAACTCATCTGTGCTCGGTTACTGTATGTTGGAACACTTGCGATTCTCTTTCGGTGATTAATTGAGAACCCGTCATCTTCCTTGGAGATTTCTTTGATATTTTCTAAATGAAACTGACGAATATGCTTCATCTGTGATCCATCTTTAACAGTTGGGATAGATGCTGATTCGATTTTCAGTACCAATTCTTTGTATTTGACTTCTAGATGTTTATACTCTTCATATTTTGTAGAATAACTGTTGGAAAGTAAAGAATATTTAGTTTCTAGTTTCTGGATCTTAGCTTCTAATTCTCTTTCTCTCTGTTCAAGTTCTGAGTTCTGGTTTACCCTTTTCTCGTCTATATTGGATAACATCGCTAGTATCCTTGCAGTCGAGTCATTGTCATTGTCATTGTGAATATAATTGCTCTGTATGTCTTCAAGCTTTGTCCGTATATCCTCCAAAATGCTAACTGATTTATCATCTAAAGAAACTGAGTTCAATTCGGAAATAACACGAAGTATTATCTGCTCTACAAGATCCGACGGAGGTAATTTCTCCTTGATATTGTCTATGTTTATTTGAATCTTCTCCATAGTAGAATTGATCGTTCTTGTTGCCGATGATAGACTGGAAGCAACCTCTGACTGTTTGGTACTTAACACATGAAGTGAATCTTTGGTTTCAGCACCAGATTCTGCTACCTTGTCGATAACTGTTTTCAATATCTGTTCGTCTTTACTAGTTGCATTTGAATTGGTTGATATACAACTCTCCAAACGCGTATATTTTTCCTCGATGGATTCGACGAGCTTAGTGAGATCATTCTCAATAGATGTAAATCCTTCTTTAGAACTTTTTGTTAGACATGTCTCCAATTCCTTGACATACGTTTTCCATTCATCAGCATCGCGTGACATGGTCTCTTGAATCACATCCTTAATATTATCTTTCGAAATATTCAATCTTTCTTCAATCAACTTCCTAATCTTCTCATTGTTAGAATCATTCACATCAAGCCTTTCCAAAATGCTATGCATATCTGCCTTAGTAGCATTTCCTTCAGTCATAACCTCTTGTGAATAGGAAACTACATTCTCCAACAATCTATTCAAATTTTGATTATTATTCTTCAGTCTATCTACCAATTGTCCCAAGTCGACACTAGTTTGTTTAGATTGGACTTGTATGTCATGCAATTGGGTTTGTATTTCTTCTTGGGTGAGATGTAATAAGTTGAAATGATCTTCAAATTCTCCACCTTCAAGAATCTTCTTGTGGTTGGTGGTGTTATTAATATTTGGTGATATTGGTTTTAGGACATTTTTATATGTTTTTGGACTAGTTGATGTAACCCCAGCAGTGAAATTCTCTTTATCCTCCAGCATCTTAAATACGGTAATTATCTGATTGGTGAAGAGTGATTTATGAAAATTGATTTTGGTTTTTTGTTTACATTTTTTAAATCTACAGAAAAATTATCAACAAACAATCAAGAGACAGATATAATTAATTATAAAGTTTAATTAGTCCAACTTCATGTAAGAAAAAGTGTATAACTGTTCTAATAAAGTTAACTGCAAATTATTCAAAGATCATATTAATATCAATTAATATTATGCTTAAATAAAATGTCTTCAATCTGAATCCGATAACTTTCAAGTGTCTTTCAGGTGTCGTTTTGAGAACTGTAAAAACTCATTTTGAGAACTGTTTTTTTTTAAGAACTCGATTGAGAAAATTATTTTTTTGAGAATAAACATAGGAGGTTTGATTACTCCGAATTTTAGTATGCAAATGTGTACTATACGTGTAACAAAGTTGACTCGGAATAATACAAAGATATTAAATATATCAATTAATTAATAGTTCTCTTAACAAACATGTAATAAATCTGCAATCCATGTGTATGTCTCCAGATAAATTTTTCAATCTTTGGCTGAAGAATTTTTCCCTCATAGGCTGAAAGATTTTTCTATCATTGGCTATGTAGGATTTTATGACCTCGGGTTGCTCAGATCTTTCGGTCACGTTACATACATGTCTTCGCATATAATAACATTCCTTGATATTTGAAACCTTAGGCTATTATACTTCAGGCACAGAAGATGACATTTATGCTTACTATCTCTATTAGAAGGACTACGTTGAGGGTCCTAAGATGGGTTCTTGTTTAACAAGACATTTACAAATATATTTGAGTATAAGAATGTTGGGTTATTCTTGTAAGATTTTTACTGATTTAATGAAGTAATTTATATTTTTTTGTTAGATTTTTTACCTTTCCTATGCATAATAGCGGGTTAATCAATACTTAAACCCTTCAGTATTGTTTAACTACAAACTTACAACATCCCTCTGTCTAATAATCAACTTATATTAACACAAGTCAGATACTATATCATCTAAAATCCAAACTTACTTTTAAAAGCAGAACTATACATATTCTTCTTTTGTTCTTCAACAGTACCTGTCACAGCCTCGCTGGCATTATTAGCATAATCATTAAAAGTCTCTTCCACACTCTGTATTCCCTCTTGAATTCTCTTCATAAACCCTTGAGTACCAACACCGCCAGCCAGACCACTCGTGCCTGTTCGTCTAACAGGTTCATCATATGGTTTATCAGAATGCTGACCGCCTCTTGCTCCCAGTATATTATATCCACCGTATCCTTGACTAACATTAGCTTCTGGGCTAATATTATGCGCTAATTGAGACTCTGGATTCTTGGTTGGTTTTCTATTTGGTCCTGCAATCAAGAGTGATAGATCGTCAACAGTCATAGCTGTGGACTGTCCTTTAGCCCATTGTAATGCACCTGCGGTTGGACGAGGTGGGATAACGGCAGTTTCATTGAATAATAAATCAGTAGTTGGTTTGTCTTTAGAACGACCCTTTTCATAAGTTGATACATAAACGGATTCAGTTTTGGAAGAACGAACAAATAATTCACCTGATGATAAAAGATCGGAATGTTCTGCAAGTCCAGAATCTAATGATGATTTCACTTTTGAATAAACTTCCTTGGGCATTCTTATATCTACTATATCAGTAAGTGAGGGCAATGAACAGAATTTAACAAACTCTGATTTCATTAATATTGCCAATACTACTCCTTGATCTTGATAATTGACAACATTACATTTGAAGCAGGTCTCGTCAACCACTTTATGGGATAATTTCGTCTTAGGGACCTTAAGTACTCTAATATCCCGATCGGATGTGGCAATGACATACCCAGGAACTACAATCCCTTGGCTTAATTTATTGAATGTTGTCATCTCTGCAACTGCCGATGATCCATCTTCAGCTCTAATTGGAATCAATTGAGAAATCTTAGAAGCTTCTGCATTCCCATCACTACTTCTATAATTCAAATGAATAGTTTTATCAGCAAATACAGCTTCAAATCCTCCATTGGCCATTGGGATAATCTTAAAAATAAGTAAATTCCCTCCACAATTAGTACCCACTAATAACAAAATGGAAGAATATCCATCAGTTCCATATTCCATAATTGCAAACTCAATAGAAGTAGGATAACAATTCCCAGAAACAGAAACTAAATGTTGCAGAATGCTTTCCAAATTAAGAATCACCGCCGGACCACGGGAAATATCACAAACGACCAATCTACCAGAAGTATACCCAACAGCTGCAAATCCGACATTACTCATCTTCATAACTGAGATTTCCTCAAGTGGATCCAATTGAAGGAGATACAGAGGTAAGAAGGATGCTGACAGGGTAATTGATCCCAGGATTCTACCTCTCAAATCCAATAATTTGGCATTTCCACTCAGAAAAGCCACCGGAGAATCAGCATATGTCTTTCCAGTGTGATTTCCAGCACCTCGGTTTGGATTCTTACCAAATTTACAAATGACAACTTCTCCAGTTGCTAATCCAACTAATAATTCTCGATTCTGGAATGCACAAGAAACATGTTGGACACGAAGTGCTTTTGGTTCACCGTAGTCATATAATGTTTCACGAAGACCGATTTGGACCACGGATTCCATTTCTCCTTGTTCTCCTTTAGTCACATCTAGGAATCTAACTAATCCACCTTCATGACCCATGACAAGAATATTCCGAAGTGAGTCATTCATCCCGATAGATCTGGGTAAGAACCCGAGATTTACTGCTGCACCACCGGTTAATAATGGTGTCATACGAGAATTGGACCCAGTTGAGACTCGATTGGATAAAATACTATACCAATCTACTCTTTGAACTTCCACGACGTCATAAGAACATAATGGCGGATGAATGAATGAGAATGAAATAGGTAATATAACAGAACCTAAATCACTATTACCTTGCCCACCAGCAGAATCTGAAAATGTGATTAAATAAACTTGTCGTAAATTGGAAATCAATAATAAATATTCCGGATCATGACCTCCATGGAAATATGGGGACCCATTAGTTGTTATTGGTTGGATTGTGGTTAATCTTTCAACTTGATCAGTTTTATTGAGATAGAATGTGATTGGAATCATTCTTTGTCCTGATGTTGGCAGAGCATAAAATTCAGATTGTTTATCATAAGATGTTAAGGAATATTTTAAGGTATATCCGAAATCCAATACATGAAGGAGATTAGTACTATGAGGATCACCACCACAAATAATTAATTTTGTATTTTCTGGATCTTCTCCACAAATCCATTTAACTTGTTCAATTGGATTAAAAGCTTCTGGGACTTCCAAAGGTTGACCAGGTTTATGAATATGAGTATCGAATATAGTTCTTGCTTCTAAAACAGTGGCATTGGGAACATCCCAGAATACAAGGGTATTGTCAACATGAACAGTAACTGCATGTAAACCATTTGGATGGAAATGAGCTTCTTTAACTTCTGGAGCAATATCTTTAGAACTTCCAAATAATTTCTTTTTACCTCCATTAAGAATATATGATGAATAATCATATGCACGACAACCTTTTGAAATCAGATATACCATTGCACTTTTAATTTCTCCGGAAGCTAACGAATAAACAACTGCACAATGGGAATAAGCAATCAATACAGTTCCAATATCACGAGGATGCCATTCAATGGATACGACTGGAGACATTTTCTCCTTGGGTAAGATCTTTTTCTGTAAATTATCAACTCTAAATGGAGTTAAATTTAATCGATCAACATCATAAACCATTAAACTTCCATTGCTCAATCCTAAAATCAACCAATCTAACGCCGGATCTGCCTCAATGGCAGTTACAGCACCTGAAAACAGATGCGTACCTAATATTGTCTTTGAATGTAATGATAAAATAGTTAAACCAGTACCTGGTGAAGAACATACCAAATAAACCCCTTTAACAAACCGTAAAAATGTAATTGGATGTTTGATATTAAATTCAAATATAACTTCAACATTTACTTGTCCGTATACTCTAACATCATTATTAGTTGTAGAGACAGCTAATAAAGATTGAACAGGATCGTAAGCAACTGCAACTATTGATTGTTTAGGAATACCTAATTGATTAATTACTTTTAAATCAATATTTTTGGCTTTAATTCCATCAGGTGAAAGATCTTTAGCTCCTGACGTTTTAATGATATTTGAAACTGAACCAAGAGAAAGTGGTGCTTTCCTCAGCTTAAGCTTTGAGAACATTTCTTGTATAGTTTTGATTCAATTGTAATAAAGAAGGCGAAGTGGTTGTAAAATTCATTTGATCTCGATTCGTGTAATTAACAGGATCCTATAAATTTAGAAGTGAGACATTCATCTGGAAGTACGATATGTCGCGACATTCAATATGTCGCTGTTTATTCTTTTTGTTAGGGGGGAAAAGAACCTCCACGTAAACACGTAAATTTATCTTGAATTTTTCAGCAATACTCTCGAGACTGATCACTTTCTCCTGGAGGACCTATTCTTTCTTATAGAAAATCAAATAGAAAATGGTATGTGTGGAGAAGACTCTATATACCCTCAATACAGCACAATTGACTATGAGCAAATACTAACAAATTGACTACAGGCTCTTGATAAATTAATTGGACTTGCTATGCTTGCTGTTGCTGCTGTTGTTTTCACATATTATACTGCATGGGTATTTGTATTACCATTCGTGGATGAAGATAATATCCTTAATAGTTTCTTTTTACCAAGAGAATATGCCATCAAGTTACCTTTATTATTATTAGCAATTGCTGGATTAGGTGTGGGAACTTTTGTAGGGAAAGTATTGGTTAAGAATCAACAAAAGAAAAATAGTAAGAAGAAAGCTTGAATGAGGATGGTGAGTATTCACCGTTCCTTTTATCACGTTTGTATTAACGCATTTGTATATTAACGATAAATTTTATGCAATAGGACTATCTAGGCTCAGATAGGATGAGTATTTAGAGATTAATATTTAATCTATTATGTTCGAATAATAAAGTCCCCTGATTTAGTGATATATTTCACTCCCTTATAAGGTTTAACTGATTCTCCTAAACCTTTAGCACTTACAATTTTTAAAGTGTCAACTTTTAATCCACTGGGAACTGCACCCTTATGGGAGTATATTAACCTTATATACAGTGGTTTGGCATGTTTCGAATGATTCTTGATTTGTGAATCATTTCCTTCGTCTTCCTCCTCTTTCTCTTCATCGACATTTCTTGATGATATTACAGATCCATGGAATACTGGTAAAACTCCGGATTTCAATTGACGTAAATTCCATTCACCTTTACCATGACCTTTATATCTATAATCCCCATGAGTAATTCTATTAATCTTGATTTGATCATCAAAACTTTCACAAACAATTTCAACAGTAATTGAATCAATTTTACTAAGCTTATTTCCAAACAATAATCTAATTTCAAATTCATTTGAATTATCATGACATTTAAAATCAACATCAAGTGTAGTTTGTCTTAGAACTCCCATTCTTTGTTGATTCAGTTGAAATTGATCATATAAATCAATTTGATACTTCATTAATGTACATTTCCCATCTGGTGGGACAAATGATAAAATCCCATGTCTTTCTTTCCATGCATCTCTATTCACACATTGATGAAAACTAGGCAACATAATCTGTCTGGCTGTCAAACTATTGAATACTAATTGTAATAAAGGAACTCCACTTAATCTACTAATGAAATTAATCTCTCCATCAATTGATCCACTAATCATATAATTCTCTTGATTTGAAGTTTTATTGCTACTTGAATAGAAGGCCGAATCAAAATGGGCCCCTTGTTGTGGACTCTTTGGTGTGGGTTTAAGTATAACATTAACGGTTTCAATCACGTCAACAAACATTTCATTATTTGTATGTCTTACATTTGCTCTTCTCCAAGGTATATCACTAATTAAATCCTTACCTTGCATAGCAGCAATCGATGATCCAGGACTCAGGTGTCGATCCAGTTGTGATTGTGGTTGTAATGCTGCAGTGGCTCTCCCAGCAGTACTACTTGCTGAGCTTAATAATTTTGAAAGTAAAGACTTATAAGCTACTAAATCTTTTAATTTATTGAAATCGGTTGTATATGGAATGGTATCATCTAACATTTGATACAACAATAAAGTTAAAGTATCATTATTTGCTTCAATTTTATTTGGATTCTTTAATTCTCCAAAATAATCATGTAAAGTTTCAAGTAATCGACGAATGAAAATGAATGGATCAAGTGGATTGTCTTGATGATCTTCTTGATTGGATTGACATAATAAATATATTATTATTGAACATTCTCTTTGAGATACCAAATAGAATTGGGAATTTAATGTGATGATGGTATTATTGGTGGTTGTTGATGATTCTGTGATTTTTGGTAGGAGAGATTTAAATTTAGGGACATTTAAAGAAAGGGAATATTCATATATCAATGCATTGGTTGCATCTGTTATGTATATTCCTTCAATCATGCTTTTGTATGTATGAATTGATTCTGGGTCTACTGGAGATTAGTGGTTGTCAATTTGAAAAAATTGAATATTTGATGCGGCTCAGTTTATCAAACCTCCTTTTACAGAAGCAGCAAATTTAACAACCATCAAAATTTATCAACAACCAAAAATTGACATTGGTTGCCAAAAGAAGTTACAGACCAATAGAGTTTGAAAGTAATACAAGAGAGAGTGTTTAAATAACAAATGATTGTATGTAAACGGGGGGAGAAGTCTAACATATAATTAGAATATACACAAATAATAATTATAAACAAAGGGAGGGTAGGGGTTGATTGGGGGAATTGGGGGGAGTTTCTATAATGGTAATAAATATTAAAAATAATACCGTCGAGTCATTTCTAAAGTCATTAATAAAAAAAGTCATAATAAAAAAAAGTATTGGTAACTCAATTACCATTTTCCATTTCATAAAAGGTTGTTCGTAGTTCGTAGTTGTAAAAGTTGTTTCTAAAAATATAAGCAATCCAAAGTGTTCAATTCTAAACTTCCCAAATAGATAATATAATCCACCTAAGAATTGATTTGAAAAAGAGTTCCTACTTGTTGTTATCAATTGCCATTTCAAAGAAAGATTAATGTTATTTTCATTTTCTCCATTAATCAATCCACACACACATATCTTAACCAGACATCAATAACAAAAGTATCACTCTTCCAAACCATCATAATCATAACACAAAAATATCACCCAAAAAGGAAAATCAGATTAAAACACCCAAAAGGGTCACTTATTTATCTATTTATGTCCGCTGGAAGAAGAGTGTGAGGAAGATGGGTGATCATGATCTTCTTCACTTGATTCAGCACCACTCATATCAAGATCCAAATCTTCCAAAACCTTCTTTTCAACATCCTTGATTTCCAGCAAACCATAGTAAGAAATAACCAGAATACCCAAAATACCAGCAATACATGAAAACACAAGAGCAACGATACCTCTGGCGGTGAATCCAGGAGGTAATGGACCGACTTGTACTTTTTCACCAGTCAAATCAAGGAAATCTTTGGAATTACCAGCAGCATTACCTTCAAGCGAATAATTACTCAATCTACAAATTTCTTTATGGTTTTCAGTAAGTTGTTGACTTGCTTCGTTTTGAATAGCTTCAGGATCTTCAACAAACACCATAACCAAACCTTGAGCAATATGCCATTCAATATGACAATGGAAGAACCAAACACCAGGATTATTAGCCTTGAATCTTAAAACCATATATGATTGGGATTCAACAAAGGCTGTATCTCTATCGATTGGATATTCCGGCCATTCTGCATGATCTTCTGGATCAAACCTAACGGGTTCTAAAGGTTCAGGGATTTCAGGATGTCTTTCAATTAATTGGAAATGATGTCCATGTAAATGGAATGGATGTTTAGCAGTATCCAAGTTATTCACAACAATATCAATAACATCACCACCGTGAAGAACAAATGTATTTGTATTACTACCATAAATTACTGGATTAGTAGCATGTTCACCGGCAGAAAGGACGGTTAATAAGGTTGGGACTTTAGGATAAACAAATGAAATATTATTGAAGAAAGCATAATTTATACCATCACCCAAATTATCCATTTGAACATCAACAGTAACAACATAATCAGGATCGCCAAAATTCTTTAATTTAGATAATGGTTTCAAATAAAAGTCATCCTGGGCATTCAACAAATATTCTTCAGAAACACGATATTCGTCAGGCAAGTCTGCATCTTCATTATAAACAATCCAATTAGTTCTGTTCAAATACAATTCTTCAGGGATAACATCCAACATAGTTAAATCAAATCTTTGCATAAATGCATAATTCCTATCAGTCTCATTCTTGGTAGTGAGCAAGAAAGCAACACGTTGAGCCGAGGTCATATAAAGCACATCAGTTGTATTCTTTTCAACATAAACACCATCAACTTCAACCACCGTGAACTGATGATCTTCCATCCAAAGATATTGAGAAACAAACCCACCAATATTATAAAGACGAACTAAATAAGTCTTATTAGGTTCAACTTTCCAAGTAACATTCATAGTTTCATTCATTAATAAATTGGAAGGAATTGGTTCAGCACCAGTTGGATTAAATCTACTCAAAAAATCTTCAGCAAGTACATGCATTTCATCATGATAATGATCACCAATTGATAAAATGACTTCTTCATCATACTCATATGGGAAATCATCATCTTCAATAACAAGTAATCCTCTCATCCCATCACCATATTGATGAACAGTATGGGAATGATACCAATAGGAACCAACATTACCATTAATAGTAAAGTTATATAAATAAGTTGCACCAGGTGGAATTGTACATTGAGTAATTTCATCACCACCATCCATTTGATTAGTACCTCTTTGAAATAATCCATGGAAATGCATGGAAGTGTTTTGATTTCCAAGACCATTGGTTAAGTACATTTGAATTCGATCACCTTTTTTAACTCTAAGGGTTGGCCATGGCCAAGTACCATTATATCCAATCATTTGTCTTTCAAAACATCCATCAGGGTTTGCGGTAACCCATTCAGCATTAAACCAATACGTATGAGTGGTTGATTCTGCTTGAATCAAGGTAACCAAAAATGAAAATAATAAAACCGGGATAAGTTTCATGGTTGCGTTGGGTGCAAAAAAATAATTATTTTCAATTGACAGTAAAAAAGGGTAACAAAGGGTAGCACAATAAACTTGTTCAAAGTATTTGTTGTTGTGTTGTTGTTGTAACTCTTGTGCTATGGTTTATAGGGTAAGCGGTCTATATTCTTGCTTTTTATGAATCTCTAACTGAGTTCTTCTAAATTGCAATTAACAAAAAACGAGAATATTTATTATTAAACTAAAAAAAAACGTTGGTTGATTGATCTTTTTCGATCAGTTTGACTAGAAAATGATTAATAGAAAACCCACTGAAAGAAAGAAAGAAAGAAAGAAAGAAAAGAGCTAGAGAGGGAAATTGAAAGGGGGATTTGATTGCAATTTATATGAATAATTCACAGAAATAATGCATGATTCTGTAACAGCCGTATGGAAAATATAAAAAAAAAAATGGCAAAAGATTAAATTATTTTCTAATGGAATACAGTAGGTCATTAACCGAATGTATCCGATATTAGGCTTGTTTATTCTTTGTAAAGCAGTCTAGGCTGAAATGAACAAGTTCTATTTGCTGAAAAAATTTTAGAGTTAACTCAGGTTACATTGGAATGTTATAAATTCAAACTCACCCCGTGTAATTCCATCCCTTAATTCAATTCGAAACGTACGTACTATCCCCCTCGTGTGTGTAAAATGATTTTAAAGTTTTTATATTGGGCTGCTTGTTCTTTGTGGTTGGTGGAAAAAGAAGATGCAACGGATTAAATAAGAAATCATACCATTTTAATATTTTTTAATTTTCTATTGTGGAATATTTTTTAATTGATAAAATAGATTATCTAAAGCATCAATTAAAAAATAATTATTATGGAACATCCGTCAGCGTCATCTTCAGTTTGTTCAAGATGTGAATGCAAAAATATATTACATGATTTCAAATATAAAACAAACCTGAGACAATTTGATTTACAGATATATCGATGTGAATCAAATATATTATTATCCCTTCATTCAGCACTAAAAAGGAAAAACAGGGGGGGTCTCAATGAATAAAAGTGGAGTACAAATTAAACTTTATTGATTGAAAGACCAAGTCCGCTGATGCGACTTGCTGTATCGAGCTGTATGACAAGCTCATCACTCATGTTTCTCCCAACCCCTTGTTATGTGCGCCTTACTTCGGATCGATGACATCTGGTAAATAGTGGCATTACTTTATTATTATTTCTCTGGTTGAAAATAAATTGACATAAATAAAAGAAAGATTCGACTCTAATTGGTCAGTTTATTTTCAGTTGCATGATTTAGTTGGAAATTTTTTCAAATTTAATAAAATAAAATAATATTAGACACACACACAGTTCTACGAAATGATCTAAATAATATAATTTCTTCTAACGAATCAAAAGTCCTCTTTGCCAAGTCTCCGTAATTCTTCTTTTTATTAAAGTCGAGTACTCAACAACCCATACTTTATTTTTGAGGTAAGTTCTTTTTGCTAAAAATTTTTAAGTAATTCTGCAGAAAGGAAACACTTCCGGTATTAGATTCACTAGATAACAATATCAAGGATTGTTTTGTTCATGTATGACTTACATGGACATAATAGGTTTACCAAAGCCCGTTCACTAATTGTTGCATTTTAAAAATAGCCGAGACTTATATTTCAGTTTTTAAAAATTTGGTTGCAAATTGCATATAACTGAAATTGTGTCATAATTTTTTACTTTACAATTTTGCTAATTTCACACATTTAATACGGGGGGTATGTATTTAAAAATTGCTAAACAAAGAATTTATATATATATACAAAAACAAACAATTAAAAACGAGCGTGTAACAATAAAAGGGGGAGGGATTTGAAGATAAAAAAAATTGGGGGGAGTTTCTATAATATACCACATAAAACATCGTAAGACCAGCCGAGTCATTTCTAAAAATAAAACAAAGTACCATCTAAAACATAAAAAAAAGGAATAATAACCATCACATCAGGGAAGTAAGTAGGTATCAATAATAAACGAAAATGAGAAGCCAGCAGCGTATTCCAGTTATTCTGTCTTTGTCAAGGTTAATTCACAAGAGTTCAATGTATTTTCATAACATCATCAAACCCTTTTGCACACACATATTCTTCATGACCTTGATTTCAAACAATCAAACTAAAAAAAAGCGATCAAATACTTTCTATTTTCATTATCATATATCAAACTTACTAACTTATTTTGAATGACCACCCGAAGAAGAAGAAACAGTTTCAATAACTTCTTCACTAACAACTTCACTATCTTCATCACTCATATCAACATCCAAGTCTCTAGCAACCTTTTCTTCGACATCCTTGATATCAGCCATACCATAGAAGGAAATAACAGTAATACCCAAAATACCAGCAATACAAGAGAAAACAAGAGCAACAATACCTCTAGCAGTGAATCCAGTAGGTAAACTCTTTTCTTGAACGTTTTGACCAGTCAAATCAAGGAAATCCTTATTGTTACCAGCAGCGTTACCTTCCCATGGAACACCACCAGCTTCACAAATCTGTTTGTGGTTGTCGTTAAGTTGTTGAGAAGGATCACTTTGAATACCCATAGGATCTTCAATAAATTGGATAGCTAAACCTTGATCTAAATGCCATTCAATATGACAATGGAAGAACCAAACACCTGGATTGTCGGCTCTGAATCTCAAAACCATATAGGATTGTGGTCTAACGTAAACGGTATCTCTTGCCATTGGGTATTCTGGCCATTCAGCATGATCTTGAGGATTAAAAGCAACCGGAGCTTCATCATCTGGAATTTCTTGATGTCTTTCAATCACTTGGAAAACGTGACCATGTAAATGGAATGGATGGGTACCGGTATCAATATTGTTTAAAACGATATCGATGACTTCACCACCTTGTAAAACGAATGAGTTGGTGTTGGTACCATAGACTAATTCATTAGTAGCATCTTCACCAGCTGAAAGAGCGGTTAATAAAGTTGGAACTTTAGGGAAAGTGAAAGTAATATTGTTGAAGAAAGCATAGTTGACACCATTACCTAAGTTATCCATTTGAACATCGATAGTAACAGTGTAATCAGCATCTGGTAATAAGGTGTCATTGTTTAATGGTCTTAAGTAGAAATCATCCAAGAAAACATCTAAGGAATCAACATCAAAAGCATCTGGTAAAGCAGCTTGATCATTATAAACAATGTAGTTTGTACCGTTTAATTGCAAGTCTTTTGGAATAAAATCCAACATATTGACATCAACTCTATTCATGAAAGCATAATTCTTGTCGGTTTCATTCTTGGTTTGGATTAAAACGGAATAACGTTGAGCAACTGTGATATAAAGCATATCAGTGGTGTTCTTTTCAACATAAACACCATCAACTTCAACAACGGTGAAATCATGATCTTCCATCCAAATATATTGAGAAACAAATCTACCAGTGTTAATAATTCTAAGTAAATAAGTCTTGTTTGGTTCAACGTTCCAAGAGCTGTTTCTTGTTTCATTGAATAAAATATTCGAAGGAATTGGTTCAGCACCAGTTGGATTAAATCTACTTAAAAACTTTTCATTTAATTGATCAGATAATTCATGATAATGATCACCAAGAGTCAAGACAACTTCTTCATCATATTCATATGGGAAGTCATCATCTTCAATAATGAAAACACCTCTCATACCATCACCATATTGACCACTGGTATGGGAATGATACCAATAAGTACCAACTTGATCTTCAACAGTGAAATTATATAAGTAAGTTTGACCAGCAGGAATAGGACATTGAGTAATACGTTCAGGACCATCCATTTGATTGGAACCCTTTTGGAACATACCATGGAAATGTAAGGTAGTGTTTCTGTCATCGAAACCATTGATTAAATATAATTGAACTCTATCACCTTTTTTAACTCTAAGAGTTGGTAATGGCCAAGATCCATTAAAACCAATCATTGGTCTTTCAAAGACACCATCAGGGTTAGCATTTACCCAACCGGTTTCAAACCACCAAGTATGAGTCTCAGCATTGATTAAGGAACATAAAAATGTTATTAATAAAATTGGAATTAACCTCATCTTAGGTTACTTTGAAAATTGTATTTGGTTGCCAAAAAAAAAAAATTGTAAAAAGTAATGGAAGGATTGGAAGCGATATATTTCCTAATTGGGTATTCAAAAAAAAATATACAAATTTTTTCTTGACAAAAAGTTTAAATTGAAATGAAAAAAATATAAGAAAAATCAGGTACTGTTTTTTTTCTTAGTAGGAGACTTGGTTGATTGAAGACAAAGCTGAAGTAATAGAAGAAGAAAGAAAATTGAATTGGAATTACAAGGGAGATTTGATGAGCATTTTATATTGTCAGTTTAGAGTAAAAAATTTGTCTCAATTTTCTTTTAATATACAATAACCGGTAGTGGCTTTCCCTATTCTTCTAACTTTGTTTGTTAGCCTTTGTGATAATAATTGAATTTTGTCTTTGTTTTTGGGAGATTTATTTTTTAAGACATTACGCAATAACAAAAAATAACGAGAGGAGAGACATTTTTGTTTTTTGACAAATTCTATTTTAAAAGAAACTGAGTTATTTTTATCCTCTCCGTAAATCGTAAAAACTTATCTCTGCGTGGGGGATCCATATAAGAATGCCGCACAGAATCAGACGATAAGCTAAGATATACGACTTGTTGTCAAATATAGGTTTCTAAAATAAGAACAACCTTCCAATAAAAAAAGATATTGCAATATTTGACACTTTAACGGGAAGCGGTTATTGCCTGTCAAATTATCTTTTCCATCAACCAATAAGATTAAAGTTCTTGGCATGAAACACACAAAGCGAATAATTTTTTATGCATGAAAACCAAGAAAAAACAAAGAACGAAAAAAATACAAAGTGCACGCCAAGTATGAAAAAAAAAAAAAATAAAACATAAATGGATTACGAAAATTAAAAATTTATCTAAACCATCAGAAATGTTTAAAATCTAAATGACATCAGCATAAACATACATTCCCCATGGAATGTTCCCCCACGAAATGACATAAGGAGGGTGTTATGCAATTATGGCTTTCCCCATATCTTGTCCAATTTTGCAACCAGAGTCCATCCCAATTTACGGACGTTGAGTTTCTTTTCTCTCCAGTCAAACTTTATCGTAAAAATATCAATTTCATTTTGAAAAATATATTTAGATTTTTTGGCAAGTGTTTCCCCCAAAAAAAAAATTCATTTTCAGACTTCCAAACTCAGAAAAAAAATGTGAAGTCCTGAAGCGGCGGGAATCCCCAGTAAGCGAGAGTATAATCTGCATTTTCGGAACCCGTTTTTATTTCAAACAAAACAAACGCAGTTGTAGGATTGGTCCTCTCGCTATTGTTTTAATGCCAAAGGGCTGAATTACAAAAGAAAAATGTCGTCCCAAAATAGTATTTGTCGGTAAGAATAGGTTTAGGTTAAAATATTTTATTATTTGATTAATCAGATAAATTAGCTTAAAAAATAATTTCTCCTAATATGCGAACTTCGCACATCTGATAAATATTTATCGAATTAGAAACCTCCTTAGAGATGAAGGAATACTAGTGCTAGCTAAGAGAAGGTTGGAAGTAAGGGCTACTTCAGGAAAATAAATAAATGGATTCTGCCAGATAGAGATGTAAATTTTTATGAATTTATCCCATCAGATAATTTTTTATTGAAACGGGGAATTCAATCCCTAATTTTTTTTATTCTCCCCCTAATGTATTTTCTGTTTGTTCATTGGCTACATTTAATTCACTTTTACGAAAAAAAAATCTTTAATTTTTTTAACCATTTTAACATTGAAAGAGGAATTATTGGCGAGCAGACGCTTAATATTTTTATGGTCAGCCGTGGCTAATTGTGATTTCAGTTCTTTACAAAAGTTATGAGGTTATATATAATGAACAAAAAATCATCATGATCTTAGACGATATCGAGATTGACATAACCAGTCGATCACCACCAAATGAAGGGGCTTATTTGAAGAATTTTCTAATTATAATCGACGTAATTAAGGTACAAATTTTCAAATCAAGAAAAATTTTATACAATAAGCGAACGGTTGAGAAATTCATAAACTATTTCTTGGCTCTGCAGGTTTCATGGATATTTCTAAGTAATAAATGGATGATGATATTTTTGTTATTGGATAATAGTCATCCTTGTGAAATATAAAGAACTGAATTCGGGATTTTACTGATAGATGTTTTACTCGAGGAAGTGTACTTTTGTCGAAAAACGAAATATTATTGAAAAGTGACTCACTGGTAAGAAAGCATAATAGGACAAGTGTGTTGCCAGTCTAACTTTTGATGATTTCTCTACTATTCGCAATTCATCTTCCAAACTTTGGACCCGTATCAATATTATTGGACCAAGCTATTTTTGCATACGATAAACATCGAGCTTGAGGATATCCTTAATTCAATGCAACTTTCCCATTCCTGGATTTTCACTAGAATAGAGTACTAGGAGAGAGATTCTACTACCAGATAGGACCATAGTCTAAAACGGTCTGTAACTCCATTGTATACAATTATACTCGAAATCCATATTTATTCTTGAGAATGAAGATTGGTGAAGATAGTATGAACAATTGAAAAGTGACTTAGATGGATAAATCAAGTGAAGCACATATCAAATGGGATGATAAGTCATGCTGAATCCTCATGATTGCTTATATTTTCACCAAACCCTTCTTTATCAATTAAACTGAGATTCTAACCTCACACTTAGAAATTGACATACTCTGGAGGCTTAGAAAAACAAATGGGGCATGATCTGCCCCGCTAAACTCATCACTCTTCAACTTTTTTTACATGTATCTCCAAATCACTCTATTGCATCTACTTTTACCCGAGAAAACACACTCATTGGATTTATGGGTATCTTAATGTATCTTATACTATGTTGCATTTCTCGTTGATTGGCTGAAACAGTGTTATATGTAGTTTCACGTGTACATATATGAGTTGTGTGCACTTACCAAAAAAACGCTCAAAGATCATTGGACAGAGAAAGAATTTCCAATAAATTTTATCACGTGTTTCTTCAGATGACATTTCTCTTTATCTGAGTGCCAATCTAGCCAAAGCCTATTTGCTTAAACGAGATCATTCTATCTCTTGTTAAATGACTTAGAGCCATAGCAGGAGCTTCATTTGTTTGAGGGATATACAGCATCAACATGATAGGAACAAGACGATTTATTTCTTCATCTGCTATTCAATTAGATTCTTCAAGTATTAATATCTCGAGTCTATTCAACTTCACGAACTTATTCAAAAGAAAGAATGACGCTATTTCAACTACCAATACTCACCAAGCATATCAAAACAAAGGTTTGGCTACAACAGCTACACCAGACGCAAAAGAAGCAACCGCTGCACTCACATCCGTCACTGATGATTCCACAGCACTCTCTGATCCCAGCATCGAAACAAACACAACAAGCACAAACACATCAGTATCAGCATATCGTAGATCCACTCATCCCACCTCAGTCCCACTACACAAAATCTTCAAAAACAACTTCCCCCTCTCCTTCAAGGAATCAATCTCACACTATACTCGTCGTCATGAACGTCTAAAATTCCAACATGATTTATTATCATTATTACCCTTCTATCCCGAAGCCGATGCTAAAGGTCGTATTGCCAAAGTCCTACAAACAAAAGTCGACTCCTCAGGGAATTACATAAATGAATTTGTGATATATCCCAATGCTTCTATTGAAGCGTGTGAACAAGACCCAAATATGAATCATTTGATAATGATACATGGATACGGAGGAGGACTTGGGTTTTTCCTCAAGAATTTCGAACAAATTGCCACGGAGAAGAATTGGACCATTCATGCAATCGACCTACTTGGATATGGATGTAGTTCAAGACCCAAATTCAATAGCAAAAACTTGGATCAAGTAGAAGATTGGTTTCATGATTCTTTTCAAGCTTGGCTACGTGCCAGAAAACTCGATCTCAAAAAAGATAAAATCTTAATCATGGCCCATTCTATGGGTGCATATCTTATGGCCACCTATGGAATCAAACGAGATCCATATTTTTGTCAGAAATTATTAATGGTCTCCCCCGGGGCCATTATCAAACATCGAAAATCAGTATATGTCCCTACATATTTCGCTAAATTATGGGAACAAAATATATCTCCATTCGCATTAGTCAGGAATACGGGTCCATTGGGGTCAAAAATCACAAGTGGATGGTCTTCGAGACGGTTTGCGAAATTGACTAGAAGAGAAGGGGAATTGTTGCATAAATATGCCTATGGGATTTTTCAAGCACCTGGATCGGGGGAATATATGTTGAATTATTTATTGGCTCCCGGGGCGGATGCGAGACATCCATTGATTGAGAGAGGGGTACATAAGTTGAAATGTAAGTTGTCGTGGTGGTATGGGAAGGAAGATTGGATGGATAAGAAGGGTGGAGAGTTGTGTAGTAATATAATTAATAATATAAATGGGGAGGTGAGAAGTGATGTGAAGGAGATTAATGATAGTGGACATCATATATATCTTGATAATATTGGGAAATTTAATCTGATGTTGATTGAAGAGATGAGGGAAATGGGGAAGGAAAATATAGGAAAAGAAGATTAATGCTTGATTTATTTATTCATTTTTACAAAAAGTTATTTTTATGTATACGTATATTTATATATCTAATTGAATTCGGGATCAAAAGAAGATCCCAGTAATTGTACAATTAATCTCATAGAAATCGGTAAATTTGGATCAGTTATAACAATTTCTTCACCTGAACTTATTAAATCTTGTAATTTCTTTGATAAATTTCCCTTTGTCAATTTCTCCAATTCTGGTGGACTAGTTAAATATAAATATTTATCAGCAGCCGTTAAAGATGGTCTAGTCATTTGAATTTCTTGTTTATTACTAATCTCTTCAATAAACTGTTGTAAAGTCCACCAATTCTGAGCTTGAATATACTTCGCTAAATTCCCACAAACTGGACAATTAGGTTTTTTAGTATATGAATATGTATATGTGAAAATTGAATCATCACCTGAATACATCATATAATTATTCAAGATTGGATTTGTACTAGTTACAAATTTAAATGCTTCATTACAACAACTAGCAGCAATAATTGCATTCGTAGATGCAATAGCCGGGATAATGTTCTTCACCACTCCTAATGTCAACAGTTTTGTCACTCCACAAATATCAAATTCTTTAGCTCGATTCAATGCAGTTTGATACATCCATTCAACTTGTTCTGGATCATCAGCGTCGAACTTCTTGTTGGGGAAAGTTTTCGTCCATTGTAATTGACTAGCCCATTCTATACAATGTTCAGGTAATCTAGGAGTATTGGCAATTGTACATACAGGATATGTCACTTTTGGTGATAATAAATCCAAAGAACATTCAAAACACGAAGTAATCGTGGGGATGATAACCCTAGATTGACCTCTAAAACCTTCAGTCCCTCCATCTATAAGTGGAATCAAAGTTTCATCATCTACCAAAGATATCAAGGTTGCATTTATCCAACGTCTTGCTTCTATTGAATCTAATCCACTTATGACTATTTGAAATTGACGATAATATTCAGCCGGCTTATCTTGAATCTTGCCGAAATATGGGGTGATTTTCAAATCAGGATCATCTATTCTTTCCATCACGAATTTAGCAGCTGTTTCTGCCTTACTTTTGCCAATATCTTGAGATCGAAATAAGAATTGTCGATTTAAATTGGATAAATCAATTGTATCCATATCTATGACGTGTATATCTTTGAATCCAGTTAAGGCTAAGTTTTTAAGGATCTCACATCCTAGTCCGCCAGCGCCTATGACTAATATTTTACTTGTTGTTAATGTAGTGATTGAATCTTGTGAGTTGTATTCTTCAGGTACTTCATTATATGGACCAATGGTGTTTATAAGGGGTAATACGGAAGATATGTCACGTGTCATGCTTTATTGTTTTATATGGTGTTCCTCTAGTTATGTGTTATTGTTGTCAGTGTGTGGTTCTTAAGGATAGACGGTATCTAGTAATATACAGTAATTATATGTTGAATGACTACGACAAGTAATCTAAAGAATGAATGAAATGAATGAAATAATCAATCTCGTAAACTTCCAAAATTGAATTGCTGTTTCTAATTTGATTTCTTTTTTTTTTTCCATTGGGGTTTATTTAGAGTCGCGTAGAAATTTACATCTAATAATTTATTGATTGCGAAACATTTAATTAGTACCACGATTCATACATAGCACCATCTAATTATAAATATATACAAATGCTAACTACCATTAGAAGATCCACCATTTGGAGCTTCGTCCAAATGTGGTCTCTTAATAGAGCTTCTAGTCTGAGGAGGCATACCAACTCTTTTTCCCAATTTATTCATCATTCCTATACTACCAGGAGTAGGTGAATTATGCAATGGATTCACACTACTACCACCACTCAAGTTCACCCGATTATTATTACCTAGATTACTACTGCTGCTACCACCGCTTGGAGCACTATTCACACTTATATCACTTCTCTTTATAGGAGCAGATTTGGTTGGATCAACAGTACGACGAATATTTGGAGATACGAATTTCACATCAAATTCAGCCGTGGGCGGGATATTATCTGGACTTTGTTGTAATATATTTGCACCCTTTGCACTCACAAATACTGCTGGAGCATTTATAGGTGGAGCTATATTGCTGTTATTATAGCTGGATATCTCAGTTGATGTACCAGGTGCGTCGATATCAGTTGAGGCTTCTCGTTCTGTCTCTGGTTCTGCGGTGAGTAGATCCTCTTCTGCTATATCATCACTGAATAAGAAGGAATCATCAAATGCTTCTCTTTCCTGTTTTGTTGCGATGTGGACAATTTTCGATGGCAGTTTTGGAGTGACGAAATTATTATTTACGGGGTTAGTTGCAGACGGAGGTGGTTGAAGTTGAACATTCTGCAACGGTTGTTCCTGTTGTTGCGGCCGCGTCTGCGGTTGCGGCTGTTGCTGTTGCGGTTGTTGCTGCGGTTGCTCTTGTTGTTGTTGCCCCCTCTGTTCATTCTCCTTCTCTTTCCTCATCTCCTCCATATGATTCTGTTCAATAATTTGTCTTTTTCGATCTCTCTCAACCAACAATGGATCACGATGAAAATTCTCATCCTCATACTCAGGTTTCACAACTTTGGTCTTCTGAATCCTCGCCACAAACAGTTTATCATACAAACAATTCCCCAACACATTTCCAAAACATCTCAAACATCTCTTCAATCCATCAGTAACTGCTTCTTTCTTACATTTCTCAAATGCCATTGCTTTACTCTTTGCATTCTCTATAAATCCATATCCATAATCTTCATGATATGTCCCATCCTTAAGAGTTACTCTCACGTGAATAGTTAATCCCAATGAACATCTCCCAGTTCTTGGATCAATATCCAAATAATCAACTGTCGTATTCATCAATTCTGAATTCCAACCATTGAATCCAAATATCTCATTGGCGAGGTTTAGGGCTTTCCATCCTTCGATATAGGAGACACGGGTCCCGCCTCCACCTGGGCGAAAACTGACATATTCTGGTCCTAAGACTTTGTCTAATTTGGATTGGATTTGTTGTTCTTCTTCTTTGGTATATGATACTGGATTGAATGGTCTTGGTTGGGGTTTGGTTGCGGTTGGTGGCATGCGTGAAAATTGGGGAGGGGGGAATCTTGATTGACCTCCTCCATTTGGTCTATTTGATTGATCCATATTGATTACTTCTTATTTGCTATTGTTGACAAATGGGTTGAATGGAAAGAATGAAATATAAAGTTGTAAAGAATAAAAGTTAAAAAAAAATTAACGCGATTTACATGTAAAACGCGCGTAAAATTACTATTATCTGATTACTTTCTTTTACACCAAGAGAGGTTTGACCCCAAGGCAAGGGATATGAAAAGAACACTGTTGGCTATTAGAAAGACCATATGAATACTGTAAAGGAAGAAGAAGAGACCGTAGAAGGTCTTACTAGCAAGCCAATAGTTAAAATACGACATAATCCCCAAGGTCGTACATTCATAGTCACAATCACACTTCCGTTAGAAGCTCTACAAGCGATCAATCTTGCTATAGTTAAAATCAAATCCCCTACAAAGAAGCAGTATATATCAGGTATAAGAGAAGATCAAGTTACTAAGTATAATGATTTGGTTTTAAAAGAACAACGAGAATTGAGATACAAGACAAGAAGGAGATCTGGATCTCTTGAACGTACTCCATCTCCCACTCCTTCAGGAACTAATGATGCTAACACAACCCCTTCTAGGAAACGAGTGAAGTTTTTGCTATAGCCTATGTACCCATTATGTAACCCATCATGTAACCATTATGTATTAATTATAGGTATATTCTATTCTATATATCCAAACTTGATATCAATGTAATATTATCCCCCTTCAATAATATCATTCCTAATTCATCTTTCTTACCCAGTTGAGTATGTAATTCTACAGCATCTTCAATGACTATATTCATGAATTCATCAAATCCTCTTATTTTACCTTGAATTCTTGATTGTGTTTGTTCATATAACCAAATTGTAACTAATGATTGTTCTTGTAAATATTTGAATATAAGGTTGATTGGAGGAAGATTTGATTTTTTAGTTGCTGTTGTTGTTGCTGACTTATGTGATGACATTATTAGTTTTGTTGATATTTGTATGTACACTACTCTTATGACTTACTTACTCCTTTATAAGATGATGATAGATGATGTTTAAATAGCAATTGAGAAGAGATTGAATAGATGGAATGAGAAATGAGAAATGATTTTTTCTGGTGGGTAATTAAATATGGAATTAATGAATTGAATTTTGTTTGTTCTTTTTCTGGTAGATGTAGCAAAGCAAACGGGATGTCATTAAATATTAGAAATCTATTTGGAGATTGGTTAGAAGATGAAGCAATCACAGCAACGAAGAGAGGATCTAAAATGGCCTTGTTATATAATAAAGCATTAGTAGAAGTTCGTAAATATCCAAACTTAATAAATGATATGAAAACTTTACAGCTGATTAAATTTGTTGGTGTTAAAACAGCAGTAATGTTAAAGAATAAATTAATAAGTCATTGTAAATCACAAGGTATTGAAATCCCTCGAGGATTCTTAAATGATGCTGAAAAACATACACTTGATCTTAAGAAACAGCAAAAACGTCTGGTCCTAGATATTGATCTTGCTGGTGATGATAATGATAATGAGAAAGATGCGCGTCCAGCAAAGAAACCAAAACGCGTAACTGCACCAAAAGAATATGTGCCCAAACATAGATCAGGAGGATTTGCCATCCTTTTAGCACTCTATCTTACTGATTCCCAAGCTCAAAGAGGAATGATTAGAGAAGAAATCGCAACAGCTGCAACTCCATATTGTGATAAAGCATTAACATCAAATGCTGCAGCAGGTGAATATTATTCCGCTTGGAATTCAATTAAAACGTTAATAAAGCAAGATTTAGTTACAGCTTCAGGTCGAGTACCAAAGCAATATTTCTTAACTGATAAAGGAAGAATCTTAGCTGAGAAATTAAGAACGACTGAAGGTATACAACAACAACCACTAGACGCGTCATCGTCACTGTCAGCTGGAAACTCCAATATCGCCGAGATTTCATTTGATAATGGGATAAGATATGAATCAAGTTTTGAAAAATCATCACCAATAACAAAAAAAACCACCAATATACTACAACAGAACGATGGATTATTATATAGTTCTCCATTAAGTAAACCCCCAATCGTTCTCCATAATCCTGCCCACAACAACAAACTCATCCAAGAAGCACTATCATCCTCACGTAATGCAAATACCAGTATGACCCATGACCCGCAGAGTCGAAATCTCGATGGAGTCAAATATGAAATCTGGTCCCGAACAGAATATGAAATCATTTTGATTATTGATAATCGAGAAATCCGATCACATCAAGAACGTGACTATTTCTCAAAGCGATTAGATACATTCGGGATAAAATGTGAAGTACGCCCCTTGTCTGCTGGTGATGCCGTTTGGATTGCCCGAAATTATCGTACTGGGAAAGAAGCAATCCTAAATTATATATGTGAACGGAAGAGATTGGATGATTTAGCCAGTTCGATTACCGATGGAAGATTTCAAGAACAAAAGAATAGATTGAAAAAGACGGGGATGAAACATTGTTATTATATAATTGAAGATATGGCAACTTCGGTTGATCGTGTACATAATTTGGCTGATTCGATTCAAACGGCAGTTTCACAAACTATTACCAATTCGAATTTATATTTGAGAAGGTTTAGGGATATAAATGAAACCACGGCATTTTTGGCCTCAAATACTCAAGTAATTGATGATTTAACAAAGGAAAAGAATTTGATATTGATAAAACCAAATAATATAAAGAATCAAGATGAATATTCTCAACTAATGTTGAAATTTAGAAATAAATTTGAAACTAAGTTAAAAAATGAAAAGTATGAATGTGTACATCAATTTCAAATATTTCAAGAAATGATGGGGAAAAGTACTCTGATGACAGTTAAAGAAATCTTTTTATTAATGTTGATGTCAATTAGAGGTGTTTCTTTAGAGAAAGCAATTGTTATTCAGAATAAATTTCCAACTCCTAAAAGTTTATTGGAATTTTATCATGTACAACATAGAGATTCATCAGAAGATATTAAGAAACTGTTAATGATGGAGGAATTTAAGTTCCAAGTTGGAAATAAGAAGATCGGTAAAGTTGTCCTGGAAAAGATTTATGATATTTGGGGTAAGTAGTCAACTACCATACCTACTACTCCATATTACCTTTAGTTTATATAGGGCCCTTAGTTTAGTCGTGTATTTCGGTTCAAAAAAATAATAGAGTGCAAAAAAAATTTTTCAGTTTACCATTCAAAATCAAAAAGACCAATCAAACCTACTCTTCTAAATCCTTCTAATAAACTAACGAATAATGGGTAAGAACGTGTTGAAGTACGGTGGTAAATCTGGTGTTTTACCAAAACCTCGTCCAATTTTCAAAACTCCAATTCGTCAACCAAACAGATTTGAACAACAACAATTAGCAAAAATTGAAGAAGGGTATGCCGAAGGGGTTCCAGTTCCAAAAATAAATGGGAAACCAATTCCACGTATGCCTAAGAGACCACAAGTTATTACTGTTGAACAAAGAATAAAATGGAATATCGATGATTTAGAACCAAAGAAAGTGAATTATAAAGGATTAACTGAAGATCAAAAATGGAAGATGAATAGAGATCAGATTCGTCGAGACTTTTTAAGAGAAGCATATTTGAAAGAAGCTGAAAGATTGAAGAAGATTGATGAATTGACGGAAACTAAAAGAAAGAATGATTTAGAAGCTGCGGAAAGAGCCAAACAGGAAATAAAATCTGAACATATTGAATTAAGTATTCCTACAATTGAAAAATTATTAGAGGGGAAAATGGTGAAAATATCCAGAACTCGTGAAGAGAGGCAACTTCGTCAAGCTAAAAAGGATTTAAATAGAAGATCCCATGAATTGATTAGTATGGAAAATCAAGCTGAACAAATTTTGGATTTATATCATGCTTCAGGTAAATTCATTACTACTATAGAAGAATTAGAAAAGGCTATACATCAAGCATTTGAGGTTGATGTTGCAGCATTTGATAGTAGTGTGTCTACCGTTCAATCTAGATTGTTTAGACCTAGCGCTTCTAGTACTCTAGTTTATGAAACTAGTGAATCAATGATTGTGGATAAAGTATTAGGTGGAATTAATGGTAAACCAGGGTTAGAACAAGTTAAAGAAGTATTAAGTGGTGAAAGAGAAGAATTTAGAAGACGTGCTCAACTTCAAGCTTCTGCTCAAGCTTCTTCTTCTACAGAAAATTAATTCTGAAAGTTGCTACAAGTAAAAAGAAGAGTAAATTGGGGTTGGGTAGATATATACACAGCATTCTGTACATAGTAGAACATTCTAATATCAAAAAACAAGTATAATATTTCATAGTATCGATGATTTTGTAGTCTTCTCTGTCTCCGTACTAAGAATTGGTGCAGGAAATCTAATTGTCGTACTAAGAGCGGAACTAGGCCGCACCGAAGAGAAAATTGATTCGTACTAATTTGATCCATTTTGTCATGAGTGAGTTTTTCTCTCGTTCCATCCACCGCAAATCTGTTAAAATCTGACACCAAGAAACACTAAGAGCTACAATTACAATCTTAGGGGGAGTTGTCAGACTTTCTCGCAGCCATTGGATTACTTTTCCTTCATCACCTCCCTTTAAGTCAAAGACTCCTTGTGTTAGACACCCTATAAAGGTATTACTCTTAATTAGTTTTCTTTCAATAGTTGGCCGACTAAATTCACTTTTGCAGTTTTTTTGTGTTGTTCCTAAATGAGACTACCCCAATTTGCAGCAATATATTTTGACGCCAGATTGCGAAAAACATTTGGAATTTTAATTTACCCTTTTCTTTTGCTTCTTTACTGTTCACAAAGAAATCCACGAATTCCATAATGTATTCCAATCAAAAAATTTCTTACTCTCATCAATCAAGTAAAGCTCATTATGTGCGGATGTTCAAAGAAGTATTCTTGGAGTGAAGTTAGCTAGAGGGAAATGAGAATTAATCCATAGAAAACAAATTAAACCACAGAAACGAACTTGAAACTTCGTACAACGACAATCAACATTCCAATATTTACTAATGCCCCTTTATCAACGCAATATTCTATTACTACCTAACCGAAGTTCATTATGAAACCTTCCTTCCCTCAACAAGAACCAAATTTGAACCTAAACCATCTTTTATCCTTTTCCCACAAAAAGGAAAATACAAGGTTATGTTTTAATTACCATTCAATCGACTACATATTTCATTAATCATTGTTTTTAAATCAAAGTTTCACCCATTATTATTCAAAACCACTAACCCAAAACCACAAAACCACAAAACAATTTGAAGATTGAGACATAATTAGTGGCAATAAAATTTAGAGAGGGTTAGACTGGATTTCATGGATCGGAGAACTTCTTTCATACTGAATTAGCCATCTGACCAATGGTTAGTTTGTGTGATGGATTTTTTATCGATTTCAAAGAATGAAGGTCTGACTTGATCTAGATTGGAATTAAGGATGAGGAATGAGATTAAGAATTTCATGTGGGTTTCAATAGTGGCGGTAGATCATTTGTGGAGAAGGTGTTGTGGAATTCAATATTGGTGGTCGAGAAATCGGGAAGAATTCCAGGTGGATTTGAACCGTGAAGAAGATATCGACAATTTGGAGAAATAAATGTACAATTTGGTGAGAGGTTGATGGGGAGTTCAATAGGTGATGTTTGAGGAGAGAAATCCTTACAAAAATCAAAAACCAATGCTATTATTTGTAATATTAGTACTTATCCAATGAGTTTTATGAAGATTTTTTCAACTGTATTGCATGCATCAGAAAGAAAACAGCATCATTGGTGACTTTATCATACAGCTTAAGGGACAATAATACTGGACATAGCAATATCCCTCGTACTTCGAGTTCAAGGGGTTGTTAGTGGGTGGACAAAAGAATTATGCTACCAAGTGAGAACACCCACCGCCAAATCATCAACAGAAAAAAAATCATCTGGTAGCACGTACACTCCTGTTGTAAAAAATCATCTTTCATCATCATCTCCCTCTCTTGAAAACCCTAAAAACCTTTTCATCAACACAAACAAAGTTAAGTTCAATTTGTATTTCCACGTACCAATCCCTTTTTCAATTGTTAGAAGGTCAATTAGTATAAACAATGGATACGAGTACTACTACCCCGACTGGAGTGAAGGTTGTTAATAATTACCAATACATCTTTGGTAAAGTATTAAACAAACGATTGAAATTTATACTTAATATTAATATCTTACTTGCTTTACTAATATCAATTATATTAAGATTACCATTTGGTCAATTCTGGTTTAATTTATTGCTTACGATAAGTATTAGAGGACCAATCTTATTTCTTGCATTTAGTTTAATTAGACAAGCCAGGAAAACTCATTCAACTGTTGATTATACAATTCATAAGACTTTAGGATCACAAATTTATTACACCTTGTTTTCCATGAACTTTTTAACTAATTCAATTTATTATGTTTTGTCTGGTTATTTAATTGCAGGTGTTTTTATATTCCAATTGCTGTTTACTTTTGATTATTATTTATTATCAAAAGAATATAGAAAGAATCCATTGATTAATGATCAATGGGTATTTTATTGGTATTATCCTTTATTTATGGGATTGTTTTATAGTTGTCATCAATTGATATTCCAAAGAAATAGATTACAATTTGAATATGGACATACCAAGAAAAACCCAGCTAATTATTTGTTTGGTCATTTGCCTCAATTATTAGGGAATTCAATTGGATTAAATATTTTCATTACATTATTAACACCCGCGAGTTATTGGATAATCAAACCATTGATTTATAAAGCAAATATCTTGATTATATTATTGCTCGGATTAGATACCAAAATCCCAATGAATAACACCACTTGGACAACATATTTCCAATTAGCATTCCTTTCAAATATCACATTACTTTCTTGGGAAATCATAAACCACGCGTTTAACGTCTATGCCACAATCGGATGTCTCGATGGGAAAAAACCAATCAGCACCTATAGTTCAGATCCAATTCATTGTTTATTATCTGGATTACGTAATGTCGACCCTGATTATCAATTGAGTAGATTAACCGCATTTCAAGAATTAGCCTACATTGCAACCACAACCGAACCAGATGGTAAGAAATTAAGAAGTGCAATCTTTAGTGCAAGATCTAAAAAGGGATATGTCTGGCCAGCAATATTTGATGAATGTTCATTGATTATTAAAGAGACTACTGATCGAATCAATTATCGTACTGCGGCTGACCTTAAGGCGTTAAAAGAAAGTCAGATTAATATTAAAGGGGATGTGAATATTGGATTAAGAGGACGTAATAGGGGAGGTAGTGTTGTTGATGATGATATTTTTGGGAATTCTTTTATAAGTAGTCCAATCGCAAAATCATCCCCAGTTAGTCCACTTAAACTGTATGGTGATACTTTAGATTCTAAAAAAATTGAAGAAAAAACTACAAATCCACTTGTTATATTTATAAATCAAAGTCTTGTTGTACCTTTACAATCCCTCATATCAACATTCTCCACAGGAGTCAACACCAAGGATCAAAAATTCTTGACCCAACTAAAATCAATCTATACAAAATTAAGCCAAATCTATAACATATATCATCAAAAATTCTTACAAACCTGGCTAGGATTATTCTTCAGAACAACCCTTAAACGAGACACAGAATCCCGAGTTATAAATCCCGTTAATTTCGGTAATGCAATAATTGCAATCTCAAATCTTTTACAACATTCAGTTGAAGAAGATAAAAATAATACAATCACCGCTAATGATGTTTCCGAAATTTTGAATCTTTTAGAAAGACCAATTAGGGCCTGTTCAAATTATACTGATTATATTCCGGCTTCGGTATATCTTTCCCAACAACAACGGGATAATCCTAGGATTGCAAAGAGACATTTGATTGCTATATTGCATGATTTGACCATGCATGAATTCTATGAGAATTGTGTTAAATTTAATGGGAAATTGAATGATTTGGTATTGAATCCGAGAACTTATAAATTGGCGAAATGGGTGATTGATATTGCCATTGCTGAACAACAACAATCAATTAGGACTCATGTGTAAGTCGTGTTTATTTGTGACAAAAATGTATACTATTATTATATAAATATATAACTTGAAATAAAACTATTATTATTTAATAAAAAAGCGATTTTTTTATACTACACTTCCACCACTACCCTCATGTCGTCTATTATTACTATTGTTACTATTACTTCCAGTTGGCAAAGTATCCAACAACACCGGTTTTAAAACCTCTTCATCAAACCTAGTAAACCATTTCGCGTGTTCTTCAGCACTCAAAAATGCCCCCAATACTCCACGATGACTATCATCAGGTTGATGTTGTTGTTGTCTGGCTTGAGTACCATTATTATGTAGATTATTCATCATCAAATCATCAATATCACTATTCACAAATTCCTCATCATCATCGTCATCACCACTGGCGCCCACCAGGAAATCAAGCAAACTACTCTCAGACCTATTCCTAATAGTCGGTGTATCATCTTTATATTGCCCCTGTGCCTGTACTTGAGGTTGTGTTGGTTGTATTGCCTTCCCTTTCGTTCCATTAAACTTCCTAAACGACATCGGTGGTCCTCCTGCACTGGGCGCCGGACTCACGTGTAAATGATGCATAGGCAATCTCGGAGCCTCAATCTCAAATTCATCATCAGAATCACCAGTCTCATCCACACATCCAATCTTAATCCCCAATATTTCCAACATTGATGCCGTGGTACCTCCAAATAAGATAACTGTAAGGACAACCACCACTAATACGGTGGCTAACAAGGTCCATTTGGCTTCGCCCTGGAACCCCATTGCTAATGCCACCCCGACGGCTCCTCTTAATCCGGCCCAGAAGATCATCATTTGGTATGAATGGGAGATTTCATCCGGAAGTCCAGTAGTGGCGGTGGTGGTGGTGCCGGTGGATGAGGATGAGATTGATTGTCCGCTGAATTTTTCAAATCGAGCTCGGTATAAAAAGTTAAGGAATCTAGATAATGGAAACACGGCTGACCATCTCGCGACACAAATTGATATAAATGCGACAATAATTAACAAAGGTTTGAAAACTAATTCAACTTCTGTAAATAAAGATAATCCCAAATAAATAAAAATGAAATTTTCTGATAATTGAGCTAATAATTGAAAGATATATTTTGTGGCAATTTGAGTTCTTCTTGACATATTATAATATGCATAATGTTTTAATGTTATACCACAGAATAATAATGATACAATTCCTGACATATGTGCCCCATTGGAGAAGAAATATGATTCATAAGCAAATAATAAAACTAAACAAGTTTCAATTTGGGGATATCTTCTAATATGAGAATGTTTTAAAATCAATGCCACTAATATCCCAACAAAAATCCCAATAATGGTAGAAATTGTAAATGACATTAAGAAAAGTCCAATACCTTCGAAAAATGATGAAAAATGTACAGGATGACCATGGAATTTTTGACAAGTTTCAAACATAACAATGGAAATTGCATCATTTAATAATGATTCTCCAAAAATAATCGTATATAATTTGGGGTCTACTTTATAAGCATTAAATATTGATAAAATTGTAACTGGATCAGTAGCTGAAAGTGTTGCTCCTACAGCTAATGCATCAACAAATTCTAATTTCACATTATCAAATCCAATTGCTGTCCACACATACAAAATAATTCCCACAACTAACGCAGACATAAATGTACCCGGAATGGCAAATGTTAAAATTGATCCAATATTCCTAAAGAAATTCGCTTGATGTAATTCATAACCACTATTTAAAATAATTGGTGGTAATAAAATATTAAAGAAATATCCGGGATTAAATTTCACCGCATCTTGGATATAATGACCAGGAGACATTCTAATAATCAATCCAACAAACATCCCACAAAAGATGGATAATACCGTTTCATGAATAGCTTTGATTCTTCTTTGCTGTAAGAAATATGAAGACCATAATGCACTAGTTAATAATAATAATAATATAAATAGTGCCCATGAAGAAAAGATTTCATTCTCAACGGGATTGGTATCTTCAAATTGTTCATCATCTCCTGGAGTGAGGTCGGGTGTTTCGTCGTCTAGTTCATCTGATAAAGCACGTTTTATTAATAGTTTAGCTGCATATAGAGCTATACTGGTCATGTTGAACGGGGGGCTGTGGTTTTCGGTGGTTGACTACTTAAATTATACAATTAATGACAATTCTAATTGGGAAAAGTAAAGCTTGTGTTCGTTTTGGTAATACGAGTTATCTATAACAATATCCTCGATGAATAAAAAAATAGCCTTCTATGTAAAAGTGTTGACGTAAAGGATTAAATTCCCTGTGAATCGCAAATTGTCTCAAATTTATTTTGTATGGCGGGATAATAAGGAGAGTCGTGCATATAAAAAATTCCTTGATCACAATGTGAAATGTATGAAAAACAATAAGCACCGAGGAATTTTTCAATAGCAACTGAAACCATAAACAGTTGTTCTTAACATTCTTAGTATCCTTATTTAAAATGATGATTTTCTTTCCATTTCCTTACTTTATTTTTGTTACTCTTTATAATTCTCTATGTAAACTAAATGACCTGACCCTACACAAGATGAGTAAAATTTGGGTCACGTGACCTGAATTGAATTTTGATTCATAATTATAATATGAAATACACAACAGCTACTGAATAAGACTAGCATGGGATTGGGAAGTGTTTAGTGAGTGCCCGTTTCTGTGATTGATTCTTTAAATTTCTTTCTCATTCAGTTTCTTTTGGAAGGTTGTTTTCTAAAACTGAAAATTTGGTTGTAAATTTCTACCAATTATTCAAAACTTTCAAAATGATAAAATGAAACACAGCCACACTTCCAGAATCACACCAAACCAACAACTCATAGTATAGATTACTCAATTACTTACCATTTATGCCTCCGTTTGATTCCAATCTAATCTTACTTGCTAACAATTGCTAGAAGATGGTGATTGGGATTTTATTTGTTTGCAACCAAAAGTGAAATTATCAACCATTCTCCTTTTCAATACATAACAAAATAAATCAAGAGTAGTAATATCAGTAAGGGAACATATAAGAAATGCACCTGCCTGATCTGTCATTAATAAGCATAGCTTTATTCATTTATTAGAATGTTACAAATTCTTCTTTTATGAAATGTTGCAATAAAAAAGAGAAACAGAAAACGTTTTTTTTTTATTTTGTAACTCATTATTAGGTTCTCGATTCTAACAATACATATCACAATAACAATTACAATAACAATTACAATGACAATTACCCACATGGTATGATATGGGAATGCTAATGTTACAAGACGCGTAATAGTATATATATACATACTCCAACATCAATCAACTCCCTTTAAAAAAACCCCTTTGATTGACATAAATCGTGCAGTGATTTACGAGAGACTAAAACGAGAAAAACGAGTGAAGGGTTCAAAGTGATGTAATAAATTATGCCGTTATTAAAAAATTAAATAAACAATAATTAACATGTACACCACACTGATGACAATTAATAAATTTGTAATTAGAATGTCAATTGAGAAACAACCATTCCCATTCCCCATATTCAATCAAGGAATACTCCTGGAAAACATGTTGAACAGTCCGCCTCGCACCATCCTCAAAGACAGACCAATTTGTCTCTTTATGTCTTCTAAAAGGGGGAATGATAATGCATTATTCTATGGAAAGATAACAAATCTATTGTATGAATATACAATTGATACAATATAGATCTAGAAGTATAAGTGCATACTTACAATCAAGCTACGCGTTCTATTTCTCGTTGTGTAAAAGAAAATCTCCTTTTAGGGGGGAGGTGTATGTAGTAAACATTCCTTTCTATTGTTTTAGAGATATGTGACAAAGATAAGAGAGAATTGAACTCTTTTTGTGGTTTTTGTGATTGAATTGAAACTATGGATAATCTAACAATCACTATAGAAACAAGGTTTTTATATTGAAGTAATTGTGTGGCGGTAAAATCTGTCAAACAAAATGTTAAAAAATAATTTCTAATAATAAAACAAAAAAAAAAAAATAATAAAACAATTGGCACCAGCAATACAAAAAAAATAAAAAGAAATTCAAAAAAAACAAATTTTTTTATAGTTTAAGGTTTCTTCTCTGCAGTACTTAACGATTTTACATCCATAATTTGAAATTCACACCAAACATTATTAGATACTTTATATAAAATTACAGTACATCTCTCGTATTCTTATTCCATAAAATTTATAAATAGATTATTTATTTACTTCTTTTTATAACTATACGTCATTCCCTTAGATATCATATATATAAAGTATATATATATATATCCCCCACCCTCCGACTCCCCCACGGTTCCATTAACCTAACCTACTTTTTGTCATTCGCTTTAAACTTTTATTTCAGTCAGTATCTATTTTTAGAGAAGAACTATTTACAATTCAACAAACAACGTGTATTCGTCAATTCTTTTGCTATCCAACTAATTTGTTACAATAGAGTCATTTACAAATAGAATAGAAAAATGTATACCAAAAAGAATCATTCAGTTGAGAATATAAAACTGCAATATAGCAAGTTTTATTCCTCATCACAAATCAATCCCAATAATTCATCAACTAATTTATCCAAAATCCCTCGTTCTCCAGCAGCCCCAACGCCAGTCAGAGTAGATTCTTATTTCGGAGGGATACCCACCCCTCCAAGATTATCCAAAACACCCAGTTTTGGATCATTTCAATATCCAATCACACCACCATTATCTGCAAATCCATCATTCACTTCATTACAACATGCATATCCATTAACACCTCCATTATCAAAATCATCTTCCCCAATAACAATTCATGAAACTAAACAACAATCCACTTGGTCAAGTTGGATCCCACCTATCAATTATAAAATAACTGGTTTATGTATATTATGGTATTTGGCATCAATTATTTCAAGTAATTCAACAAAATTAATTTTGAGTGAATTTAGTTATCCAATTACATTAACGCAATTTCAATTCTTATTGAATTCAATGTTATGTTTGATTTTATTAGCAATTGTAAATCGAAATTCCAATTTATCAAAGATTCTTCCAGCAGGAGTCATACCGAGTTCAGGTAATATTAAGAAATTTATAACTCCAACTAGATTAATCATAAATACAACATTACCAATGGGTTGTTTTCAATTCATTGGTCATATCACAAGCCACAAGGCAACTTCATTAATCCCAGTTTCATTAGTTCATACTATGAAATCATTAAGTCCAATAATCACGGTATTGATCTATAGGATATTATACAAAAAGCAATACAAATTAGTGACATATCTTTCATTAATCCCCTTAATTTGTGGGATCATGTTAACTTGTTATAAACCAACAACCACCACCACCACCACCACCGGCATGGAATATTATGGAACTGGATTATTATTTGCATTTTTCTCCATGTTGATATTTGTATCACAAAACATATTCGCCAAGAAAAGATTAACAATCGAGGAAACCTCCTCCATTCCATTATCATCCAAATCCAAACACCCTTACTCCTCCCCCTCATCCCAGGATCAAAAACTAGACAAATTAACAATCCTCTTCTATTGCTCAATAATCGGATTCATCCTCACAACACCCATCTATTTCATCTCCGAATTCCTCCACCAAACCGGCACCCAAATATCCATCCTCGAACTCACCCCAAGAGTTTCAATATTGGTATTGATAAATGGTACGAGTCATTTTTTCCAATCTTTACTTGCATTCCAAATATTAGGATCAATTAGTCCGATAAATTATTCAATTGCAAATATCTTAAAGAGGATCTTTATAATTTTTGTTTCGTTTATTTGGGAATCGAAGAATTTTTCAAATTTACAGAGTTGCGGGTTAGGGTTGACTCTTTTTGGGTTGTATTGTTATGATAGATGGGGGGTTAGATAGTTGCGAAGCAACTAGAATCTGCGAAGCAGATACTTCTGCCGAAGGCAGACTAAAGGCGAAGCCTTATATCCTGCAAAGCAGGTACTTCTGCCGAAGGCAGTTAATCAAAGGCGTAGCCTTATGTCTGCGTAGCAGATTAGTTACAAGGGTTCGCCTTTTATGCTGCATAGCAGCTGAATGAATCTGCCTGCGGCAGATTAGTTGAAGGCTTCGCCTTACTTGCTGCGAAGCAATCAATCTGCCTTTGGCAGATTATTCTATTGGATCCTTCGTATCCTTTTATATATTTATATTAAATAGAAACGAATGTATGACCAACATATCAATAATTGTAATCAATAATTGTATTGTCTAAAGCAGCTCAGTTACAAGGCTAAGCCTTCTGAATCTTTTGATGCTTCGGATCTATATGCCTGCAAGAGATTAGTTAGAAGGCTTCGCCTTTTATACTGCCAAGCAGCTGAATGAAATCTTCCTTCGGCAGATTAGCAGATTATCCTTTGGATCCTTCGGATGAACACATATGAATAAATTATTATAATTATCTAAAAAAAATCTATAAATCCTATTAATGACCTGGACCATCAGTATGTAACATCTTTCTAAAGATATCACCAAAAGCAACCATAAACACAGTTTGCCAAACCCCTAATCCAATTCTTGGAGTAACCCCTCTATATAACCCTTTAAGACCATGAGATTGATAAATATATTTAGCAGCCCCCAAAACACTTAAATTCTTTGGTCTGTTAGGATCAACGGTTTTAGATTGCATTTCAACTCTAACAACTTCAATAGGTTGATTCCAAGCACTTAACCCCCCACCAATTACCGAACTACCGATTTTCTCAACTGCTGATAATTTATCTTCTTTACCCTTACCGGTTAAATTACGAATCACATCTTCTGCCAATCTAGCAAATCCAAATCTAGAACCCCAATTCGTCATTTGTCTAATTGCAACTGCATTAACCCCTTTATTAATTCCTCTAATTCCTTCTTTTTTATAAATATCTTTAAATACTTGCATGGCAGTATGTTGGGGAACACCAACAGCTGCTTCCTTGGCACGAGTGATTTCAACAGTTTTCATACATGTACAGAATCCCATTGTCAAATATGCCTGAGCTAACCCACCAGTAATACCACCTCCCATACCAGCAAGGAAATGATTCATACCTAAGACTTTATATCTATATTCAGATTCAGCAGCTACAAACAACAACACAGCCCCTTTGGTGGAGGCTTCAAGGAGGGCCCAAGGGTATAAACCTTGATAGAAACCTAAGATCCCCCCACGGGAATACACATATTTGATAGCTTGGGGCATGGTGAAGTTTCTATGGGCTGCCATGGTGGTTTTGATGACTTCTAGGTTTTGACCTAACGATGAAACTTCGGCAATGTTTAAGACTGCCCCAAGGGCAATGTTTGAGAAACTGATTGGCTTCTTTTCGATTGTATGTGACATGATTAGGTGTTGAAGAAGAAGGATGAAAGGTTTGTAAAAAACGAGAATTCGGTAAGATTTTATAGAATGTGAAAAATTTTGATTAAAATGGAATTCTTTTTTTTTTTTTTGATCGATAACGAATTCTTTTTTTTTTTTGTTAACCGCCGCACTTGTTACAAGAAATTATAATTAACAAAAAGGCGAAAAAGAATTAATTAATTAATTAATTACTTAGGCGGTGACTCATACAAACTGCCAATTGCCTTACATTTTTATATATATAAAATTCTCAACAACTTATCTACAATCCTTCCTCTTCGCAAATACTATACCAAATATCTAAACATAGCACTGAGTATAGACCCCGGGGTTTACTATTTGATCTGAATACAATAGAAATTTTTGCAACAAAAATTTTTTCCGGATCCGAGAATAGGAAAAGGATATGTCCCCCCACGCATTTTTATAAAAAAAATGGGGGAACATGGATTTATCGTGCGGCTAAGAGAATACTTTGCGCTACTTAGGCTATTCAAGCCACGTACTCAAATATTATATAAAAGCCGTTATAGGAGCTATTGAGGAGGGGTACTGACAGCAGCATATGACAATAGAGCTGAAAGCTTTATAAACTGAGAATAAATTTTTTTTCTATAGAACAAAGAGAAAATATTTAAAGTGTTCTAGAAACTATCGGTTTAGGTCGGCTGCGAAATACGACAAAAAAATGGGTACCATATAAATGCTTTACAGAAATAATTATGTTATTGGGAATGTTTTACTTTAGAAGAAGAATAGATGAGTTGTTTTTTTACCATAGGAGCTTGAAGACATGTCGTTGACTTGGGGTACATATTGGTTGCCTGATTATTCATGCATCATAAAGAGAAATCTATTACGAGAAAATTGGCTTTCCTAAATATCCGTAACTGCTATGCATAGTTATCATGGATCAAATTGGTCTGGTTGGGTTATGAGCGATCTAGATTATTCGTTTTGGGTTTTTGTGTTGTTCCAGAATGCGTAAAGTTTGCAGCAATCAGATTGCGAAAAACGTGGAATTTATATGTTTGTCCTGTAATTTTCCACTGTGCTGTTCACAAAGAAACCCACCAATTCAATAATCTGTATTCAATCATATTGTTTAAAATCATCAATCCATAAAAGATACCTATGTATTTAAATACTCAAACAAGTATCCTTAAGTCCTTAGAGGGAAAACAAGACCTATTTGAGGCACTTCCACAGAAATCAAAATAAAACCACAGAAACGAAATTCAAAGTCCTTCAAACAACTATCAATCCTCCAATATCACTATTACTCCTTTCTTAACCAATCTACTATTGTACGTCAATCAATTAATTGTGAAAGCTTTTCCTTCTAGCTATCAATATTTTTAAAAACTCCACAAGAACAACAATTGAAACCAAAACTAGTACAAACAGAACCAAAAATTCCAAAGTCAAACTCAACCATCATTTATCCTACTCCCACTAAAGAAATAAGATTAAAGAGTTGGTGTGATCCAATTTGGAGAGGGTTGGACTGTATTTCATGGATCGGTTTAAGCCTTTGACTGAATTAGCCACCTGACCAATGGTTAGTTTGTGTCATCGGCTTTTATCTGATTTCGTTAGAAGAAGGTTTAATTCAATCTAGTTTTTGGGAGGAATTTAACGGGATTTCAATACTGGGTCAGGTTTTGGAGAATATGACATGGGAATTCAATGAAAATTAAAACTTGATGGTTATACTTTTTGCAAAGAGTTTGACTGGATTTTCATGGATCAGTGCAATTTCCTTCATGCTGAATTATCCACTTGACCAATGGTTAGTTTGAGTGATGGATTGTTTATCTGATTTCAAGGAAAGAAGGTTTCATTTAATCTAGGTTGAAGAAGAATAGCGCGGTTGAGAAATTCATGTACATTTCAATGGTAGTGATGGAATTTTGAAAGAATAGGATATGGGTTTCAAACATGGTGATGGATCTCCTGGAGGTTTTCAATGGAATTTCAAGCGTGGTAATGGGACATTTGGGAAGAAGTTCATGGAATTTCAATGGTTGGAGATATTGGATCACGTTGCAAAGTACCACAATAGTACGAGACGCTTGTAGACTAAAAGCTGCTTATTCTTACGAGCCCCTGCTGATCCTTTGTAATCAGCATGAGAATAGTAATCATTCTAAGGGACCAAAGTGATCATTTGTTAGAATTGCTCCAAGATGACCTATATCTGACTAAAAAAAAAAGAACTTGGAAAAGTCGAACATCTTTGATTCCAGAATGCTCAATTTGGTCTTCTATGAAGCTGACTTTATGGACCGCATTGTGAACTATCCTTCCCTGTCATAGCTCCTTGTTGTGTTGGTCCAATTAGGGACTCAGCCTTATGTTGAAGGCTTGTATTCAAAGCTTGTGAAATGACTCGTGGGAATGCTTAATAATCATTTTCTTTGAGAAAAATAAACACAAGCTTACAACTTATATTAGTATACTACTATTGGGATTGACAACTTCTCTTTAGATTTCCTTTCTACATTCTAATGATTGTCGCTTCCTTTAGGCGGAACTGTGGGTTTACTGTCTAAAAATCATCTCATGATTTTGCAGCCAATCTTCTAAAACAGCAAAATTAAAAAAATTAAAAATAATTTCTAACAAAAATGAGATGAACATCATTCTTATGGAAATAAATAGATATATCATGAGCTTGTACTTACATCATTCTAGCATTTCCATAGTATTAGAATTACATGAATATGTAAGATTCATATTGACGCGACAATAAATCATTTGCGACGTAAACATTTTTGAGGCGAAGTGTTGTCACACAGTACCGAAAAAAGGCTAAATGTGAATATCCAAGCCGCGAAGGGAAAGCTCATCACTTAATTCTTCACTTTCTGGTGGCATCTTATAATGGTGCTGATTTGGGGGAAAGTAACATAAGTTACTATATAGTCGAAGTACTTGATTTACTACTAATGGTTCAACCAGTTTGAGAGGTCAAACTTAAAAGTTGTGAATTTGCAAAGTTATATATTCGATTCAAACGTAAAATGTCGATAATTTTATATAAACTAAATAATCATAAAACAATAGGAATGTGACTCTTATATATAGCAATCTAATAGTCACGAATAACATGGAAAACAGGCATAATATAATAAATCTTCAAATATGCATCTAATCGTCATTTATTTCTTCTGGTATTTGAGTGTATCTTAACTTAACTGCAAATGACCGTATTAATACTATACGACTTTCATGTCGTAATGTCGCAGAACTTACACATTCTTAAGTATTTGGTCGGAATGTAGTCAGTCCTGTGACAGGCTCCCCCCACTTAGGAAAGTTCTTTTGAGATAATCTTTCGATAAACAATTTTTTTTTTGCAAAGGTAGTGCCAGGAAGACCAACTAAGTGGATTGTTCGATCAGCTTTGGGTACCGTTCTATAGGGGCTGGACCATCATGTAAATCACATCTTCCTCTTAGAACCAGGTGACAACTGAATGAGACCATAAAGAAATCTGTATTGCAGAGCTTGATAATTGCGTCTTAGCACAAGCCTCCACCCACTCAGAATATTTCGTTATGAACGACAACCAAGCAACCATCGTAACCTATTCCAAACCAGAATCGCTAACGTCTTGAGCGACTTTGGTAGCATTTCTTGGACCTTCTCGTGGAACTAACCGAGCTTTCAACTTATTATACACAAACGTTCTAAATTCTGGAACAATTCCAAACATACTAACATCATTATCGGGGCATTGGTATCAGTACCAATATTCAACTTATCATCATCTTTATCGGACTGTATCTTACCAGACCTAATATCAGTTTCATCGTTACCATCATTAACACCGGCTCTAGACCTAGTATTTCTTCAACACCAGCGTCAGACCTAGTATTATCATCAACATAAGGAATCTTAATATTCGGGACTTTAGAAAGAGAAGGTATATCTAGGTATTAAAACATGCGTACATCAACATATAGCTTCTGCTCCCCCTGTCCATTCTCCGTTTACTAGTCCTAAAATCCATATCTCCACCATCAGCATCATCGTCTGAAGGTTTATAATCTGGGTCAACATCTTCATCTTCATCTTCATCTTCATTCTCTTCTTTAACATCGACTTCACCACCTCTACATTTCCTCTTCTTAATCTCCTCTCTCTCTAAATGCTATACCCTTTTCCGCTTTAATGCTTTGGCTGCACCGGCTTCTACTTCTACCAGAGTCTTTTCACTGCGTATCTTGCCTCGCATCCTTGAATCGGTCAGAATACTTTACTAGAATGGCTTCGCCTCTTTCTAAGGGTAGTGGGTTACCATATTTATCATGATAGGCTCCCGCATGGAAATTAAGCAAGTGATTATCCTTCAATTCCTTGAGTTCTGGACATGTTCGCCAGAAATGTTCTTTGGAACATACATTACAAAATTTGGGTGAGAGTGTCTTAACTCCATCCGCATCGTTGAGTCTTTGAGACGTTGAAGGTGTAGTGGTACCTATAGTGTCGTCGGTTTTCTTCATCTTTTTGACATCATCTGTAAAGGTAATTATTGTTGAAGCATCAATTAAGTGTTCACTAAACACTTCCCAAAACTTCAAGTAACTTCCATGGTTTCCAGCTTTCAGATTGTATCTTTCCAACTGTTGTTCGAACACCTTTTCCATCGTGGAATCAGAAGTGTTCTCCGCTGGGTTACCAGTTCGTTTAATTATAACTTGGATCTCCCCATCAATCCCTTCAAGTGCAGTCTCCATAGTATTGGGGACTCTTCTGAATAACTCTTTCCAAATACGAACCCACAATATTCCGGTATTATTGGATAATTGATGTGACGCAATGAACTCTTGAACATCTGCATTTATGATCGTCATTGTAACATTTAGATCTATACAATCATCTAACCTCTGACAAATCCTTCCTAGCGGATCGTCAGAGTTTACTGGAACGTACCGCTGCACTTGATCAAATACCATCTTCCACTTTATACCAACCGTGGGACTATTCAGGTTTTCTTCCGTGGCTTTATTAACCAACTGTATAAGCGCTTCCCTGTGTTCTTGATCCACACGTTCCACGGCGGACACTAGTGATGATCTAAGGGTTTGGTCTGGGACATAATATTTCAATTTATGCCATAGGAGTAATTCCAAATAGTGAAATAGTGATCTTACGCTATTCACTCTTGCGCTTGAGGGTAATCCTTCAACTTTTGCCATCTTCAAGGTTTCCCTTTCATCATAACTCTTGTTTAGCTTTCTGTCAAGAAGCCTATGATACCTAAGAAGCAATTTCTCGTTAATTGGATTAGGCTTCCTTACAAATTCTGATGTTTCGAACTTATCCACGTCCTCAGTTTGGTACCGTTTAAAGTAATTAGCGATATCCTTCATCGTACGGAATTCACTAATGGCTTCATCCACTGTACTGGTAAATGAAACCTCAGGAAAATCATGGACCTGAGCGAGGAAAGAACTTGAACCGACCGGAATCGTTTCCTCTGGCTCATGATACTCAGTAGCTACCGACATACTATCTTCAGTGTCAATAGTTTTGCTAGGTGGCCGACCCGACTCCAAGTTCTTATTGAGTTGTTCCATTAGTTTCAAAAGTTGGGACAAAGTTGAATCAATGCTATTGATCTTCTGAGTAAGGACATCATCTAAATTAACTTCAGTATTGGGGACTTCTTGATCAGAAGCATCACCATCGGAATGATTAGAGTTAATAGGTTGCAACTTCATCTTAGGAGTTCCTCTTAGTCATAAAAGTACTCGTCTATAATCTCGTCAGGGATTTCCCAGTAAAGGAATATCCAGGTCATTTTATATTCTTCTTCGCCAAAATTAACTTATCTGAAAATATGGGTCTGAAACTGCAATCTGTGACCAGCTGAATATCAAAGCTCATCGCATGACCAACTCAACTTACGAGATTTTAACTCATCCCACAATTAATCTAAATAAACTCTAATCCATATGATACTTTCCGTCTATTCTTTACTCTCTTTGGATTGGAAAGGTGATCCCAAAGAGGTATCTTCTAGCTTTTTTCGAAACTCTAGTGGTTTGGGTGACCTATCACACCATATCTCGCGGATTGTTTCCAATTCATTATCCTTAAATAACCTCCGATTCCGGGAAAGTGTGCCAATCTTATAAAATCAGTCCACTAGTTCGTATGTAATATCCCTTATGCATCTGGACTATACGGGATCTTCGCGTGACCTCATCGTAGACATCACCGTTTGTATGACCATTTTCGTACCTCTTATGCAAGTTTTAATACATCATCACTTACCATTTGATTCTTATATGGGGCCGACCAATAAGTGGTGTGATTCTTCATAAGCAATAGTACATATAACATCTGGCACTCTGGTACGTCTTAGTAACCACGAACGCCTTACCATATATATCACCAGTAATAATCTCATGTTTCTTTCGATGTATCGCCTTACAAGGCGCCAGGCGATCTCCCTCGAAATGAATAAAAATTTTAACCAAAAAGATATTCGGAGTATCTTAACCACCGATAACTTGTTGAGAAGACATCATGTCCTCTTTTTTGTAGTAAACCAAGATACTTGTCTTTAAAGTATCTAAAGTGGGTAATGTATCTTAATCAAATACCTAAATTAGTGATCGATAACGTTCTAATCAATTCGTAGTTCCTGCTAGGGACCACCAAAAAGACCTGTCACACAGTACCGAAAAAAGGCTAAATGTGAATATCCAAGCCGCGAAGGGAAA